CCGTTTGAAATATATTTTTTTAAGTTTGCATCAACTGACATCGGCCCTCAACTAGCCGTTAGCTTTGAAGTGCATAAATAGCCCTCGTTAGCCTTGTGCACCATTTTCCCCTGTTCTTTCTATTTGCTCATCAACTGTGGAAGAAGCTTGCTGATCCTTTGCTCTTCTCTTCACTATCTGCATAATTTTTCCAGAAGCTTTACTCATCGTCTAGCCACCATAGCTGGACGTTACTTGCTCGTGTAACAACAAGGTACTACTTGTTCATCTGGTGCACCAAAATTGTTTTTTCCTCAGCAAAAGTCTTGATTTTTAGCTCTCTTCTATTTGAGTTTACAGCATCAGTTTGGTAACATCTGCACACCATGAATCCAAGCTACCGACGTATATCAGAAAGTGATGATGAGTTCATTCATTTTGTTCTGCCTACTTTAGGAGATTCATCACAATCATCTTGTATTAGGAGACCAATGCACACGTCAAAACTTACAGGGGGTTGCCGTGTACATGAGATTTTAACAGGACATGAAAGATTATGCAAAAGAAACTTCCGTATGGAGGTCGACATTTTTCATGCACTAGTCAATAAGTTACGTGAGAAAGAGTACCTAACTGGTACTATATGTTTCAGTAGAAGAGCATATTGCTATATTCTTATATACAGTGGCAAAAAATGCAACCAATGAAACACTTCAAGATTGGTTTCAGCATAGTCCAGACACAATACATAGATATTTCAAAGCAGTGCAGGAAGCAATCACAAATCTCACATCTGTCTACATTCGTGCACCATCCCTACACCCACATCCAATCTTGAGGAAACCACAATTTTACCCCTTTTTTCAGGTATGGCCACTTGTTAAGTTGTTCTGATTTCATATTTTGAATATCCTAATTTTTCATGAACTGGACAAAAATAACTTTGACATGTCTTGTTTCTGTGTAGAATTGTATTGGTGCTATAGATGGTACTCATATCCCTATGAAACTTCCATTGGATGAGCAAGAGTCATATAGAAATAGGAAGCAAACAATCTCTCAGAATTGTATGGTTGCTTGTGATTTTGATTTGAAGTTTGTGCATATACATCCTGGATGGGAGGGATCAGCTTCAGATGCAAGAGTTTTACATAATGCACTTAATCATGGTTTTCAAGTTCCTGGTGGTAAATTTTATCTCGTAGATGCTGGTTATGCAAATACTACTTGTTGCTGCTCATCGCCGCCGCCCGCCGGCAACAACTTCTCTGAACCAAACAAGATTGCCATTGGGCAGGCGCTATGAACCCTTGTGTGTTACAGCTGCGACCCCATTCGCGGCGACCCAAATGCTAAGGTATATGCAAGGAAGCAGCAGGGGGCATCAGATCTACGCATAACAACGCAAGAGGAGGCACCAAACCTGCAATCAACGCGTCCTTGCCGATCTCTGCCGTGGCTCTTCTCGTTGTTGCCGTTGCGTCCTGTCACCTGGGCGGCGAAGGTGCATCCGGTGCCGGCGATCGATGTGGGAGAGGAGGTCCAGTACCCAATCATGGAGCCAGGAGAGGAAGTGGTAGAGGAGATGGGATCAAAGGCGATGGCTTCTATGCGAGTCTGTTTGCCTCCTGTAATTAGAAGTGGTTGGCCCTTGTAACCGCACTAACAGCATGCTTGGTTTTTAATCTTGCACACCATCTAATTGTGCTGCATTTTCAAGTTCCTTTTTGCAGGTAGTGTGTACTGTTATTCCCTGACTACCCATATCGGTTTCCATCTGTTGGTTTGGTTTATCAAGTCTAGTTGTTAAATTGCTCTCATCAAAGGCATAAAATGCTACAGGGTTTCATGTTAGGCAGATCCAGAGATTTCAGTTGAAGTGGCCTCCATTGTTATTGCAGTTTCTGAACTTCTTCTATAGTAAATTCGCATCTCTGTTAGCTTTTGCGTCGGCTGTCAAACCTGAAAGACACTGGCAATGGGGAGAGCTCGTTGCCTGTTGAGCAGCATCCCTGGCCTCATGGGAATGCTGCACTGCAACTGCAAGCCTGCAATTCTGCTCTCAAACGTTCCTACTACTGCTGCTAGTCCAGATCGATTAAAAAAACCACTCTGGACAATTTACCATCTTTGGTGTTCCTAACCCTTTGATTCTTTGGTATCAAATTCTTTCAGCCAGACAGACTTTTCCTTTCTTTCTCCCTTGTAACATCATCCAAAAATCCAAAATTGCAACACAGATCAAGAAACAAGTTTGGTAGACATGTATTTTTTAAATAGATAAACAACTTAACAGCAGATTAGTTACACAATCTACTGTTAACAGCTTCTCTGGGTTGACGGTCACAAACAAGGAAAAAAACGCAGTAGATTAGTTAACACTCCATGGTACTACTAGTGTTTACCCGCCACAATGCACACATATGTGTCATGATCAACTAGGCAACAGTATTGGAAGGGGCAAAAAGGTCCAAGTGGCAGTTTAGACAAACAATAGGGCATTACTTAATGGAGTTGCTAAAAAAATGTCGATAGTTTTTCTCTAAGAAAACTGTCGATTTGTGGACCTTAATATCTGCATCAAGATGCATGCGAGCAAGGTTGGAAAATTTTCAAAAACGAGCCAAGGGCAAGGATCGATGTACAATGTGAGTTTCATGATGAAATACATTTAAAAGTTGTATATAGCTAGTCTCTTATTAAAACAATTACTAGAAAATAGTTCCAAAAGAAACCACGGTGCGCAAACAAAACAAAGCCCTCTCCCTCCCACCCACATCGCGCGATAACTAGAATGCTTCCCAACTTTGATCTCTTCCCCTGCTCTGATCCATGCAACCAACATCACCCTCTATTACGTTTTCTTTCCCCATCCCATTCGCATCATCAACAGGAAAAGATTGTTGGCGAAAGGAGGCCGAGAAGGAAAGGGAAGGAAAGCGAAGGATTATTCTCTTCATATCGTGTCATCTATGTCAGCTCCAAGGACTCCAACCATTGATGATCATTGTTGCCCTAATTACCAACTCTTCGCCTCCTCCCTCATGGGTGCATTGGGAGAGTGGTTGGAGTCTATTTGAGGGGTATAATTAAGAGATGGATTTTTGTCCAATTTCTTGAGGGGACCATGTTGGTTGTTTTTTAATTAGGAGAAACATGTGTTACGTTTAAACGTCAATGACATTATCTATTAACCAGTTTAGTTTACTACTAGTTACTATATAAAGTCAATCTAAGAATTAACTTGTATAATATATTAGCTACAAGATTGCCTCTAATTTTGTTTTCTTCTCTCTATGTAATTAATGCATTTGCTTAGGGGAATGTGTATAGCTAACTCTGTATGAGAGCTAACACTCACCATTTCTCTTGTTCTCTACCATTCAACTTGCTCATACGTGTCTGCTTCAATGGTTTATTAATCTATAGAGTTATATGAATTAGCATATACTAATTATTTACTATTAATCTTACCTGGGCTTAAGAAAATTTCTGGATCCGCTCTTGCTCTGCAGTCGGCAGCCACATACATGGACTACAATGCTGCATCACTGTGAACGCCGATAATAATGCGATCGATTTCAGCTTTGTCCCCAAGGTGTTCGACCACTGGCAAACAGACGGCAGGCGACGCATGGTGTGCTCCAGAGCGCGCGGCGCGTCGTGGCATAGCGTGAGCGCGAGCGCGACGCTACCTCAAAGTCTTGAGCGATATGAAATCCGAATCGTATTGTATGTTTTAGAGCGCATTAATGGCAACACTCATCTCAGTAATCAACTTTGTACTATCTCAGAACAACCTACTCTGCTTCGAGCACACGCTAGCCACTCCGATTTCCAATCGGCGTGCTGCTGCTTGATTGGGCTATAAACCCTAGGCCCACGCCGCCAGATTCCCCATCCTTCTCTTCGCCTACGCCTCAATTGTCTCCTCCTTCCACTTCCAGCCCGCCACCACCATGTCGGTGTACATGGCTACGCAGCTAGCGGCGCTCGTCGTCGTCGTACTCCTATGTTTCCATGCGCAACATCCACCGCGAGCGCGACCTCGATCTCGACGGCAGCAGCAAGAAGCTCGCCGTCACGACCAAGAGAAAAGTCGTTGCCAAGAAGCGCTCCTCGCAGCGGAGGTCCTCGCCGATCCCGGCAACATTGGAGAAGATCATGACGGGGACGACCGTGAGTGTCCGCACTAGGGTGGGGAAGCTTCGTGGCGGGAGGCAGTTGGTGCTGTGGCTCTCTGCGGTGGTCGTCTCCGCTGCCGAGGAAGGCTACCTCACCATCCTCTACACGGGCGACTTCCAACCGCCGGAGGCTACCATGCGCGTTGCGAGGAAAGAAACCAAGAAGATGCCGCCCGCCGCGGCCTCCCCTGCCCTGGCCGACATCGCCTCCTCTGCACCGACAGTCTACAGCAAGAATGCAGCAGCTCCTTGTCCGACCACGGCCGGCAAGTCGGTAGTGGTGCTCAAGAGAGTTTACCCGGAGGCGTTCTAGTATAGTGGAGTTCTAGTTGCCGTAGATTCTACTACTAGGATTTAGAAATCAGGGCATGTATTCTCGTCTTTCTCCTCTGTTGTTTTTTTGGGTTCCGGAATTCGGAAGGCACAGGAGGTGATGGGTGTTGTAGACCTGTAATATGACGATTCTTTTCGGGTTCTTTCAGTTGTAACAAGAACACATTCATCAATGAAAAGTAAGATTTTTCTCTCAGTTTTCCCTTGAGAAAGCACACTAAATGTTCTTCATTTTCGTTGAACCTTATAATTTACTACGTGAGAATTCAGCTCACCCCCAAGTCCTTTTTTGTGTAGTGTCTTGGACTCTTCGCAAGTAGTCGTAGTAACAATCTTGTTGCAAGCAATTTCCCTCCGATAAAAAAAACTTCGAGATGAAGAAGAGCACCCAAACGGCTATTGTACAGGGGATGGTCCAAATTTCCTCCCTTGTGAAGAAGGAGCCCATGGGCTGTGATGGTGGTGGATCTGGCTAGCCCATCACTGTGCTAGCAACCAACCTAGTAAAACCCTGCGCCGCGCCGCCACATCCGCCGTTCCCCACGACCACGACCACCGCCGCCGACGAATTCCAGGGCCATGGCGTTGCGCGGTGCCGCCTCCCGCTGCTTCCTCGCCGCCGTCCGCGGCCGCGCCGCCTCCGCGTCGCGCGTCCGCGCGGCTCCAGCTCCACTCCCCTCCGCTCCACCACGCCGGGCTGCCTTCTCGCCGTTTGCCGCTGCCGCTGCGAGGTAACCGGGCGAACCGCACTCCCCCTCCTGAATCCGCTACCCTAGATGTTGGATGGTGTGATGTTGACCTCGGTGATTTTGGCCTTCGCAACAGGCCGATGGCGGCGGCGGCGATGATGGGGTCGCCGGCGGCGGTGGCGGCGAGGCTGACCGGGCACCCGTCGGCGAGCGTGCGGGCGTGCTGTGAGCTCTCCCAGGGTACCCACTTCTGCCGCGCTTGCCAGGATCGGTAGCGAGTTAGTCATCATGAATCGTGATATATTTATTCATCCATCTTATGGCATCTTATTTGTTAAAAAAAAAATAAAATGCTGCTTCCATTCCAGATGCGATGCTTAGTTTATGTGTTTTGTGCAATTGATAACTACCGTAATGATTTGGTTTGTTTGCATTGGTAAAATGGCCACCTTTGATGAATCCCGGGTTGTGGGCTGTGGGTGTCTGTTAGAGCAATTTTGGTGAACTTCTGCATCTCTTATTGCAAAGTCACTTTTGATGTCTTGATTTGGATGTATGCCTATGCTTGTGTGCTTCATGTTTGTATATCTTTATTTCTACGAGTGAAAATTGTTTGCTGGAATGTGCACCGTGACATAAATAATAAATCATCAATGGGGCTATTAATGGTGTGTAATGTTTTCCTTAATGTATTCGTGACACAAATGATGCTGCCTTTGTGCCAAAGTGTATCTATGATGTTTAAGTTGGCATGTCCATGTTCATTGCTTCCTGTTAGTAACCATCTGACCAGAATCAAATCTTATGAACATAACATTGATAACATGCTAAGGATTGTGATCATATGTTTCCATATCTAAGATTGTGTAATATTTTTGTCCAGGGTTGAAATAACTTGTTGATCAGACTGTTAGCTACTTAATTAGTATTTCTCTTAACCCAATTTTTGCATTTGGCAACAGTGCGGTCAGTATGATATAATAGATTATATGGGTTAGCTAGATTAGCATATACAACTTGACCTAGAACTCAAAGCAAGGTTCTAGTAAGGAACAAGTGGTTTTGTGTGGCCACGTCACCACAACGCTTATATGGCATAATTAATCGGCCACTTCTGCAGATTAATTATTGTATGTGCTTAAGCATTACAAGGATGGGGGTACCCATTCCTTGTATTCGGCCTTGTAAACCTTACTTTACAGCACTGCTCTAGCATGACTTCATTGTATTGGGTAGGCTTAATTCTCCATATGTGTGATTAAGAGGATTTTGCCAGGTGAACATAACTATTCTGCAGGTTAACTTAACTCTACAGTGTTTACACTTTGAAAGAGAACTCCACTGGTGCTACTTTTTAACTTTGGCAATTTTTGACCATATAACAATTAATAATCTAATGATGATATGTTATGGAATCTGATTTCGCTGTCTATAGTTCTGTTGTTGAATGACCAAAGTTAGCAATACACTGAGAGTGCGGGGTTTATCTCATGTTGTTTTTACTTGCTTTTTTGGTGAAGTTGCATAACAACTAATATAAGGACATCAAAATTGGATAGGGGAAAAGGGGAAAGATGGTTGATGCAGAGGGCATAAAGAATGATTTGGGACCACTTTCCCTAAAATGCTGTATGTCGCCCCTTTCCCTAAGCATTACTTTTTACACCAACAAACTAAAGAAATTGTATAACAATGATGGCAATGACTCTTAAGAACCACCTGTACGATAGGTATACCATCCTGGACCCTGCTGGTATGTTGGGTTTAGTGCTTGATGTCAGTCTAAAAATTTGGGATAAATTTTCCTTTCGCGCCCTTATTTGCTATTTAGGCTGTTTCAATTTTTGGATTCTCTTAAAAGGCTAATTTTGGCGTGCAAAGTAATGTGCTAATTATTTATCGTAAGTTTGACTCATGAAACATGTGAGCAAGATGTATCATTTGGTACTTCTGCCCTGAGCCCAAAGATTATTCTTGCAAACAGTACAAATGCACATCCAATGTCTGTTTTGTAACCATGGGAATAAGTCTGTGTGCTGTGATACAATAATAATATTGGGTGTTTTGGCGCTTCTGTATCGGTTGCTATTACCATCATCCGCAATGGTTCTTTACCCATGCTTTGCACTATGTTCTCTTCTTTCATTGTGTTGGTACTATGAACTATTTATTCATGTACAGTATGATATAATACACCTATTTCATTTCAGTTAGACTGCCTATTTTTGTGCAAACAACTGCACTTTGCTAGCATGTCCTCTCCACATACACTAGCTTCTAAAAGTTCTTTTGGCAATACTATGTTTTGTTGATTTGAGGATTTCTGTGTTTGAAATCTGTTAGGAAATGGAGATGATGCATGACGCCTGGGAGGCCAGTTTAAAGAATAGTGAAGGTGCTGATGTTGAAGCAGCTTGGTTTTTCTGTTTTAATAATCTTGAACTTGTTGATAAATCGACTAATCCAATCTATATAACTGAAATGGAATAGAATATTGGTTTGGGTGGGGGTAGGGATGCAAGTGGGTAGTCCCACTACCCGCATAAAAACCCGCTTGCTAGTTCATTTCTTACGTTATATTACAAAATTTAGAAGAAAAAATGAACTAAAAGTGAGATAAGCGGGCTAAAAAAAAACCCGCATGCATCCCTAGGTGGTGTGTGTGTGTGTTGGGGGGGGGGGAGCAATGGTGAAAATGAGAGGTTTTAACCCTAAGTTCCTATGTCTTGTCTTTAATGCCAGAAGTTTGGGCCGAGTGGCTGACCATTATTTTTTTACTATTGTCTGAGACTGAAATTGTTCTATTTCTTTAAATATTAAAAATCTTAATGATCAGCAACATGTATGTACCCAATACCCACTATTTTCGTGATTAGGGGCTTATGTGCTGAAAGATCTGAGAACCCTTATATATTCAACAACTGACATTGACTATATAATGTCCATGCCAAGGATTTCCCATTCTATTCATTTTCAAGTAAGAATAAACATTTTTCTAAGTTATTATAGTTCTCCAAACATGCATCAGTAATTTGAGAACTCTCATGTTAATTGGGTGTGCCAAAAAACTAATTTATTGTACACATCTTAGTCGCTACTATTTTTTTTTGGGTCTATCCTCATGAAATGCCACCTTATTTTGCAGGTAATTGAGGCTTGAAAACATTACTGTTCCTTTTGCTGCTAGGATGCGAGGTTTACAGAAGCTTTGTGGCTCCTCTGTTTTTTCCTGCCTAATGGGAAGTTAAAAGAAACTCCCTATTTTTAGTTTCCTAGTCCCGTAGTGAAAACAACAGTCAACATGATTACTACATTAATAATCCTCTGTTAACCGGCTACTCGTTATGTTCTGTAAAAGTTGCCGCCATGCTTTCATGTTCTTTTTACTGCATAACGATGCAACCTGTTTCCTAATGCGGATCATTTGAAAATCGTGAGAAGTGAACATAAGTTTACTAGCTGGCTCTGGTACAGAAACTAGAGATTTACCTTGGGTGTCGCCTGGCTAATCACGAAATATTGTGTTTTTTGCACTTTAAACTGGCCTGTTCAACGGCTTTTCTTGTTTTGACACCGTTTGTTGCCATATGGGGCCTAAAAACAAATGTGAGGCTCTACTGTGAGCGCTGTACTTTTTGTATGAAGTGAAGCAAGATACGGAGAACAACTTTCATACTGATGATGATGTTCATCGAGACCACTTGCCACACACAGTACATCACGAGAGCTGCTGCAGATTCATCCATCAGAACATCCATCACCATCAGTACAGAGGTGCAAGCTTGACCATCACCAGGTACATACATATACTACATACTAGTATAGATACAACCAGGTACATACGTACATACATAATTACATACCAGTATAGACACACTGTTTGCCACCAGGTCCAGCAAGAGCAAAAGCAGAGGCCACCAGGTTATAGCTGGTTCAGTTCATCAGTTCAGGTGTGCTGCTCCCGAGTCCAAAGTCCAAACACATACGGCAGGTAGCCCGAGGAGGTCAGCGCAGAAGCACGAAGCGACCACGCACCCGACGGAGGACATGCACGGTCATCGTCGGCCGCCGGCTCCAGCGTCGCCGGCGGTTTCCGCCGCCGCTGGCCGCGGCGTCCACCATCGTGAGCTCGAAGAGGCAGACGTCGTGGGCGACGAGACGATTGTCGCCGGCGAACTGACGCCAGCCGGCGCCGTAGAAGCCGCGGGTGTTCTGCCGGTGCACGAACGGGACGTGCCACTCCCCTCCCCTGCTCGCCCTCTCCAGCACCACCTCCCTCTCCACCGCCCCCAGATACTTACCCGCGAACTCCGGCGACACCCCCTGACATCAAAACAAAAGCAGCACCAATTTAAATTTTCCCTATTTCAGCCAAGAAATGAAACTGCAATGTTGCAATGCAATGCCATTTGGTATGTGCAGTGTGTGCAGGAGGAGGAGACACGAGCGGCAGCTATAGCCGGAGATTTAACCTTGATGAAGGTGAGTCACTTACTACAATGCAGTACTTGCTGCTGCGGACGTGGCTGCTGTGGATGACCTGCACGAACACCGGGTTCCCGGGCTGAACCGGCACGGGGACGCGCGAGATCTCCTCCCTGTCTTCCTCCCTCAGGTTGTACTCGGCCACCCGTCCGTGCCTGCTGAAGTAGTACTCCCCGTAGCGCCCGCCTTCCGCGGCCGCGACAACATCTTCATCTTCGCCATCGTTTTCTTTCGCTTCTGCAGGTGGCAGACACGCATATAAGTTACAATGCCGATTTGGGAGCTTTTAGCTGCTGCATATTCTACCACATTGTTACCCAGATTCTCCTAATATGTAGTTGTATAATCCAGAAAATAAACTAGAACCAGAAGCTAGAAAACCTAGCTTCTCCAAATTCTTAGAAGCTGACTTCCAAACAGCGGATTCTCATCTTAAGCTCACCAAACAGGGCCTTATACATCTCGATGCACAGGCTGGATTGAGTTATCATTACAGGAAGAAAAAAAAAACAAGAACTATAGTTTATTATAGTGTTGATGTTGTGTTGTCATACCTGTTTCATCACTGAATAAGCTGCGTTTGCATGCTCTGGGGATGCTCCTGCAGCTGTTCCTGTGGAGCGTCATCTCCAGGTGGTGGCGATGGCCATTATCGCCGTCGACGATCGGCGGCGTGCGGCGGCCGTTTCTGCCTCCTTGTTCAGCTCCGGCGGAGTTCTCCGCTCTCCCGAATCCATGGCTCCCGACGAAATGCGGCGACGCCTTCTCGCAGCCGGACGGATCAAAGATGAGCACATCGAAGGAGGAGGAGACGCCGCTGTACCTGAAGAGCAGGCAGTCTCCTTCCTCGATGCCGTTGCCATCCACGAACTCTTTCCAGCCAGGCTGAAGAACTAGTTCACCGGCGTCGCTGTTGGCTACTCCAATGCTCCAGGTTTCGCCGCTAGGAGATCTCAGATTCACTTCCTCTGAGATGTGCCCGTTGAAATTGTTTGCAAATCTAGCAGGCACGGTCTGCAGCAATAGCAGGTTGACTGATTCAGGTTTTTTTTTTTCATACTTCAGTTCTTTCTGAGGTACACAGTGATATGAATAGAGAGATTCGTGCATGAATTTACTTTACTTCAAAAACAAAAAGCGCTTGAGTTTACCATGGAAAGACATGCAAAATGAAATCTTAGAGAGAGAGAGAGAGAGAGAGAGAGTAAGATTTTGCATTTAGCCTTATATGGTCTCATGGCCTGATGGCCCCTCAAAAAGGCTGGAAAAGGCTTGAGTACCTGTACACCATAGAAGGCTAAATGCAAAATCTTACTCTCGCATGGAGCTTGCAAATTTTTTTCAGGGGAATGAATATTCAGTTGATGGTTCATCCCTTTTAGTTATTCAAACTGACTCATGTGCCCCCAGCTTCAGATACTTTCAGAAAAGAGGAGAAAAATCATATATCTAAAATGTAAGTGAGAAGATTTCTCACCATGCTCTCGGTGAAATCCCCAACCATATGCTTCAAGAAGTGCTTACTGTGGTCGGCCATATGGCTCCAGTAGCAGTGTTCTTGCCACTCCTTGCAAACGCTGCAGTTCTTGCCTATTTTCAGCATGCCCATTTGGATATCAGAACGGATACGAAGAAATCTAGAAACTAGGCAGAGGTCTCATAGGAGAAAGGGAAAAATGTTACGGGAAGAGGTACTCCGGGGACTTCAGGAGGTTCTGCAGCGATAGTTCCGATGAGAACGTGTCGGTAACTTAGCTGCTGTGTATTTCAGCCGTGACACATATGACAGCAATAGGAAAGTAGGATATAAATATGCCCGGCGAAAAGTAGGATATACATATCAGCGGCTCAACTGCATATGTAGTTACGTCAAATCTACTTTTATGAATCTTGGGATTATTAGATTATAGACGGCCTCATACTGAAAAACCAAACTTTATATAATATATAATCGACGCGATGATAATGTGATAAATTTGTAAATTGAATAAAGTCAGATAAGCTTCATTCCTACTCGCTAGACTAGATTAACAATTCACTCTTTCTCTAGCTACATTATTGATTATTTTATATCCTAAAATAATTTAACTCTTCTCTTTTCTAGAAACACAATACAAATGCGGACACCCACAATGCGCATGCACTCACCCCTTTGAAATTATCTCTTCTCTTCTCTTGTAAATTCGTATTTCCTCTATTTTAAAATACAGCTATATTTGTAACTAGAAGTAGTTATATTTTGACTGAGGGAGTATTATCTTTATTACTTTGACTAGCGCCATACTCCTACGTATTCTACCATTCACAACCAACACAAATTCAATCCACAAACAATTGGACTAGGTATTACCTCGCATTGAGGGCCTGAACCAGTATAAACGATTGTGTCACCATCCCTCCTTGATGTTGTGCACCCTAGAAATTATATTGCTGATCCTAAAAATCGACAGCCATCATACCCAGTGACCGCCTTCATCATTCCTTCCAACCTCGCAACCGTCGTCAGGCTCCACCTCTTGTCATGGTAGCAAAGTATGAGGGAAGAGGATGAGCTGCCCCTGGGGTGCTTACTCCCATCTCCTCAGTAGCCTCTGGCACCACTATCCTCAGCCTCGTCGATCGTAGCATCTTCCGCCGATCTAGCCTGCCGGCCACGCCAACGTATCCATCACTAGCCGCACCCCAATTCTATCGAGGTTAGCCACCCTACGTAGCATGACCTCGCCTCCTCGAAGGTTGCCCCGCTGTTCTGCTTCTCCATCCTCCTCCACTTTAGCCGGTGGCCTCTAGATCCGGCCAAGGGAGCACTGGATCACTATCCTTCTCTCCGTTCGGTGTTCAGGAAGGCAAACGAAACAGTTGCCCCACCACGGCCATCCTGGCTTGTTGCCATGATTCCTGGGCAACTCGCACCGGCAACGGTAAGGCGGGGAAGGAGGTAGGGGAGAGGCGGTGGTGGATAGAGCTAGGTCGCCTCCTGTGTAGGGCTCCCAAAAAAAACTTGAGGCTCGTGAGCTACTTGAGCTCGGCTCGTTGACAACCCTACTCCGTAATAGTGTACTAGTCTAGTTGGCTCTGGTATAGACCTACAAATTAATTAACTTGTAAACAAGGGTCTCATCTTTTCGCTTATGCTTATGCTTATTAGCCAAAATTTAAATTTTCAATCTTAAATTTGGAGCTGATTTTGAGGTTTTTTTATCGAAGTTTATTTTTCAGCATTTGCTTTTAGATCACTCAGAACATGTATATAAAAGTTTTATTCATAAATTAATATTTATTTGCAAATATGCCGTTTGACTTATTCCACGAATAAGCAAAACGATGGGTCCGTTCTAGGCTAACCATGAATCTTGTGTTTTGCACCTTAAACTGGTTTGGTATGAAGTAAGATACGGAGAACAACTTCCATACTAAGGCCCTCTTTGTTTAGGCTTAGGCTTATTGGCCTAGACTTTTAAGTCAGCTTATTGGCTTATATGATTTATAAGCCAGTGGATTTAATGTCCTAAGTTTAATGGTAGAGTCATACATCTATCTCATATAAGCCAAAAAAAAAAGCTTCTCCAACCTAGCTTTTGGCTTAATAGTGTTAGAGTGACTTATGGCTTAAAAAAGCCAAATGAAAAAGCTGCTTGTTTGTTTTGGCTTAGACTTTTCGATTTATAAGTTGGCTTATAAATCTAAACAAAGAGTGCCTAATGTTCCCCGAGACCACTGACCACATAATCAGACCAGAGGTCCACATTAATCAGACCAGAAAGCTTGATCATCACCAGGTACGTACGTGCATACTTCCTTCATCCTAAAATTATTGTAACGTAGCACCGAATTTAACACAACTTGGTACTACGAATTAGACACAGCCTGACCAGATATTACAGATGCACTAGTTGTCACCAGGACCAGCAGCAAGCAAGAGCTAGCAAGCAGAGAGGCGACCAGGTTGGGCTCAGATCAGTTCACCAGTTTGAGCTGCACATGGATGGTTGGTCAGCGAATCAGCACGAAGCGGCCGCGCACCCGCCGGAGGACGTGCACGGCCATCGTCGGCCTCGGCCGGCGGCGCAGGCGGTCGCCGGCGCCGGCGCCGTCCACCAACCTGAGCTCGAAGAGGCAGACGTCGTGGGCGAGGAGGCCATTGTCACGGGCGAACCGACGCCACCCGGTGCCGTGGAAGCCGCGGCTGCTCTCCCGGCGCACGAACCGGACGTGCCACTGATCCCCTCCTCCTCCTCCTCCTCCCCTCTCCATCACCACCTCCCTCGCCATGGCCGGCCCCAGGTACCTGCCGGCGAACTCCGGCGACACGCCCTGACCAAAAGAAATGCACCATTATATTTCAGCCATGAAATTAATCTCACTGAAAAATGTGACGAGAAATGCCTCACACTTACTACTGTGCTGTAGCGGCTGGAGAGGAGGTGGCTGGCGTGGATGACCTTCACCAACACCGGGTTGCCAGGCTCCACCGGCACGGGGACGCGCGAGATCTCCTCCTTGTCTCCCTTGCTCAGGTTGTACTCGGTCACTCGCCCGCCGTGCCTGCAGAAGTAGTACCTGTCCTCTCCATCTTTGTCAACGTCTTCGTCTTCATCTTCATCTTCGTCTTCATCGTCCCCTTCCTTCTTCTCTTCGCGATGATCTTGCTCTGCAAGGCAAGCACGTTCATGCATGTATGTACCAATATTAGTTGTTACAACAATAATGCCCATGGCCGCATACATGTCAATGATGCAGAGTCTGGATTGATTTCTACCCTATCCGTTCATATTATAAGACGCTTTGATCAAATCAAGTTTTTAGAAAAAATATATTTAATAAAACTAATTTGGTGATGAAGATGTTGCTAAACTTTCTAATAAATTTAGCTGAACTTCAACAAGTAAGTTTGATCTGAAAAAAAAAATCAAAGCGTCGTACAATATAAAACAGACAGAGCATTATCCAAGAAAATAAATTTATTAGAGTGCTGTGCGACATACCCATTTCATTTCGATGATGCAGGGGCTGGATATATTGATTTCAATTATCAAAGAAAAAATAAATTACACAGTGTTGTGTTGTGTGACATACATACCTATCTCATCACTGAATAATCCGCGCTTACATGCACTGGGGATGCTCCTGCACCTGCTGCTGTTCTTGTGGGGTGTCATCTCCAGCTGGTGTTGGTGATGGCCATTCTTGTCACCATCTCTGCCTCCTCCTTCAGCTCCTGCAGACTTCTCTTCTCTCCCAAATCCACGGTTCTCGACGAAATGCGGCGACGCCTTCTCGCAGCCGGACGGATCAAAGATGAGCACATCGAAGGAGGAGACGCCACTGTACCTGAAGAGCAGGCAGTCATTTTCCTGGACGCCATTAGCATCCACGAACTCTTTCCAGCCTGACCGAAGAACTAGTTCACCGGTGTCACTGTAGGCTACTCCAATGCTCCATGTTTTGCCGCTAGGTGACTTCAGATTCACGACCTCTGAAATGTGCCCGTTGAAATTGTTGGCAAATCTACTAGGCACGATCTGCAGAAATGACAGGTCAGTCAATCTATTCAGTGATATCAATATATAGACCATGGGAATACATGAAAAAGAAATCTTATGGAGTGAGATTTATTTGCACTTAGGCGCCTTTTATTGTGTACAGAAAAAAAATGAGAAAGAACATGAGAAAAGAACATATAAATGGAAGCCTGAGATGATTGATTTTCTCACCATGCTCTCGGTGAAGTCCCCAACCATATACGTCAAGAAGTGCTTACAGTCATCGGCCATATGGCTCCAGTAGCAGTGTTCTTGCCACTCCTTGCAAACACTGCAGTTCTTGCCTATTTTCAGCATGCCCATTTGGATATCAGGAATCAGGATGGGTAGGAAGGAATCAGGAGGAGAAAAGTGGAAAGGTGATGGGCAGAGGTACTCCGGGGACTTCAGATTCTATAGCGGTAGTTCCAATGTGAACATGTGAATCATTGGACACAAGACAAGAGTATGCCAAAATGCCAAATCCAATTGCTACTGACCAATAGTTGCACGCTAAGTTTAATATCCCCAATTTTATCCATATTAACTAATCATATTCATCAAAAGTTAACATGCCTACTATCTCCATCCTAAAAATAAAATATAAGATATTTTGTTTATGTATCCTTGCATTTCTCTTATATTTTAGTACGAAAATAGTAACCGTAACACATTAGCTCTACAGCACTAATCCTGATACTGTTCAAAACATTTTATCGGCATTGCTAATGGTTGTTGACAGAAAATTAGAGTCAAAATCTTACAAATTTGTAACCTTAGGATTCGCATCGTGTTTCATGCTCCGGCCACCCAGCTCTTTCTCATCCAGCTCTGATGATTGGCGGCGGCCCAATGAGTTAGGGTTTAGGTTCTTAGATTCGGGGGAGAGGAAAGAGAGCGGAAGTCGTTGGGCTTAAAGGGATGGCCGTGGGGAGGAGGCGACTCGATGGTAAGTGGACAACGAGGCATCACCGTTGGGATGGAGGAGGGGCGGTGGGTTGGCGTTGACGGTAGGGGCAAATTGGAGCTTCCGCTGACTTGGGGAAGAGAAGAGGGAGGGGGGAGGGTGCTATATATTGACCCCTTCCAGCCAGCCGACGATGCCAGGTGATGGTGCATGGGGCAGCTACAGAGGCATTGGCGGTGACGCTAGGGATGATGAGAGGAGAGAGAAACGGTTAGGGTTAGAGGTACAGTGTATGAATCTTAAAGCAATCCAACGGTCTAAAATTTGTTAGTTTTTGTGAGATGTTTTTAAGTCAAATGCCATATTGACATTCCCTTATTTATTTATTTATACTCTATTGCTACTATTGTTTTTCCCCTCTCTTGGCACTCACGTGCATGTACAGGCGCATCAAGGGCACCTCATATCTCTCTCTACTCATCGGCTAGCATTTTTAGAGTTACTCCAGCACTTGGCACTTGAGGCCTTATTGCATTTGATCTAGTACTCTCTTTGATAAATGATTTGTTTTACTATCCGTGTAGTTAATCTTGACTATGATTTTTTATTAGGAATATATGACATGAAAAATTAAATCACCAAATTACAAAAATTATATAAAATAACGAGTGAATTGCACTTTATGCCACATTTTATTTCCTAAGTTGCATACTAGATCAGGTATTAGAAGAACTTTTCACTTTGGGCCAGGCTTATTAACCAAGGTTTGCACTTTGTACTAGTTGTCCCACATGCCAGCAGAGGAGCAGCACTATAGCTCCACCAGTCCACCTCTGTGGTTGTGCTTACTCCTTACACTTGCGTCGCGAAGCCGAAGCGAGGGTGTTTTGAGGAGGTGGCCACGAGCTATATGTGCTCACCGGAATAGGAAGAAGCTCGAGCTGTGCCTTCTGCTCATATTGCTGTGGACAAGAGCTAGGCTCAAGGACCCTATTCTCATGGACTAGCGTCTCACCATCTCCTACCAATTCTCAAATTCAAAGCGTGAAAGGGGCAGATCCTTTATTGATTGATGATTGAATTTGACTATTGCATCTTGCTGGCTCAAGTAATCACATGTTGTTGCATGTCATTGCTAATGAGCTCGCGAGGTTTTTCCTAGAGGCCAGAGAAGATAAAAAGGGGAGAGGAAGATTAGCCCAAATTGAAACCATATGCAAACTTAGCTAGTTCAAAGTGAAAATGTCACCTTACCCCTAGCCCAAGGTGCAACACAGGTAAAAAAAAAAGTTGTTTAGTGTGCAATTAAGTGGTAAAAGTTATGCTTTTATCAATCTTGAAAAGTCTAAAATGGAAACTATATATGACCAAAAAGAGTGATAATTCATTCTTCTCTAGCCACGTCATCAATTATTTTAAATCTTAAAAAATATCTCTTCTCTTGTAAAGTTGTAATATCTTTATTATTTATAGCCTTTGATGATTGATCTCAAGTGTAAATTGTTTCTTTTCAATCATAAACCCCTCACTTTGAAATCATGAAGCCAAATCATCTCAACTATTAATACCATATAGATATTGATCTAAGTTAGAATAACAAAAAGCACATAGAGTTAAAGCATCAAGCTGCAAGGTTTCTATCTTGTTACTAACAGGTGTAAGACAATATATCCAATGGATTCTCGTTTAAGGCCTTCTAGATTATGGGAATATGCATTATCTTTATAGAAATCAAACCAAAATGCCTTTAAACTTTGTAGGCTTGCAAGGATGCCTAAAGTGAATAATTAATCTCGCTTATGACCTTATACGTACTATGCATATTGAAATAATTAATCATTTCGTTTCTTATAACTATCTATGTACGCTTTGTGAGATGCTAAATAAGAAAAAATAATTTTAGATACATGAAAACCAATAAGCAAAAATAATTATTCACAAGAATAAAAGTTATTTACGATATCAATTAATCGCTATATATGATCGTCTAAAAAAGTTATACTATCTCCGATTTTTAAATAGATGGCATTATTAACTTTTTACATACTTTTAACTCTTATTAATAAATTTTATGATAATTATTTATTTTTTACTTGATTTATGACTTTAAAAAGTACTGTTTTTAAGCCTAACTTATTTTTTATATTTATAAAAAATTAAATAAGATAAACATTCAAACATATATAAAAATGAACGGTGTTATATGTTAAAACGGAGATAGTACTATTTAAATAAACAAGTTGTGTTAACATGCCGTAGTCAGGGAATAATCGTGACTATGTTCCAGCTAAACGCGCGGTTTCGTCCACGATCAATTGTAAAAGAGGGAGACAAAGCTATCATTGACACAGGAAAAATATACTCCCTCCGTTTCAAAATATTTGACACCGTTGACTTTTTAGTACGTGTTTAACCATTCATCTTATTCAAAAAGTTTAAGTAATTATTTATTCTTTTCATATCATTTAATTCATTGTTAAATATACTTTCATGTACACATAATTTTACATATTTCACTAATTATTTTAAATAAGACGAATGGTTAAATATGTGCTAAAAAATTAACGGTGTCAAATATTTTAAAACGGAGTGAGTACATATTTTGCATACTATTTTTTGCCTGTGTATAACACTTAGCAGAAGCAATATTGACATTGTGGACATCCTACTCTGTTTTTCATGCCCCAAAACCTCGCATTGGAACTGCCAAAAGCAGATGTGACATGGTATCCAAGGAATACAGGGAATACTATATCCAAGATTACATGTCTCTAATTTTGGTCCGTGCTAGCGTGCTGCCGGCTTAAATTTCAATTGCACATTATTACTTTTAACATGATAAGCAATTGTGTTGGCTACAGGGATGAAAACGAAGCGATAGTAGTCATACAATATTTTTTAAGCGGATTCGGAGCGGTTGCGGATAGTGTGCGGATGCGGATGCGGATGTGGAGCGGATTGTTTCGGATGTCGGGAATGGTGCGGAGTCGGTGCGGAATCGGTTTGGAAACAGATTAAATTTATTGGATGTTACGTGTATATGTAATCAATACAACATCGAGTTAGCAATGCAATGAACAATAATATAATAATCAATAAATGACCCATCGTAATAATAATATGCTTGAGTACTAAACAACATGAATACATGATGTCCATAATATAAAAATACAACTAAGCAAGCATAGTGTAACATGAGATGGCGAGAGTCTCGGACTAAGAAATCTAGGTTAATTGATGAATTAGATCATTGAATGGACCAACTTATGTTATATGCAATAGATAGAGTGGTTATATGTGTACTTCGGATTATCCGGTAAACAGTTTATCGGATAATCCGATAGAAAAGTTGGATAAACCGCATCCGCCGGATTTCAGAGATACCATATCTGCATCCGCATCCATATCATACCATCCGCATCCGTAACCATATCCGTCGGATTTCTAAAAGGTCATACCATATCCTCGTTTCAGACAGACTCGGAGCGGATCGGATCGGATCGGATCGGATATTATCCGATCAGTTTTCACTCCTAGTTGGCTAGAAAGAAATAGTAGGAGGGTTTCTAAACAATTGGAGCAATCTAATATTTGTACGGCGATGCAGGTGTTGCAAGGCATATATTTCACAGCGTGAGTTCATGCTGCTAGAATAGTACCGAAACACCCTTCATACATGTTAGTCGACTATCTCCAAAATGCAGGGGCGGATTCACAATGGGGGCAGAGGGGTCTTGAGACCCACTACCGTCCTCGGCACGGTGGAGACCCTCCTAAGCTCCCACTAAATTTTTTTCCATAGATTCATAGGATATAGAGACTGTAGGTTCGGTTTATATTGATGTAGTTTATTCAGCCCCCACTACTATTCTTTCTAGATCCGCTCCTGCCAAAGTGTAAGATATTATAAGGTTATTTTAAACCCACCATTCATACATGTTAGTCGCGAGCAAGCATGCTTTGTCTCGGTTTTGGCTTGGTGTGGGCTCACCTCTGACGCATTCTTCATGCATCTTGCTTTGGACTCGAGAAACCAAACTGGGGCACGCTCTTAGCTGAGTTGTCACACTGGTGGAGAAGTAGTTTTTACTCTCGATTCGTAACCCCACTTTAGTCCCGGTTTTCCAACCGGGACTACGAATCCGAGACTAAAAATCGCTATCTTTAGTCCCGGGTGAAATAACCGGGAGTAAAAATCTATCTTTAGTACTGGTTGATGTTACGAGCATCTTTAGTCCCACCAACCGGGACTAAAGATAGAGCCAGGCTGATCCCCGGATGCTCCTTTGTTATATTCTTTTCTTCATTATTTTTAATATATTGATTTCACTCCATCCCCATCCCCAAAATCCCAAATCAATTATCACCTCCAAATCCTCAAATCGATCATCTCCAAATACATCACAAAATCTTAAAAAAAATTACATCACAACTTCTACAAAATTCATCACAAATACATCACATATTCATATCACACACAAATCAAATACATCTCAGATCCGGATCACAAATTCTCAAAAAAAAAAAAACAAAATAAGCCGCCATCTTCTACCTGCCGCCCAGCTGCCGCCTTCCGCCTTCCGCCAGCCAGCGCCGCGCGCCGACCGCCACGCGAGGCCGGTGCCGCGCCTACAGATCGGGGATGAGTGGGGGAGGGGGAGGAGGAGCCTCGCGCGGCGCCGCCGCCTGCAGATCGGGGAGGAGGAGGGGAGGGGGAGGAGAAGGAGAGGAAGGGGAGGAGGAGAGGATCATCCGCGTGTAAGATAGTGAGGAGAAGAGGATATCGGAGGAGAGGAGAAGGGGAGGAGAAGAAGAGATAGAACCGGGAGGGAGGAGGGGAGGAGGAGATATGTATCTCGATCCCGCACGCCTCGATCTCTCCGCGCATGCCGATCTTTTTTCCCGGTTGGTGTTACCAACCAGGACTAAAGATCAAAAAGTAGTTCTAACCTTTTCAACCGGGATTAAAGATAATCTTTAGTCTCCATTTTTATTGCAACCGGGACTATTGTGGAATTTGGTCGACCGACCAAAGATGGTTTCTCCACCAGTGTCACTACCACACAAACCTGGTGAGATGAGGAAACGTGCCACATCAGTACACTGTGAAGGCCCTAATGAAGCTTAAACTGTAACTTTCTAACTCGTTTCTGTTCCCCTTGCTTAATATATCCGACAGAGCTCCTCCCATCTTTCCTAAAAAAACATGGTAAGCAATGCCACTGAAATGAAAAGTCTTCAGAAAATGACACTCTACCATGATGAGCTTCGTAACTCGCTCACTTAAAGTTTCTCTTACGGGTTAGTTCAATCCCTGACATTATAATTTATCCAAACAAATTCTTAAAATCTATCATTTATCTTAACATAGTTTTTTCACCCACTAAAAACGCCAAGTGGGTGCGTCATGTCATCCTCGTATACAAGGAAAACATTCAAATGATCATTCTACCCTTGTGTATGTCATATAATAGAAAAAGAAAGAAAAACAAATACTAACAACCTAGAACTCATGATAGAAACCATGTTTTTTAAGGGAAAGATAGAAACAATGTTGGCTGGCCTGTCATCTTTTTTTTCTTTTTATTTATTATGGGGTATATGTAAAAGAGTAGAATGATCATTTAATCTATCTATCTATATTTTAAAAGCTGACGGGAGACCCAGTATAAGAGAGAAGAAAAACAAAAAGGGATAATTGCATCCATGCCCCCACTTTCGAAGCCAATTGCTCTTTTACCCCCACTTTTTAGGGTTTGCAGTTTTACCCTCACCTTTTGAATATGAACCAGCAGTGTGCCCTCACTTCTAACAGCGGGTTTTAACGGTGTTAGTTGTAGAGAAAATGACAATTATACCCTTAGTGGTTATTGCATTTTCCCCCATTTTTTTTAGCTTTGTTTGATTTTGCCCCTATTTGTGATTTCAGGTTGTGTGATGGTTATAAATAATTCAAGGGATCCCATAATTCAAATATGAGCATCTCTTGTGATGTTTTTTACTTTAACAAAACAAAATCACAAATACTAGGCAGTTACAAAATTTGACCAAAATTTAAATAAAATTTGGACAGCATTTGGACAGAATTTTGGCACAACTAGCACAAGCCACATACTTCCTCCGTTTCAAAATGTTTGACACCGTTGACTTTTTAGCACATGTTTAACCGTTCGTCTTATTCAAAAATATTTGTAAAATATGTAAAACTATATGTACATGAAAATATATTTAACAGTGAATCAAATGATATGAAAAAAATAAATAATTACTTAAATTTTTTTAATAAGACGAATGGTCAAACATATACTAAAAAGTCAACCGTGTCAAACATTTTAAAATGGAGGGAGTATATAGCAAGCATTACAAAGTGTCTCATACAGATAAGCCACGGTACATATAAGTCATCGACGATAAACATTACTTAGTGTCTACAGACATAATTGCACACATCACATGTCGGCGTGGAACAGCCGTTGCCGCCGGCTGGCTACCTCCTGGATAGGCCTGACAGATATTAGCACCTCAAGGCCTGCGGCGGAAGAAAAATATACTTGTGATTAATAGAGGTGTTAATGAAGCACTAGGAATGATGTTAATGTGCAGCGCAGCGGCAGAGGGGATGGCAAATTTGTTGAGGCTGACCTACAGTCTCCCTGCTGCAGCGGTGTTGGCGAAGATGAGGCGCTGGACCTCCCTGCTTCCGCTGGAGTAGATGTAGGCCTTGGCCCGCCACCGCCGCAGCGCCTTGAGGTACTAATACGCGGCCGCCCGCCTGCCCTCGACGAGGCCGACGCGTGCCGCCCCCACGCCCTTGGCCGCCGCCGCCTCGCGCAAGCCCGCGGGCTCTCGCCGCCGCCTCCACGCTGCGCGCGCGCCCTCGCCGCCGCTGCCCCGCACGCACGGTTTCGCCCACACCTGACCAAACCGACGCACGGGAGTGCCCGGGTGGGAGGCATATCTATCCATTCCTAAGGGGTACAAAGGTAATTTCATAATTCGTAAACCTTTTTTTAATTTTCTTTTCTATTTCTTTAACACAAAACGTGAGACCCACCAAACGACTATCACAAGTGAGAGTAGACGGTTCGTTTAGATTAAAAAGTGGGGTAAAACTACAAACCCTAAAAAACATAGGTAAACGAGTAATTGGCTTCAAAAGTGAAGCTATGATGCAATTGTCCCAAACAAAAAAACATAAGCTAGCGCGCGAGAAGATGGGCCAAGTATCCAGCTGGGTCCCGCACAAATAGGCATAGGCCTTTCGTCGTGGTACGTGCACACGTCTTCCCGTTGCCTACTTGTGTCTATTGACCTGAGATGCACCGATGGCAAGCAAACCAGGTTGGGTTGGGTCAGCTTGGCTGAGCCCAACGACAAACCATCTCTCTCTCTTTAGATAAAAAATAATCCAATTTTGAAATTTAAAATTGTTCATATCTAATTATTTATACAAGTTCATTTCAAAATAAAATATCACATATTAAAAGATAATTTTCTTAATAAAATACTGTCATTTAATTTGAAGGTTTTCAGAATAATATGATTTGCTACACACTAAGCCAGAGTTTTAATATTCATTACAAAGTTTTTATCATAGTCTATACTCTAGATAACACCTGAACAATATGCATGGGCTATAAACTAAGCGTGATAACACCTGAACAATAATACTCCATCCTTCCAAAAATCTGAGACATATTTTATCCTTTAGTTTTTCCAAAAATCTAAGTCCTATTTGTAGTCACTATGTGCTAAATTAAATTGTTGATCAGAAACCAAGAAGTTATTCTAATACTTATTGGTTGCATGTTCATTGGTTTTGCCATATGGTGAGTGAGTTAATTGCTTCTTGGTATTAATGTAAAAAGAAATATGTGTCAGATTTTTGGAAGGAGGGAGTAAATTTTAAGTACTTATTTGAACAAGTTAGAATAAATTGAAATGTCGATGATTGAAATGATCCTGGAGCGAAAGTTCAAGTACCATGTTATTCACAAAGTACTCTGGACAACGTTCTCCATTTGAAATTAGTTGTGTGTTTTTTCCCAAAGAAATTGATAGAATGCCATTGATTTTCAACACAGTCTATGGCTTTGTCAGAGTATATATTAAATGACAGACCAAAACAAAACTAATACTCCATGTATAAATATAAACATATCTAATTTTTTTAAAAAATATTAAGAATCAAAGAAAAGGACATTAATGCCCCTTAATAAAGGATGATTAGGGTAAGATAGGAAGAAAATTAAAAAAAAGAGTGGTTGTATGTGATAAGAGTCCCACTCCGATGCTTTCTACTCGGAGTATAAATTAATCTAAACCGTTGATCGTTTTATATCTAATGGGTCAGATCTATTTATACTCCTATCTTAAATAGCGGTAGTAGAAACGTCAGAGGGTATAATCGTCCAAAAAAAATATGGACGGGGATGGTTGAATTCGTAATTTTGCATATCAGTTAGAAACACTTGAGCATCGTTGGGTCGTGCTAGGTTTAGGGTGAGTGTGGCGGAGCAGATGCGATGAGCAGATCGGCGGCGTGCTTCCATGAGATCGTTGCGGGATTACGGCGGGGGATCAGCCTCGGGAGGCTACTCCTTGCCCAGCGGCTCAAATGCTGGAGATCAGTATGCGTTCCACGCCAGGCCCGAGAAGGAGACATATAACTAGCGAGCCTGAAGCCCTGAACCACGACAAGAAGTCAGATCAATTCAACGATTTCAACGCCATCGAAGCCAATCAATATTACAGTGTTTTGAGCATCGCTCTGAACTGAGCAAATGACCACTCTGAACTTAAATACTTCGGTACCATCCTTGGACAAATTTAGCGATGTTAATGGCTTAATTCTTTAAGAACCGAAAACACAACATGTGGAGAAACTAATAAATAGGTTTTAAAGATAATCATGGTGAGTTTATAACAGCACATTTGCTCTTGCTGCTCGATTTGACTATATAGCTTTGTTCAGTAGTTCTTTGTAGTATTATCTGTTCGACGGAGGAGCTCGCACATGCCGGAGTGGGCACTGCCGCCGTAGTCGGGCGCACGCGAGAACGAAAGAAGCGGTGACACACGAACTGATCCTACTATTAAGAAAAAAAAGTAAAAGTTAAAAATTACCCTTAACCATAAATTAGTAAAATACTAATTTGCCCTTATAAATTAATGGCTCAAATTGCTTCTACTTGTAGTAGAATACTACAAGTAGAGAGCACCGTAGCAATGCTCATGTGATAAATATAGTACTCTACAAATTCATGGACAAATGGTTATATCATGTAAAGTGGCGGATCCACTATTAGGGCTTGTTGGTGCGCAAGCCCAGCTTCACCCCTTTTCCTCTAATTAGTGACTAATGACTCTAACTAATCAACAATTAGTGTAAGTATAGCAGTACGGCAAAGAAAGCTAGCTGAAGTGCTTATTGTTACGTTGCAAGTGTGAAATATGCATGCTCCGAGTGACCATACCAATTAGTTAATAGGTATATGTGGATATATTAGTATAGCTGCAAATTAAAATGAAGAATTTAAGCAATGGGTTGTCTTTTGATCTAATGTGTTTTTGATTTCATCTAAAAATACTGAGTTTATATGTTACTCCCTCCATCCAAAATTAATCATCATGTAGAATCCAAAATTTCTCAAATTGTGATCAGCATATAACTGCATGGACATGAATTTTATCATAATACAATTAATGCAGTATGGAAGAATGTACGCATGCTAGGGTGTAATTGGCATGGGGTTTTAGTCGATGCATGTATTGTTGGAGATTGTGTGCATGGAGTCTTGGTTGATGTGATTAAAATTGCCCTTGGTCTTGGTGCATAAACTTATATGATGATCAATTTGGGAAGGAGAGAGTAATTTGTACTCCCTCCGTTCCAAAATATGAGGCAAAACCACCCTTAACCCAAAGACAAAGAAACAATTATTATCATCTCCTAGTTTGGATCACCCTAATAAATATAATGCATGCATCCAATAGAATTAGAGATTTTGAGCGTGGAGGATTTAAAAAAGTACTCCCTCCATCTACTTTTGATACTCATATTTCAATCCAACAATCTATCATCTTAATGACTTTCTCGGATTTAATGCGTGACTCTCCATTCTTCCACATATAATTGGCTACATGGGCATTGAGAAATGTAAATATTAATGAATCGCTTGTTTACGAGGAATGACTAGTAACATGTTTAAATGGATGTTTAAATGTTCCAAGATGAAATATGACTATCAAAAGTAGATGGAGGGAGTAATAATTTAATGAAGAAGATGTCCTAATTAATTGTATGCATGCATACATTATATTATGGAACATTAAAAAAAAGTAGTTGTGCCTTTGTCGGTGATATGGGCCTAGGGGTATGCAAGATGGAGGCCGGGAAGAAGTCCTTCCCTCTGGACACGTGGCATGGGCCTAGGGGTATGCAAGATGGAGGCCGGGAAGAAGTCCTTCCCTCTGGACACGTGGCAGTGCGGTCTTATTCCCCTCCCCCCTTGGGGGGAAAGCAAGCGGTCGTGAAGCGGCCAAAGGGCCTCGGGGTATCCCGCCGCACCCCTCGGGCCCTCGGGGCAAGCTGCCCCGAGGCCCTCGCTCGGCTGCCGCGTGGTGGCCAAGTGGGCGGAGAGAGAGCTGCTCAGGCGCCTTAAATAAGCGGCGCCCCAACCGTCCCCCGCCGCATTTAAAGCGGCGTGGGCAAACGTGAGGCGCCACCCGATTAACGTGCGTCAATCAGGCTTGACCGATCTGAGACCGGTCAACAGGCGGATGGGACGGGTAGCAACGCACCCACGCCCCGCCCACTGTCAGGCGGAGTGGGGGTAGGTATGCCCCGTCCCATCGGCACGCTGCCAGGTGGAGTGGGGGCAGGTATGCCCCGTCCCATCGGCACGCTGCCAGGTGCGCCCCCTACGTGTGGTGAGTCCGCCAAAGTCTCCATACATTTATGAGGGAATAACAGGGATGTCCCCTGTGTCAGGCGGAGGACGGCGCAGGACCCCACCTAGGGGCAGGCAACCGCTTTGCTTCCAGTTGAAACAAAGGATAGTGATCTGACCAGGGCCATGTGGGCCCCCCTCCCGTGAAGGGGTAGGTATGAACGGTGCATGTGGTATCTCCTTGAACTATAAAAGGAGAATTGTCACCACCGGAAAAAGGGGACGACTCTTAATAGCTCGAGCTCTAGAGGAAAAACAGTGAAGGGTTTCCAAGGAGCTCAAGATCTCTTGTAAGAACTCCACCATAATCCCACGGACAGGAGTAGGGTGTTACGCCTCCAGGCGGCCTGAACCTGTATAATCCCCCATCTCACACACAGATCCGAGAGCGATTTGGTAGTTAGACCATAGGCGGAGGTACGCTCTTGATCATCGCGCCTTATCCCCCGGCCGAACTCACGACGTCCCGCTAGAGAGGATCACTTCTCGACAGCCTTATATTATGAAACGGAGGGAGTATCTATCACACAACTATTTCTATACACAAGCCCCTCCTCAATTTACTTCCTGGATTCGCCACTGATCATGTACTACATTTTCATTCACATGATGCACCATTGCACCTCCACCATCGCAATTACTCCTAGCAAAAACAAAAGTCATGGCTGAACTTTTGGAACTACAAGCAAACCGGTCAGTCTAATAACTGTTCATTGATAGTGTATCAGCAGCACAACAAACTTCGCTGTAGATCAAACGTAGTAAAAAGCAAACCCGTACTTGCAAAAATCGGCAGAAATGGCTGAGAGAACCATATTGATTTCATTTTCTGCGAATGATATGGACATCCATCACATATTTCTTCTTGTCTTTCAGTAGGTCGAAGAGGCAGATATCTCCCAGGTGCAGCTTGTTGTCACCTGCAAACTGTCTCCACCCTTTCAAAAACCTTTTCGAGTTTTGCTTAGTAAGACAACACCGCACATTCCAACTCTTGCCATGATGTTGAAGCACGACTGTTCCATCCTCAAATGGGAGATATACATCGGCATATTTCTTAGAAATTTCCTAATTGAAAGGGAAAAAGATCGAATTTAGCTAGGAAGATTGAAATAGAATGAAATAAAATACTACTACTAGTAAATATAACATGTCTCCTCCATACAATTTGCAGTCATAGAGTTTCAGACAAAGTAAAACATTTCCAGTCCAGTTACAACATTTAGTTTACTATCGCGTCGTATAACCTTTTAATTTGCTAGTGCATCGTATAACCTTCAATAGGCAAAGGGTGATATTGACTCAAATAGAACTTTGGTTGAGACTTGAGAACACAAAATATGATTTTTCTTTTTTTTTTTTGGAGCGAACAGAGGGCAAGAATATTCAATATTCAAGAACAGAAACTTTAACTCACCACGGTACAAGGAATCCCATGAATACTGCTATTGTTCATGACATACCCATAGATTGGGGTTTCAGAATTAATAGCTTTCACCTTCTCTATCAGTATATTCTTCTGCAAACGAGTAAGATCGGTCCGGGATGGGAGGATGCAACCCGGTACAAGTTCCGCTTTCAGACCTTCTTCTGAAGATGAAGCACAACATAATATCAAAAATAAAATATGATGTAAAGGGACTCTAAATGTACTCTCAATGCTTTTTTAAGTTTAACATCACTATACTTATATAACCTGATGGCTTCACTGTCCCCTGCCTTGAGATATCCCTTTGCTTCCGTTTCTTCTTTTCATCTTGTGAGTTTCTCATGGCAATATCGTAAGATCTGCCTGACATGTCAACAGGTTTTTCACATACTTTCTCGCAACCACTCGAATCAAAGATTAGAGTCTTCAGTTGAGAGTCACCACTGTACTTGAATACCAAGAAGTCCCCAATTTTCAGATCATGGGCACTGACATATGATGCCCAACCTGATTGAAGGACTACTCTGCCAGAATTCTTGGTAACCTGAACATCAAAAGTGAGGCCGCTGCGTGTTTCCAGCTTAATAGATTTTGGTATTTTGCCCCCGAAATTATGTAGAAATTCATTCGGTATTGTCTGCAACAACATAGTAAACAGAGCTCTTAGGGGAACGGAAGCAGACGAGACAAGCAGTAGAGTAACTTTGCCAAAATCAAGAGTTTGTTTAATTTGATACTACCTCTATTTTTTAATATATAATGCTGTTAATTTTTTACACCATATTTTTAAGATTTGCACAAAACTTTTTGAATAAAATAAATGTCAATGTTTGTAATAAAAGTCAACAATGTTATATATTAAAAAAAGGAGGGAGTACAATTAAACATCATTGTCTACGTGAAAATTAAGCATGCTTAGTTGTCATGGAGCTAAATTCATTCAGATGCAAAATAGAAAGGAATTGCGTATTTGCGTACATGGTTACTAAATTAATTATGTTTCGGTCCTGAAAGTTCTGTATTAGAGTACGGTTGTCGAATATGGTGACGAACCAATAAATAGTTAGGGTATCCACAATGTGTCATAAAATTGAGTCATAAACCTTATGACTAGCCATATACATTATAGGCATTAGACATAAGACACTAAATGTTAAAAATAGGCTCAACCTTAATAAATAAAATAATGAGATAAAGCACACATACACACTAAAAAAGATGAGAATATATTATGGTATGGTGGGACCTACCTTAAAATAGAATTTGTTTACATAGATGTGGGACCCATCTTAACATATATTATTGCCTTAAACATTGTAGCCATGGATATAGGGTATGGTGGGACCTACCTTATTTTCACCAAGACCTTAAGCATTGTTGTTGCCCTTAATGTTGTTTTTAAGATTTTCACCATTGGTTATACTATTATTATAATATGCTAAATAAATAGAAAAATTAACTGCATGAAATCCTAGAAAAGTGATTTAATATAGTTTCATGGTCACCTGAAAGAAATAGTTTTCATGGGGCGAATTAGATAATTTCTACATACATACATACTTCGGACCTGGGAAATATAAACGGTTGACTGCATGGATTCTAAACGCCATTAATTCGTTTTGTTGTAAATCAAATTAGTAATTTCGTTTTATAAAAATATACTTCCACCTCCGCTCTAAAATATAGCAACCTAATATTCTATACTAGTACTACTAATCCTATTGTTATATTTTGAGTCAGAGGGAATAGTAACTACTAGTTAAGCTTTGGGATCAGATAGATAATACATACTCCTAAGTTAGAGCAAAATGTAATTAAATCACTAATTTGCTACTACACATGTTAACCTACTGAGTAACTCATACTTCCTCCGTTTCATATTACAAGACTTTCTAGCATTGCCCACATTCATATATACTAGAAAATCAGCACGTCTGTTGACGCACACACTAATGAGCCTGTACATGCGTACAAACCATAAATTCAATAATGACTTTTATTAAATTTTATAAATTTATTTTGATATGAAATTTATCATCACAACTTTCAAATTTTGATTGAACCATTTCTTAAATGTGCAAGAGGGAGTAGGAAATGTTTAGCTAGAAAAGTAAGATATACATATTATAATATAAATGTGTTTTTATCACCAGGGAATATGTTTTGTCCCTACTATCTCTTGTTTATACTCCATCCGTCTCTTATATAATTTTAACATTTTGCTTGCACTGTTTGACCACTTGTCTTATTCAAAAGATTTGTGTAAATATAAAAAACGAAAATTTATGCTTAAAGTACTTTGGGTAATAAAGTAAGTCACAAATAAAATAAATAATAATTTTAAAATTTTTTGAATAAGACGAATGATCAAACAGTGTAAACAGAATATCAAAATCCCTTATATTAAGGGATGAAGGGAGTATCTTATATTCCCTCCGTTCGAAATTGCAAAGTATTTTGGGTCTATGCTAGGTTAAATACCTTTTAAGTTCATAGAAAAATCTGGTGGAATTTTCAACACAAAAATGTATTATAAAAGCGTATTTGCTGGTGGTATTTAATGAAATTAATTTGATATTATAGATGTTACTGCGTTTAATAAACTTAGTTATTTTTTTAAAAAATGACTTGAGACAAACCCATGACGTCATTTACCGAGCATAGGACATTAATTAAGATGCTTCGCACTTACCTTAAATTTAAGGTGTATTATGCCCCATTATTTTCTCCATACCAAATCAACCACCGCAAAATTTGAATTTTGAAACTTAATTTTTAAATTATGTTGATTTTAATTTTTTATTGAAGTTTATTTTTTAGCATTAGGACTTAAATCACTAAGGCTGCATTGGGTTCCAACTCCCCCTCTTGTTTTTCGCACGCACGCTTTTCGAACTGAAACAATATGTTTTTTTAAAAAAAGTTTTTTTTATAGTTGCTTAAATAATTATATTGATCCATTTTTTTTAAAAAAGCTAATACTTTATACTTAATTAATCACATGCTAAGGGACCGCTCCATTTGCCGTGCGGGAGGGAGTAGTTCTCATCCTCCTTAAACGAACCCAGCCTAAGAACATAAACATAAAAATTTTACTTATTATTTTTTTTATTAATATATTGTACGGCGTATATGTATTTACATGAAAATCCGAATATTTTCACCCTTTTTATTTTCTTTTTATTCTTTTGATTTCTTTCCCAATTGCCCAAGCTAAATCATTTTTCCCAGACTTCCGGCCCATTTATATTTATATATTTTTTATGTCTTACTTCGTACTATTTCGGTAGATAGCTAGACTCAGCCTGGCAGACATATCTATAGAATTATGTGTGTAGAAAAGTTTTGATGTGTTTAGTTCACATTAAAATTGGAAGTTTGGTTGAAATTAGAACGATTTGATGGAAAAGTTAAAAGTTTATGTTTATAGAAAAGTTTTGATGTGATGAAAAAGTTAAAAGTTCGAAGAAATAAACACGGCGAGAGTCACAACTCACCACTCACGAGCCCTTATGACGGCACGTATGCTTTCCTTTGGGCTTATCCATTTTAAAATCCACAGAGGACAAGGGAAAAAAAATGAAGAGCCATCTCGTTCCCCTGAATTTCCCTCTTGTTTCTCTCCTTTCCTTCCTCTTCGCCAAATCTAAAATAGTTGGTAGTACAGATTGTCCGTTCCTTCCCATCCCCTTCATATCTTGATTAATCTCTGTAGCAGTGAGAAGTTTAGGACGTAACCATGGGGTGCTTAGGTCCGACACCATTGACTATTCTTTCGCAGGAGAGATCTGTGTTGGCCACCTTCCCTTGTCATGGAGTTCAAGCTGCCCGAGGACGCTGATGAACCACCCCAGCTCACTTCTGTTGTGTGTTCTTTTTTTAATCTTTCTTTGTTTCCTCTTCTCGATTTTCCTGTAATTTTTCCTTACCCTGGATGAATCTAGGGTTCGGTGTTCTCTATTTTCATTGTAATTTTCTTCTAGATGAATCCATGATTTATTTGGTCTTTTTTTTATTGAATTTCGAATTTGTTTGTGAGATTGTTTGTCACAATGCACCTGTAGATAAATCAATGATTTATTTGGTATGTTCTTTTTCACTAATTTTCGGGTTTATATATGAGGTTGGTTTGTCACAAGGCATCTGTATATGAATCTATGCTCCGGAGAGTTCTCCTCTCTTCGGGAAGGTCCTCTATTTCCTATTGCAATTTTTTTACCATAAGTAATTTCTCTATCTATCTTAAAGTTTCTTTCACCGTTGATATGCCATCTAACGGCTGTGAGATGGTGCGAATACGTGGCATGTTTTTCAGCTGAGAATTGAAACAGAGCGCAATGCATGAGGCCACGTGGCCCAATGAGAGACCAGGAATTGGACCCTATATAGAGATATGTTAATAAATCTAGTCACATATATAATATCTAGATTCATCAACATATATATATATATATATATATATATACACACATATATATACGGGGGCAATGCTAGAAAGTCTGGTAAGCTGAACGTAGGTAGTAACAGATAAGACCCCAAAAGGCCGGCGCAGAACAAAGAGCTTACCACTCTTTCATGGAAATCACCAAGCATGACCTTGAAGAAATGTTTGTCTTCCCCATTGGTACGGTTCCAGTCGAAATATGCATCGTCTCCCTCCTTGCTGCATCTCCCACCGCTCTTACTCATCTTGCAACCACACTACAATACTACATATGCACATAGATCAGATAAAAGGGAAAAAAAAACCTAACCTGCTAGAAATTGGAGTTTTAGTTAATGATAACAATGAAGGGGTAAAAAATAGAAGGTCACACTTTCTGCCAAGACTAAGGGTACATTTTGTGGCAAATCCTTTCTGAAAGCTTAAGCTAGTTTCACCAGTAAATGAATCATTCAACAAGAGGGGAAAAATGCATCAGTTGCCAAGAAGAGAGGTTGAAGAAGGTAAGGAAGAAATGAAAGCACGATAATGCATGTAAACAAAGGATTTCAGATAAAGTGGCCTTCACAAGAACGTACAGGTAGGAATATATGCAGACAGAGCTGCAAATTGGTTTCTGCGACCTACCTGAGCTCAACTGGAGAACGATCGGCGATTCGGTGCTTCTCCGTCTTCTCTCGATGCTGCAGGTAAAGGTGATTGAATGCTTGTGAGAGAGCAGCAGATGCCAATCTGCATTGAATGCTTCCAACAATCTACCCGGGAAAAGAAAAAGGGTAATTTGCAACCATGCCATTAAAATTTTGCAAAGTTTGAGATATGTCATTGGTATCTCAATTACATGTAGAATCTACATGAGGTCAATGATATGTGGATCATGATAGAATATCTCAAATTATGCAAAATTATAATAGCATGGTTCCAATTTTCCGAAAGAAAAAAGGTTGCCCCGGCCCTTTGGAAAGGGGGATCGTATCCTCTGCCATTCCAACTGAAATACTAGCAGAGGTGAACAGTGATCTGTGCCATTGGCTATTTACATTCGTTGGATCAAGTTTGGATGTACGAGATCGTCTGCTAATTCCGATAAAATAAATAAACGGTATTTTCAATATAGCAATGGAACAGCACTGTAGCAGCTCTCACGTTTCACTGTTCGCCTCTGCCATTCTCCCCTGATGGCAGAGGATGCGAACCCTTGGAAAGGATATAATACAAATGGAGGATATTTCGGATTTGAATCCCACATAATTTCTTTTTGGAACAAATGATTTGGCACCATTAGATACAAAATTTCTTTGGAATGTAGATGAAAAGTTAGCATAAGATTTAGTCTTTTGAAATTTCTATGTAAGTCTATCCTTTTCACGCACAATAATTTGTTATAGTTTAGAGACAGGAATGAACTCTATTTATTTTTTTCTAAAAAAAATCTGGTTTCATCTATTTTCTTTGTTTTTTTATGTCTATTGAAATGGTCATTCATATATTTTTCTATTGTTTTACAATACACATGTTTAACGCTTACATGAAGGGTGAAAACGTCGGAATCGGTAGTATATCTTCGAAAATGATGCTCGATCGGTCGATAATTAACCATATTTTCATTTAAATTACTTAGTTTTGACATTAATACGATGCATATAAAGTAATTAGAAAAAACAAAATTTATATATAGCCAAAAAAGATAATGGTAAAAAACGGTGGCCCTTATATGGAAACGACGCTCGATGGATCGTGACCATTTGTTACATATATCTATTATCTTTACTACTTAAAAAATACGTAGTGGTGATGGTGAAGCCAACGTAGACGTACTGAGCCCACACCCGCGCCTCCCCCTCTCACGTCCACCTCCTCCACACTACCATCGCGCCGCGCCGCGCGACCCTCCAGATGCAGCATTGATGCGGGCCGATCCGGAATCAACGCAAAAAAAAAAAGCGCCTCCACACCATCGCCGCCCCAATCCACCCTCGCGCCTCCCCACATACCCACCAGCGCCTCCTCTCACGCCCGCACCCACGCCCTAAAAACGCCCCGCCCCCGCCGCCACGCCGACACCGCCGCGCCGCTCCGCCGCCCCTATCACGCCTGCCGCTGCTGCTCCGCCGCCCCTCTCACGCCTGCCGCCGCTGCTCCGCCGCCGCCCTTCATGCCGCTCGGGAGGAGTTGCGACGGGGTCGAGCCCCTCATCGTCGACCACCTTTCTTCGCTCGCAGCCGCCGTCGTAGCGTGCGTCGTCGTCACCAGACACCTGCGATCATCATTCCCTCTGTGTCACCTCGCCGTCCGTCTGTACTACACCTCTGCCGCCGGGCAGCCGCCGTCGTAGCGTGCGTCGTCGTCACCAGTGATCACCATTCCCTCAGTGCCGCCTCGCCGTCCATCCGTACTCCACCTCTGCCGCCGGGACTCAGGGCCGAACAGATCTCCCCGGCCGCGGTCGCTCGTTCTTTTGCTGCAAAACTAAAATGGTCAGGATAACACCAATGCACTTTATTTTTTATGACCTATACTTGCCTGCTCTTTTCTGCTCATTGGGGATCAATAGGAAATGACTTTCAGACTGATACTAGCCTACTGTTTTAAGTCTCTGCATATGCTGAATCTGAAAGTACCAGCCTGGTCTTTTCTGCTCGTTGGGGATCAATTGGAAATGAATTTCAGACCGATACTAGCCTGCTGTTATAAGTCTCTGCATATGCTGAATCTGAAAGTACCACTTATAGTCATTATAGAACCAAATAGGTTGGAGCTTGCATGCTCAGTTGCGAACAGATGTATTTAGGTGCCAGTCTCTTCGGTTTGCCCATGGCTGCGATGCACAATAGCAGGGTTAATCTTGCTAAGATGTAATTTTCTTGAATTGTATATCCGTTCAGATTAATGAGCCGAGCAAATTTCTGTTGCAGATTTGGCCTGGTGAACCTAAAGCAGTTTTCTGATGCAGTGTTGCTGCAATCTGACACTAGGTGAGTTGTATCTGCTATTCCTTTTCCTGGCTATTTCCAAGTTGCAGTATTGCAAGATGATAACTTTGTTTTACCATGTTTTCTTTGCCACTTAACAAACCTAAACTGGTGAGTATGTTAATAGCAAGGTATTCTACACAATTTGGTCCAATATGGTTCTAAGTTGCAGTATTGCAAGATGATAACTTTGTTTTACCATGTTTTCTTTGCCACTTAACAAACCTAAACTGGTGAGTCTGTTAATAGCAAGGTATTCTACACAATTTGGTCCAATATGGTTCTGTAGCCTTGCATATGTATGAACATTTCTATTCCACGTTGTGGTACTTGGACTTGGCTGGTAATAGTTTGGTATTTCGAGTTTAACCTGGCTCTGGTATTGTGGCACTTCGAATTTCAAGTTTCCAACCAATTTTTAACATAAATGGCTAGATGACACACTCAACCTGACTTTGAATTCTGTATGCTCCATTCAAAGTACATTTAAATGACTGCTATTAAGATGTGGAGCAAAGTACCTGCTATAACTCAACCTGACTTTGAATTCTGTATGCTCCATTCAAAGTACATTTAAATGGCTGCTATTAAGATGTGGAGCAAAGTACCTGCTATAGATAGATTGTTACTGAAAACTCAAATCAGACCTTGCATTATTTGAAGTGATTCATGCCATTGACAGCTAGATCAATTCCATGTTGAAATATTAAATTTGTTTTGAAGCATCTTAAGAATTTACTTACTACCATAAAGTAGGCGTGATCCATGGAGACGGTAGCACTACCCATGCCTCGTCTCGTATCACAGCGAACAGCTGCTTCTATCCCTCACAATCTCATTCCCTAAATTGAAGGTACGGCCAATTTCTTCACCGCTCCCTTCTTAACTTTGCTATGGGATCTGAAGCTTTTAGTTTTTTCATAATGATTGGTTTCGAAAGCTAGATTCTGAAAAAGACTGAAATGAAAGAGTTTGTTGGGGGTGCCGTACCATCAAGTACAACATCAGGTTTTAGTTTCATTAGCTTAGCTATGTGCATCTTATTTAGCCATATGCACAAATTCTTTGCGTACTAATTTCGACCATGTGTTCCTTTCTCAGACCCTCTTGCTGCTATAACAAATACAAATGGTCTCGGTTTCACTAATAGACGGGGCAAGGGTAGAGCCAAGTCGTTATGTGTTGTTCGAAGAAACGACGAAGAGTGTCACGGCTCTAAAGAAAACTGTGACAACTCTGAACAGAACACTCCAATAGCTTCAAATGGTATGCTTCATCAGAATGTGTGTTTCCAAATTTAATTTGATATCCATCTGTATCAACCAACGGATTTGGGCCATGAAGTTGTGCATCCTATTGTCATGCCTAATAGTCAGCCATTTGCGGATGACCGCGATGCATCCTTCAGTACACCCAGCAATTTGCCTATGTGCACAGGTGCGCATGGAGATGTTACTAACCTTACCCATGCTGAAGTTGTAAGAAAGCGTGCTAGAAACTGGTATGCATCATTGACCCAGGAGCAAAAGGATGAGAGGAACAAGAAGGACCGTGAGAGAAGAAAACGGAAGGAGGAGGAAAGTCAAGTTTTAAATAAGTCTGCAACCAATAGTGGTGTAGGTAAGTACCCAAAAGGATCCAATATTTTGTTTTTACCATCCGCTTTAGCTTGAGTTGTAATATGTATCTGTACTAATAAAAAGTATCTTCGGTCGCTTTTTCACCGTGTGAACAGCCCCACTTGGCAAGCTTTCCAATATAAGTGCTGCTGATTTAATGACATGCCAATTGGAAGTGAACGATTCTTCTACGTTGCATAAAGGTAAGACCAATTCATCTCATTATTGTTACGTACACCTTGGATGAACAGTCTATTATTCGACATAATGGAAATTGATGGTTTCATGTTTTAATAGAACGAAGTGATGCTTCCCATCTTAATATCACACCCAGACGTCTCCCATTTACAATCATCAACAATGTAGCTCACTATGGTCCAAATGAAGTTCCAATGAGCTGCGTAATTCAAACAACCCAAAACAGAGACGTCAAGTTGCGTAATGCAACTCTTACACCGGAGCAGAAGCAAGCTAAGGTCGATCGACAGAGAACAAGACGTCAAGCACTAACCAATGAACAGAGACTAGAGATGAATGATCGCCGTAGGGTTGCGAGGCAAACTCTGCCGGATGTGGAAATACATGATATGAATGCTCGCCAGCGATCAAGACGACAAAGTGTTACTCCTGGAGAACGGTCTGCTCATCTGGCACGACATAATGAACTGTATGCAACTAGGCGTGACAAACCATGCGCTCAATCGATTGCATTGGAGTGCCCTGAGGATTGTAGCTCGTCGTTCCTAAATCCAACGCCTTCCTTTGAAACAACCGGTGATGTGCCAGCTACATCGAGCCTGCAAACTGAACTTGCTGCAGATCATCTTGCACGATCGTCTAACTTTGATGATGGTATCATCTATATATGTTTTCATTTATACTCGCAATTTGTACCCTTCCTCATACTCACTTTATATTCAACTAAATTAGATATGGATTCCTTCATGGATGATGACACCGACGATGAACACTACATGTTTGCTGGGCTAGGTACTGTCGCCATCATACCTAAATCTCTCACTTTCACTTGTATGGATTTTTCAATCTATAACTCCTTTCCGCTATACTAGGCGATGATGAGGATGACGAGATGGTACAATCCGATGACGATGACACGCAAGCACTGAGCTCTTCAATTCCTGATCCGTTCGACTTTGTGTATAGCAACATCCCACAGAGCGAAAATGTTCTGAAACCTGAGCCTGACTGTAAACACTGTGGCGCCAAGAGGTTCCAGTATGAACCGCCGGGCTTCTGTTGTCGGGATGGCAAGATCAAGCTTGTAGAAAACGAAACACCACCTGAACTGATGAGGCTCTGGACAAGCTCGGATCCAGACGCAAAGCATTTCCGGGATAACATTAGATATTTCAACGGCCACTTCTCATTCACTACCCTGGGTGTAAGCCTTGACAGTGCCTTCGCAAACATGAGTTCGGGTGTGTACACTTTTCGGGCCCACGGTCAGATCTATCATAATATACATTCTTTCAGTCCTAAGGAATCCGGTCCAGAGCATCTCGAGCTGTATTTCTACGATGACGATCCAACCTTGAGTCACAGGTTCCACCGTTCCCCGAGTCTTGACTAGGATGTAATTAGGACTGTTGCAGACGTCCTTCGAAACAACCCGTACTCGGAGACATTCAGAAGTCTGGGGCAGGCTAACGACCTCGCGAACTACCGCGTGACACTAAATTTGGATTATAGGTTGGACCAAAGGCGCTACAATGTGCCGGTGACAACTGAGGTCGCTGCTGTCTGGGTTGAGGGAAACGAGAGAAGGAAGTTCGAGCCTAGCGTGACAAAAAATGGGAATGACCGTACGCGGAAATCTATCCAGCCTTTCTACGGATGTTATGATTCCCTCTCGTACCCTCTGTTCTTCCCTAGAGGAGAGAGTGGTTGGCATCAAGGTCTTCCAAAGGACAAAATAACCATGGAGGATGCGAACGCGCGGAATGGCGATGATCCTGGTAAGTTTATCTTCGTACTATGTTGCCATAGAGAATTGATAATTGTGCGTTACATGACTGTACTAACCCAGATGTTTGTCCCGTGTAGATTGTAACAGCAGAATACGAGTCTCTGTAAGGGACTACTACTGCTATAAATTCCAGATGCGTCGTGGGATTTTCAATCCTATACTTCACGGCGGACGCCTGTTCCAGCAGTTTGCCGTTGACATGTACATCAAGGTTGAGAGCTCCCGTCTAGACTATGTGTGGAACAACCAGAAGGAGATAAGGGCCGACCTGTATCAAGGGTTGATGGATAGCATCCAGGCTGGGGAGAGTCGAGCAAGCGCGGTTGGCAAACGGACTGTGTTGCCAGCGTCGTTCGTCGGTGGTGGCCGAAATATGAAGCGTCGATACATGGATGCCATGGCCTTAGTACAGAAGTACGGGAAGCCAGATGTATTCCTTACAATGACCAGCAACCCCAAGTGGGATGAGATTACTCGCGAGCTTGAGCCTGTCCAGACACCACAAGATCGTCCTGATCTCGTGGTTCGTGTCTTTCGAGCCAAGTTAGAGGATCTAAAGAAGCAGCTGTTCGAGAAGCACATCCTTGGCAAGGTCATTGCACACGTTTATGTTGTTGAGTTCCAGAAGAGGGGTCTGCCGCATGCACACTTTTTGCTGATCATGAGTGGTCGATACAAGCTAACGTCTGCAGACCAATATGACCGCATCATCTCGGCTGAGCTTCCAGACAAGAAAAAAATATCCAGAGCTATACAATATGGTCGTCAAGCATATGATGCATGGCCCTTGTGGTCGACTCAATGGTAGATGCCAATGCATGCGAGATGGAAAGTGCAGGAACAACTACCCACGAGAGTTCAACCCCACAACCTCGCAAGGCAAGGATTCATACCCGCTGTATAGGAGACGTAATGACGGTAAGAGTAGGGTGGTTAGAGGCCATCCTCTCGATAACAGGTGGGTTGTCCCGTACAATCCTTATCTTCTACGGATGTACAACTGTCACATGAACGTTGAGGTTTGCTCGAGTATCAAGGCAGTAAAGTACCTCTTTAAATACCATTACAAGGGACACGACAAGGCCTCGATATCTATAAATGAGGCAAATAAAAACGGCGAAATCGATGAGATTCAGCGCTACAGGGATGCGAGGTGGGTGATCCCTCCAGAAGCATTGTGGTGTATATATGGTTTTGACATATGCCACATCTCGCCGTCTGTGAGGCAGTTGCAACTACATCTGCCAAACATGCACATGTTGGCTTTCGATGCAGACAAGGATCTCCGTGATGTTCTTGATAAGGAAGACGCAGGGAGGTCGATGCTTACAGCGTATTTCGAGGCTAATAGGCAGCATGTCTGGGTTCGAGATATCCTTTATAGGGATTTCCCAATGTGGTTTACTTGGCAGACGGCAGGTAAGTACTGGAAAAAAAGAGATAGAGGTGGCCAGGTCGGGAGAATTGTGTGTGCCCACCCGGCAGAGGGGGAGCGTTACTATCTTCGGGTGCTGCTAAACCACGTGGCAGGCTCCACCTCATTCGAAGACCTACGTACTGTTGATGGTGTGGTCATGCCTTCGTTCCGTGCTGCAACTGAAAGAAGGGGTCTTATAGAGGCAGACAACACCCTCGACGAGTGCCTTACGGAGGCCAGGGTCTTCCAGATGCCAGCGTCGCTACGCAGGTTATTCGCTACCATATTGGTGTATTGCGAACCTAGCGATGTCCGTGGTCTTTGGGACAAGCATCTAGATGCCATGTCTGATGACTACAGGCGTAACAACGCATGCCCTCATGTTGTCCAACAGATGGTGCTGATAGATATCCGAGGCATGCTACAATCAATGGGAAAGGAAATCACATCATTTTCGTTCCCTGAAATTGATGAATCACATGATAGTACCAGAGGAGATCCCAGAGAGATTATTGAGGAGTCATCCATTGGTGTGGAGACGGACGATATGAACCTCTCAGACCAGCTCAATGATGAGCAAAGGTCTGCATTCAACAAAATCATGAATGCAGTTGGCAGTGCTCAGGGGGGTGTTTTCTTCGTAGATGGCCCAGGAGGCACGGGGAAGACTTTCCTGTATAGCGCGTTGCTAGCTACGGTTCGCAGCAAAGGAGATATAGCGGTGGCAACCGCGACGTCGGGTGTTGCAGCTTCTATAATGCCTGGAGGCCGGACCGCACATTCGTGGTTCAAGATCCCCCTCAACATTGAGGAAGGGTCTTGTTGCAGCTTCACCAAACAAAGTGGGACGGCGAAGCTTCTCCAGATGGCGTCGCTTATAATATGGGATGAGGCCTCCATGACAAAGAGGCAAGCGGTTGAGGCCCTCGATATGAGCATGAGAGATATAATGGGTTGTCCGCGTTCTCCGTTTGGAGGGAAGACGATTGTGTTTGGAGGGGATTTTAGGCAGGTGCTCCCGGTCATCAGGAAGGGCACTAGGTCTCAGATAACAGATGCCACTCTACGCAGGTCCTATCTTTGGGATTGTATGGTTCAATTGAAGCTTGTTCGCAATATGAGGGCGCGTGGTTTGCGAACTACCTCCTTCGAGTTGGGAATGGAACCGAGGAGGTGAACAAGGAAGGACTCATAGGCCTTCCTTCGGATATTTGCGGGTCGTGCAAAGGGAATGAAACGGACCTCGAAAGGCTCATCGATACTGTGTTCCCCAACCTAAACGATAACCTGACGGACCCAAACTACATCACATGTAGGGCCATATTGTCCACTCGGAATGAGTTCGTCGATCGAATAAACATGAAGATGATTGAGCGGTTTAGAGGGGATGTGATGACATATCATAGTTTTGACCGAGCAGATGATGACCCTCATAACTATTACCCGCCGGAATTCTTGAACTCTCTAACTCCAAATGGGCTACCTCCGCATGTGCTTAAGCTGAAGATAAATTGCCCCATCATGCTTTTGAGGAACATTGACCCAGCCAACGGACTTTGCAATGGGACAAGGCTGGTGGTTCGTCAGTTTGGAAAAAATGCTATTGACGCGGAGATTGTTGTAGGGCAGCATGCTGGAAAGAGAGTTTTCCTTCCTCGGATACCTCTATGTCCTTCTGATGATGAGATGTTCCCGTTTCGCTTCAAGAGGAAGCAATTTCCAGTTAGATTGAGCTTTGCATTGACCATCAATAAGGCGCAGGGTCAAACCATTCCAAATGCAGGCGTCTACTTACCAGAGCCTGTCTTCTCTCATGGTCAACTATACGTCGTGCTGTCCAGAGCAACCTCTAGAACAAACATAAAAATACTATCGATGCCGGTCGAAGACAAGAAACAAAATAAAAAGTCTAAGCGTACTGGCGTGAAGGACAATGAGAAGAAAGGAAAGGAATTGTCTAAACAGGCTGCAACATACACAAAAAATATTGTGTTTAGAGAGGTCCTCACAGATTAGAAGAGGTATATTATATGACTAATTAACCATCCACAATATGCTTGCTTAAATTCCATTCTTACTGCTGAGTGATTCTTCACAGTTTAGTTCACGTATGGCTTTGTATGTATTAGGTGTTTTCTGAAGACGATGAAATAAATCACCTATAAGATCTGATCTTTGGAGGATAATATCTTATGTTGAATATTATTATACTGAAATTCTGCGATTGCTTTGCACCTTTGTTCCCTAAAATATGTGATTCACTATAATATGGAGAGATTTAATTTGAGGTGATCATCCATTAGAAATACCGTATCTACAAATGCTGGATGTTCTATATTTTTTGTTTGCGCTTTATTTGTATGACATCATCAAATTTTCATAGATGTCTTCTATCTATGTTGCTTTTTATAATTTAGTAAACGCCATGAGATTGTTTTAATCGCAACAAATGTTGCACTACACTTCTATCTTGCTTTCAAATTAATCTCATAACAACTATGACATGTAGTTTCATTACGATGCCATATTTGTCTTTTCAATGCCATATTTTATCCCCTGTGATCAACAAAATTCCCCGTAGCAACACACGGGCACCCTACTAGTATACTAAAAGTTCATTAAACTTCTTACAAACACTCTCAAGCCGCCACGTGAGATTTCTAAAAACGCTCCTAGATCGCCACGTGGCGTTTTAATATATGAGAAATATCTAGCCCTTGAATTTCACTTAAAAAAGTGGGTCCATTATTTCAGACGATTAGATTTGATTAGATTAAAAAACAAGTTTTTATCTAGATAAACGTACGCCTCCCTCATCCTGACCGATTGCACGCAGGTAATATATGTGCCCCACCTTTTTTTACTCCCCCACCCTTCAGACTTTTTTATTTAATTTTATCTAGAATGCCCTACAATATATTTATATCACCTCATTCTTAATTATGCCATTGACATTTGAGCGTATATTTGATCATTTATTTTAGTATAAAAATTGTATAGTTATAATAGGAAATTCTGAGAATAAAATAAAACATTTGATCCTCGATTTTCACTTAAATCAGATGGACAAGTTATTTTATACATTACATTAGATCTATAAAAAAATATCTTCCAAACCAAAAAGAATATCCTATGTACGTATAAATATATAGTACTATTCACCTGAAGAAAGCCAAAAAGTACTCCATTATTCACCAAATAATTTTTTTTACTACGTGAGATGTAAATTGGTGGGTCCATATTTTAGAAAATTAGATTAGGTTAAAACAAGAGTTAGTCCCTCCCTCTCATCTCACCTGCGTGCATGTATGTACACCTGCTTCATCCTGTTTGTACACAGGAAAGGTACGTGCCCATCTTTCTTTTACTCCCCCATTTAACCCTTTTTTACCCAACAACCTCTACTTTTTTATGCTATTGACACTATTTGGGTGTATATTAGATCATTCGTCTTCGTATAAAAATTATGTAATTATAATAGGAAATTCTATAAATTCCAATCTTCGATTTTCAGTTATTTTATAGCATTAGATCACATCTATTATAAAATAATTCCTCCTAAAAAAATATCCCACGTACATATAAATACATAAGTACTAAAAAAAGCCAAAAAGAATATCCGGTGTACATACGTTACCCTCCTTTAAAAAACTGCATGGATTTTAAAGAAAATGAATGGCCTATATTAGAAGGCCACTAACATCTAAACTTCCTATAGATGCTCTCAAGTCGTCATGTGAGACTCCTAACGGCATGTATAATGTAAATGCTCTAAAAACGCTCCAAATTAAGTTGTCACATGGCTTTATAATAAATTAGAAAAAATCTATTAGTTTTCTATTAAATTGGTTAATCCATTAATTTTAAACGTTAGATTTTTTTTTTGTGGGGATAACCATTAGATCTCTCTGAGACTCAAAAATCCGGTAGCCTCACCCTCCACTATACATCCGCAAGTACTTACTCTCTTCCTCTGGCCACCCTCCAACTCTTCCTTTTTCTCTTATTTTAAGCTAACTTCTTCTATTATTTAGCTATTATTTAGCTAACATAGATCTATCTTAAGATTTTGAAATTAGGTTCATCTGGAGAAAGAATCTATCTCTTCATGGATGTGTACGTACATATGTACGTACCCTCTTTGTTATTTCCTCTTTTTTTCCCTTTTTGGCTAGATGAGATAGAAAATCAATATTCATATTAACTATATTTTAAGTTGTAAAAATACACTCTAATAAATTAGAAAACAAATTCTAGAAAATGTGAGAAAAAAACTAAAATATCTAGCCATCAATTTTTATTTAAATTGATGGATCCGTTATCTCGGACCATTAGATTAAATCCTATTAATAATCTATCTCAGAATCTCCCTTAGCGCACCGACGAGAGAAAGGTATGTACGTACGACTTGTAAAAAACCCAAAAATACATATACAACTGTAACATACATTTAAAAAAATAAAGTGGCAAAAGATATAAAAATATAAATTACTTATATCATTAAAAACGTACATTTGTTTCCTTCTTCTTCCTTCTCTTCTGCATGTATAGACAAAATTGCAATTATTATTAGTGAAAATAAATTTTAAGAAATTATAACTTTATAAACATAGATTTTATATATATATATATATATATATATATATATATATATATATATATATATATATATATATATATATATGTCTAAATTAGCTCCACAATGTTTGAAAATAAATTTTATATAACTATATAATTTTACCCTTTATATTAACAATATAATATTCTTTACTTAAACCGATATACTCCCTTCGTCCTAAAATATAACAACTTTTAGCCCTCAAGATTTGTCCCAAAATATAACAACTTCTCCACCAACATTCTTTTCCTAACAAATCACAACCTTTCACTAATAACCGTGTCCAACTCTAAAAATGTTTATAAATATTCTGGGATGGAGGTAGTACCTATTATATCAAACAATTATTTTATATCAAATTTTTAAAAACACATTGTTTAATATAAATGTTACGTTAAATTACCAATTTACGGTCTATATTAACTATTTCTTTACATTAATTAATGAACCTAATATTTTATACTATTTTTAATAAAAATATTTTGATGTCGGTTTTCACTTAAACTGATGGACCTATTAACTAGACCTATTAAGGACCTATTAACAAGACTGTCATATCTATCTTTTGTAAAAATAAAAAAAAACTTCTAAAGACCTCGCACGTGTGCACATTTACCTTCTGCATGTATGATGAAGCATCGTACCTGAGGTAGCTGAGATGTTTCGAAGAAAGCAATCAAACATGAGAAAAAGAAAAAACAATAGCTTCAAACAATTGCTGATATTTTGCACTACCCAACCAAGCAATTTTGCAATTTGTGTCCTAACAAAAATTCTTTAAAACTTTGGAAAAGAATATGAAAAATTTCAACTTCTACGAAGAGAAAAACAATCCAACCGTTAATCTATCTTAATTTGGTTGTCACTAAATCATGCATCTTCATGAGACGATTCGATCACAATAACTTTGAGTTCCTTGCTATCGCATTTTTTACTTGTAGCAATATTATACGGTATGTGTTCGAATGGTATACATGATATTTACTCACTCGGTCCAAAAGTCAATTCAAAAGTCACATGACCTTGATCTATCTTCTAAGTCAATCAATGGTTTTCAGATATGTCCGATATATAGTTTGTCCTTATAAGATATAATTTCTAAAGAAACTATAATATTACGTTACAATAGTACGGATGCCCACGCATCGCGTGGGCCACCTTCCTAGTTCATATAAAAAGTAGTGCGTCTTTCCCGGTTTTTTTAAATCAATATTACAACCCAAAGGGGGCCAAAATCTATTTGGAGGCCCAAGCAACCATAGTTTCCCAACCATAGTTTCCCAGACTCGTTTTGGATGGTCTGGAATCTAACACTACCAAGAGATGCCTTTTGGAGATGGGTTTGGGTTTGGCCCATTCCAAGCTGGGCCTACGCCGGCGAGGTCGGTCGGGAAATGGAGAGCTCCATCGGTTAGTCTAATAAGCTAAAGCAAAAGTCAAAATTTAAATTTTCAAACTTTATTTTGAAGCGCTATAAACAAATATATAAAAGTTTTACCAATAAATTAATTTCTATTATCTTTTAGTTTATTAGGGAATATGGGCAACTGATGAGGCTCCCGCCATGCATCTCCCTCGATGAAGCTCTCCGGCTTCACACTCCTCCCGCTCGCCGCACCCAGATGACAGCCGCCGGAGAAGGAGATCGGAGGAAGAAGAAACTTTGGCGGCGGCGGCGCAAGGTCGCCTCCTTCCTCGATTTCAGCCCGCTCCGGTGACACCGGTGAGCAACCTCGCCGCAATGGCAGCCCACTCATTCGCTTCGTCGCTTTTGGATGACAACCTCTGTTTTTTTTATTTTATTTTTTTACCTTCTCATCCCCCATGTCTCTCCCAAACATAGACATACACTAGTGTTTTGAGGTGGTCTCTCTCTTATTTTTGTTGCACTTCACATGGTACAAACAATACTAGAGAGAGGTATACATCCATCAATTTTGTAAAATTAAATCCAAAAGTGACAACAACTTGTGCTCGTTCAAATGAGCTCGATTGAGCTTCGCACGAACTTGCTATCAAATCCAGAATGTACCACAATACTGTAGAAAACAAACCAATCAGGTGATGGATATAGGGCTATTTTGGATTGATGCCAAAATGTGCCCTACCAATTTGTTTAGTAGTTTGAATAGTGAATGTAATGGTTTGGTTTGAAGCCAAGTGAATGGTAATGCCTATGATTAATTTGGCATAATTCTAGAACTTTCTTGACTATAATATAAAACTTAGCTTCCAATTGGTATCAATCCAAATCCATTCACCTAAAATGCTACCATACCAAAATATTGGTAATGCCAAAACATACCTTAAGTTTTGACACTACCAATACTTTGGTAGGGTACTACACCAAACAAGCCCATAGACTCATTATGAATTATAACTGACAGGTAGTCATCACTTATATATAAAAGTGTATCAACAGAGAAATCTAGAAGCTTATCAACCGCAAAAGGCACAATTAGACCATTCCAAAACCCAGCACCATTATTACTCCATCCATTCGCACAAGAACTTCTCTTGTTCATTTTTTGGGAATGATATGAACATTCATCGAGTATTCCTTCTTCTTCAGTAGCTCAAAGAGGCAGATATCTCCCACCTGCAAATTGTTTTCCTGTGCAAACCGACTCCACCCTGTCGAGAGCCTTTTGGTTCTTGTATCCTTAGTGCGACATAGCACCTCCCAATTTTTGCCATGACGTTGAAGCGTCATGTTTAACTCCTTGAATGGAAGATATACATCTGCATATTCTCGACATATGTCCTGATTACAGAGAGAAAAGGGTTCTTATAATAACATTACCAATTGTATGTATAATCCAGTATTTTCATTGCGAATGTAAAACATCAGCAATAAGAACAAAGATAAAGAACAATACTAGGATATATATATATATATATCGCAATGAAAAACAACCAACTTCTCAATAGACCCGCAGTTATGTGAAAACGGAATACTCATTCAAGAAGAAAAGAAATTTTAACTCACTACGGTTTGAGATTTTCCGTGGACGCGACTCTTCCTAAGGATGCACCCATAGATGGGGATTTCAGAATGAATAGCTCCAACTTTGCTTTCCAGCTGCTGCTTCTGCATATCTGTAAGGCGGGTGTGCTTTGGGAGGATGCAATTCAGAACCGGATGCCCTTGGAGATCATCTCCTTGCAATGCAACTTCTTCTAAAGAAATTAAAAAGGAGAAAAAAAATCATAAAACCTTCCAGTGAAGTCCAAATGCACAATCACTACTACTGTAGGTTTTTGACATTGTGAAACTATCAGATATATAGCCTGATGACTTGGTAGAGAAATTGACAAACCGATATTCGCGGTGTCGTTTTCTTGTTCTGAGCTATCCCATTGTTTCTCAGATTTGCTTACATTTTGTGGTGATTTCACAGGAAGATCATGCGAATTGCTTGAAATGTGCAGGGGTTCTTCCCACTTCTCACCACAATGTGTAGCATTTTTTAATGTAGAGCGTGAATGCACTTTCTCACAGCCACTTGGACCAAAGATCAGAACCTTCAATTTGGAGATCCCATCATAACTGAATACTAGAAAATCTCCCATTTGCAAGTCATGAGCAGTCACAAATGCCTTCCATCCTGATTGAAGGGATATTTTGCCCAAATTCTTAGTGACTTGAACATCATAAGTGCAACCATCGCGTAATTGCAGCTTTATAGTTCTTGGTATTTTACCCCTGAAATATTGAAGAAATTCGTTTGGTATGATCTGAAAAAAAAAACAGAGTAAACACAAAGAACAACTCTTATGCATGAGGAGTATGGAAGTTTTTGCTATTTCAGGAGTGTAGTTTTTTTTTTATTAACAAAACTCACTTAAAAAAAACAGGATTAACACATTGTAGTGAAAACTAGTTTCATTCAAACACTAAACGGAAAGTGTTTCTACCTAGAGTTTCTCAACAGACAAAATTAACTATGTTTAATTCATAGAAGTAATAGACTAGACCGTTGCTATCAATTACTACTATTTTGAAACCAATAAATGTTTTATTACCTGTTTGTGCACAAGCAAACTTGTGAAACGAAACTAAATACTTCGATCCTTTGTAAATCTTTTTTTTTACTTTCACCACTCACCAGACCAGAACTTTTTCCCTATGTTTAGAGTTTTATTAACAAGATGATAATTATTATATTTAAAGCAGCACTAATCACAAAAGTATTTAGCTAATTTTCTGCTTGCGCACACTGAGATATTGAATTTAGAAATATTTAACTACACTAGCTCCATCTTTTTCCTATATGTTTGCTTTAGATTAAACTAAGCCTTGGAGTTGAATAGATACAAATTACCCAAGAACATATCGGAATTGAAAATAACTTACCATTCTCTCACGAAAGCGACCAATCATAACCTTGAAGAAATTCTTATATTGCCCATCTATGTGGTTCCCGTTGAAATGTGCATGTCCTTCCCTGCATCTCGCACCAGGCCTTCTCATCTTATAACTACACATACATAAAGAAAAATGACGTTATCCAAGTAAAATTTGGGGGAAGTTTTAGCAAACAGGAAAAGGGCTAAAAAAACATTCAGATTTTGTCAGATATCAGGGGGTATGCGCCAAATCCTTTTCTGTAAAATCACACAAGAATAAAAAAAGGTGAAGCAACTAAGCAAAAGGAAAGCACGGAAGGTCGGAAGGATGTAAGAGTGATCAAGGATTACCTTTCTTAGTTCTTCTTACAACCAGCTAGACGCAAGCATTCTGTATCAAGCTTACAGTGAACTTGCTGCATATGAAAAGCAGAAATTGTTTCAGCAGGAGAACCAAGTGCTCCTACAGCTTCTTAATGCCTATTAATAAAATATTAGGCTTCCATTCACTCACTAGCTGCATTAAATACGCACTTGCATCTCTGCACTTCTGCATTAATCCATTTTCAGTGGAGGGAGCAGAGTTGGGTGGTGTCTGACTTAGGGATTAAATTTTAGTCTCTATCATATCGGATATTTGACACTAATTAGAAGTATTAAACGTAGACAAATGATAAAACTTATTCCATAGCTCTGGACTAATTCGCGAGACGAATTTATTGAGCCTAATTAATCTATGATTAGCCTATGTGATACTACGGTAAAAAATGTGCTAATTATGGATTAATTAGTCTTTAAAAAAATTGTCTCGCGAATTAGTCTCATTTATGCAATTAGTTTTATTATTAGTCTACGTTTAATACTTCTAACTAGTGTCCAATCATCCGATGTGACAGGGACTAAAATTTAGTCTCTGGATCCAAATGTCAGTCAAGTAGATGAGTCATAAATATTTATAACACCCAATTCTTACTCCCTCCATTCCAAAATATAATAGTTTGTAGACTTCAAAATTTATCAAAAATATAGCAACTTCTCAACTTAACATTTTCTTCCCAACCAATCACAATCCTTCACCATTTAATTTCCCCACCATCCCTCTCCTATTTAATTTTATCTACTTTGTTAATAACCGTATCCATATCTAAAAGTCTTTATATTCTACTCATTTTTTATTTTAATATACGGAAGTTAAATTTTTAATATCCGTGCCACTAAAAAAATTATTTGAGTGGATCTCTCTTTTATGCTAGAGTTTTCTCATGATTCCGTAGAATCGCATGTAGAGTCTTAGGGCAAAGTCATATCACATCATATTCTAATATATATATATATATATATATATATATATATATATATATATATATATATATATATATATATATATATATATATATATATATATATATATATATATATATATAACACACTCTTTTAAAAGAGGGTAGTAGTGATGACAGCGACTCTGATGATCACTCCGCCTACTTTTATTGTCTAATGTTGTAAATTAGCTCTTGAAATTCTTAGTATTAAAAAAATCAAATCTAATGGAAAGACATGTATAAAATCAAATTACTTTAGGTAACACATTTCACGGAAAATATACTTTTTATTTACTTTAGGAAATTTTATACCATATTTTCTTTTATCTGTAACATAGCATGAGCATTCAACTATTGAATACAAATGCAAGCATGTTTTTCTGCATGCCATCAGCTCATCAGGAATTTTGTCCATTATATTCATTTTGTTTGCATGAGATGAAGTCCCATTCTTTCGCAAAATATAACTACTCTATAGAAACAATGATCTGTTGTCCCTGTGGAGAAGAGATAAGAACTGGAAATGAACGAGCTGAAATGGACAATAATAGTGAGTAGGTTCGATGACACCTCATTAAGCTTTTGGAAGCCAATTCATGGTTTCACCAAACGTCCAATCGAATCAATAGCCAATTTCATCACAACTTAAAAAAAAATTGTGCATCATATTCAGAAGCTTACAAAATATTCAGAAGCGCCACCAACAGCATAAAAGGCACATCCGATTGTTGTATTGGAACCCTTTCTATCTTAGTACAAAGGTGCGCAAGCTTTTTGTGTACTCCAGGAAAAAACAAGGCAGATCGGATTTTAGCATTTGCGAATTATATGGACATTCATTGTGTATTTATTCTTTAATATCTCAAAGAGACATAGATCTCCCATCCGCAGGTAGTTGTCGTGCACAAATCTTTTCCAACCTTGAGTGAGCTTTCTAGATTTGTTCTTGAATCTGTAAAACCGCACTTTCCAACTCTTGTCTCGGTGTCGAAGCATCAGCTCTTGGCCATTATTGAATGGAAGATACGCATCATCATATAGTTGAGTTATTTCCTAGTTATAGAAGAGAAAGACTGTTAGTATTAATGGTTAAAAAAATAAATATATGTTCTACTATTTTTGCAACTTATACGGGGGAATATTGTGTTTGATCTCATGCCGAGGTTCTGCAATGTAATCACATTAATTAATTAAATATTAGGTGGAGAATGAATAAATCAGATTTATGGGGGCTTAACAATGTACGATGGATAAATTTGACTAGCTTAATACCTTCAAAAATCTAACCCATTAAACATCTCAATATAAATCTAAAACAGTGCCCATGTAGGATTCATACAACTTCTTTTTTAGAAACAGAATTTCCATCAAGGGCCAAAAAGAATTAGTTCAGGAATTGGAACAAACAAAGGACTGTGAAGCAGTGTCTCACAATGTACTTGCAATGCTAAACAACTCGACTGCATGATTGTCTATTTTTAAAAATAGTATGCACAGTGAATATAAATTAAATATCCATTCAAGAGATACTGTTACTCACAAGAACACAAGGGCTTCCAGAAACATTGCATTTTGTCATGACATTCCCATACATTGGGGTTTTGGAATGTATAGCTTGGATCTTTTCTTTCATCTTCTTCTCCTGAACCACAGGAAGACAGGTTCCACGAGGGAGAATGCAACCTGGCACAAATGAATTTCCGCAACTTCTGAAGATAACATTTCTCCTTTCCCCCAAAAGTATGACTTATGTGCAATCATTGTACATTTGTGCTAATATAAAGTTTTGATAATCTGAGTTATTACCTGAAAACTTAGATGGGGTGTTTGATGACCTGGTATTGCCAATCTTATTCCCTTTAGATGAGCTATCCTTTTGCATCCAATGTTTATTTCCTTTTGGTTGATCATGATAACTTGTTGAGATATCATTGTGTTCTTTCCACCCTTGTCCAACATGATCAATAGCATTTTCCATAGAACATGAAGTCGATTTCTCGCAACCGCTAGGATCAAAGATTAACACTTGCAACAGAAAGTCCCCATTGTATTTGAACACCAGGAAGTCACCCATGTTTAAGTCATGAGCATTAACAAATGACTCCCATCCAGATCCCAAAACTAATATATTCAACTTCTTTGTAACTTGAACATCGAAAGTGTAACCGCTGCGAGGCTCTAGCTTAATAGTTTTTGATATCACCCCTTTGAAGTGGCGTGCAAATTTATCAGGTATGGTCTGCAGCAACAAGGTAGATACGATATTGATTTTTTTTTTAAAAAAAAAACAGCACTTTAGAGGTGAGAAAGTAGTATGAAAGCTTTTGCTACAAAGAGTCATATGGCCGACTAAAGAGTAACTGAAAGACCCAATTTTCTCAAAAAAATAAAAACTTTATTCTATTCAGTTGTACCCCTGCAACACTTTTGGTGAAGCACCAAAATGTGCTGTTTCCCTGATCTCATGATGCACTAGCACAAGTATATCTAGATCATGCTTTGGCCTTTTTGAGTCACTGAGTAGAAAACAAAACTGACAGAATTTAGCCTAAGCATGTTTTGCCTACTTCAGTAGAGATAACTTACCAAAGTATTCATGCTTGTGCATTAGTCGAGATAGCTTACCATTCTCTTATGGAAGTCACCAATCATGACCTTGAAGAAATACTTTTCTTGATCATCCCTAGCCGTGGATCTTGTGTTCAGCTTCCTCATCTTCTGACCACACCTACACATCACAAAACAAGTTTAGCCCCTACTTAGGTATTGGCTACTACATTTGGCTTGCTATAAGATCGTATTTGATTAGCCTGCCTTTCTTTCCATGAGAGAATTATTTAACGACAAGAGAACAACCACACTTTTTCATCTTTCGAAAATGAGGGGAAAAAAACAGAGTGATGAACAGAGCCAGAGGAGCCCCTGCAGGAAGAAATGAAGAATGCAGAGAGAAAATAAAGTTGCAGGAACAATGGATATCCTGTATGCAAATGCAGGTACCAAGATTCACCAACCGGAAACAAGAGCATAACCTGAGATTGATTATGGATGCTGAGAAAGGGAGAGATGAGTTGTGCAGGAGTAGTAGGAGGTGAAAATTTATGGGGGAAATGGAAGAAGGCCAACAGGGTTCTAGACTGTCCAAATTCCAAACTTCAAATGGCTTAGCAGCCTTAAAGTATGAGCGTTAAATATTCTCTGGTGTAATTCCAATGGGGAGCCATAAATACCAACAGTGTAACTCCAGCTACTTCTTCAGATAAGCCATGGAGATAATTTTCAACTGAGCCCCTGTGATGTAATCCTGTAGGAGTAAAATTCTTGGAAGTCTGCACATTTACATTTCAATGTCTTTTCATGGATTTGTACGAAATATTGGGGAAAAAAACAATCAATGGGAACAAGGAACTCAAGTTTTATGATCACAGGATAAACAATTCAGCTCAGTATTGTACATTTCCATGGGTGGGCAGTAAGGTTAAGACGGGAGTTCTTTTTCCCTTCATTTTATATCAGTATATAAAATGTTACTAAATCACTTTAATATTCATAACATCAAGGCCCCAACAGAACGGGGGAATTATATCTTTGCCAGATTACCGTGAGTTTCATGCAATCAACAATTCCCTAAAGCATTTTAAGCTGAACAAATTTATAAGGAAAAATAATGCATGAAGAACAAGCTAGGAACAGGCGACTTGATACGATCATGTACGAATTAGCATGAACTTTACAGTGGATCAACTAACAAAATCATGAAATGTTCTGGCAAACTAGCAAAACATAGCACTAAAGCCCAAGAGGCATGTTGTACATTTGCACCAACACAACTCACAGTGCTGCAAGCAACGCATGGTGTTAACCGTCAGACTACTAGCAAATTAGAATAGATTTTAGACAGATGGAATGTTACATATGTTTCACACCAACATAAAGAGATTATACAGGCAGTGATCACTATTTTCTGATGATATGGACGTTCATTGCGAACGGGTTCTCGTTCTTTAGCAGTTCAAACAGGCATGTATCACCGACCTGCAGCTCGTTGTCTCTTGTGAATTTTCTCCACCCCTTTGAAAGCATTCTCAATTTGCGTTTGCTGATACAAAACTTCACTTGCCACCTCTTGCCATGTCGTTGAAGCGTTAGCATTTGGTCCCCTCCTGGAAAATATTCATTGGCATATTTCCTGGAGATTGCCTAATTCAGAGTGTATTTGAAATATTTTAGATTGAAAATTCAAAAGGCAAATTGTGACAACTAAACCAAATGGCATGTGGTTCATCTCATAATAACAAATTACTCATACAGAAGATAGTATGTATAGTTGTGAGTTCACAGAAAATTTGCATTCGTTAAGCATGCAAAATCTTACCACATAGCAAGGTTGTCGAGTGACGTTGCTTTTTTTCATGACAGCCACAAAAACTGGGTGGTTGGAATGAATAGCTCGGACCATCTCTTCTACTTTCATCCTGTGCACCTCAGCAGTAGGTGTTTCCTGATCATCTTCTGAAGAAGAAGCATGCTCTGTACTGAAAAAAAAAAAGATTATGCATGATGTTTAAAAATGTAATCAATAAAGGGGAATAGTTGATGGACCTGTCTTCATCTTCTTGTTACAATTGTCAATGACATCCTTTTCAGGTTGATTTTGCCTTTCGGTTGTTAGCGATTGCGCTCGCAGATGTTCATCAGAGCAGCTTAAAATTTCAATAGGGTCTCCTTGCATGTTTTGGGCATGCTGGCCAATGTTCACAGCATTGTGTGATGCTGCTTTCACACAACCACTTGGATCAAAGATTTTAACTTCAAACTGAGAATTGCCAGTGTATCTGAATACCAGGAAGTCACCCATCTTAATGTCATGAGAGTTGGCAAATTCAGCCCACCCTTTTGTAAGGACTAACTTATTTGAACATTTGTCAACAAGGACACTGCAAGTGTTACCATTACGTGCCTTCAGTTTGATTGTTCCTTGGATCTGATCTCTGAAATTTTCTGCAAACTTGTATGGTATGGTCTGCAACAACAAGAATAAAAATAAACCATTTACAGTTCTTTTGTAATAAGGAGAAAAAAAACACAAAGATAATGTTTGATTGAGCAGGAGCTTCTGCCTCATTCTAAACATCACCAAAAAAAAATCAATGTTTTATGTAGTCCTGTAGTTTATGATAAGTAAGCAGAGGGGAAAAAAATAACAAGAACAATGTGAATGTCTCTAGCATGTGTTTTCATCTCGGTGTCTTTTGGACAAATGCAAAATATGCAACTGTTGTGGAAGACTAAAATGTTTACTTTTATCAAGTGGTGGCTACTCAATTCTCAAGAGGTTCGGTTAATTCAGTCAGAGTCATGTATGTTTTGACAAGAATCAGGATGAACCATATTTCAGTGAAAAATTACAATCTTCAAATGCTAATCTCTCATGTGCCAAACTGGGAAACATCACAAGGTTTTTTTGTTTTGTTTTGTTTTCTGAGATGGGTAGTTTACAAGTTTCTACTAACATATTTGCCAAGAAACCAACAGGTAGTAGAAATAAACGAGAGTTGCTTACCATTTGACGTCGGAAACCACCAATCATAACCTTGAAGAAATACGTGTCCTGATCATCCGTATCCCAAAAACCCCGTCCTCTGCATCTCTCACAACCAGACTTGCTCATCCTGTGGTTACTCTGTCCAAAACAGAAGTACCAAAATGGTGACAAAAATAAATAAAACTACAGTTTCGCATACAAACTGTGACACGAATTGAATTTTTTTTCCAAAAGATGTCTGCAGCAATCGACTTGAAATGCAAAGAAAGAAATTACCTGAATGCACAAGAAGAAGAAGAGAGCAAGTGAGAGCAGTAGATGAGCAGAGGGAAAGAAGGAAGGAAGAGACTGCAGCGAGGAGAAGAGGATGAATATAAAGAGGAGTGGCGTGGAGTGGAGTGTGGGCGACGCAAGCAAGAGTGCAGTGTCGTCAGTTTTTGAGCAATGTTGCACTCACCAGTGTTGACTAAACAAGACAAGAGACGTTTCAGCTTCAGCACAGTGAAAAGAAAGGATGTAACGGGATTGGGATCCCTCTAACGTGGAGTCACGGGGACGTGGTGAGTGACACGTGGGCCCTACCGCTCACGGGCCCACCTATCAGTGACCACGTCAAGGAGCAGTTCATGTCAGGGAATCCGGTTCCGATGTAACCATATCGCACTAACTGGTTAAATATTGAGTTAGGGTGTGTTCTTTTAGCATCTGTTCCCCAACTTCTATTCCCTCTCTTATTTTCCACACGCATACTTTCTAAACTGTTAAATGATATATTTTTTTAAAAAAAATACAGAAAAGATTAGTTAATCATATATTAATTGATCACTCCGTTTTGCATTGGAGAAGGTAAAGTTCTCACAATTCACCTCCAAACGCAAACAAATTTTACTGTGCACCTCTGCCTTTTACGCTAAAGGCAAAGTAGTCGGATCCGAAGAGGTGAGGGTGGGAGAAGAGGAGAGGACAGGGGTGAAGGCGTATGGGGGAAGCCAGGAATGGGGCCATGGACAAGGGGGGAGAAGTAAAATCCCCTCTTACTATAAAATTATAACCCACCAAATCCTAAAGCTTAACATGCAAACATATCACATCATCATTCACTAACAATTATCACATTTAAGCATCATGCAAACATGCTATATTATCTATAATTTATAATTTATTAATAATTTTAGAGATTTCAAATGCAAGCATGTTAAATCATTCCACATAATTCTCATAATATTTCAATATATATTTCCATCATTTTTTTAATAATATCATATATACCTATATAGTTCATTATATACCTATATAGTTCATTCTCACTTAATTAATGTTATTTCTTTTTTCTGTCATTAAGTCATATCACATCAACTGTTTTTAGTCCTTAGATGATTAATATATGGTTCAAATTATCTCTCCTTTTCTTCTTTCATTAAGCCATATCATCTCAAATCTTTTTTAGCCCTTAAATGTATGGTCTAAATTATTTTCCTTCTCTTGTTCTCTCATCAAGCCACATCATCTTACTTTTACATTTGAATAATCATTCTATATACTATTAAATTTAAATCACATCAACTTATGTAAGTTTATGTTTATATAAGCTTATGTTGTGTAAGCTATCTTACACATTATTTTTACTTATTGTTATCATAGTAAACTCCTGCAACAACGCGCAAGGTTTCACCTAGCTAGCAAGACTAAGGGTGAACAGGAAGCTCGTGGCTCATTAGCTCGCTCGGCTCGTGACGAGCTCGGCTCGGCTCATTTAAATTTCGTAATGAGCCGAGCTGACTTTAAAGCTCGTTAGAGATAACGAGCTAGCTTGCGAGCCTTAACGAGCCAGCACTCTAAGGCCCAAGCCCAACAAACAATGAGACAACACAAGTTAGACAACGTCCTAAGCCCAACTGAGAGGAAAACCCTAGACTACTCCAGGTCTCCTACTCTCCCCGTCTCCTGCATCCTGCGCCGCATGCCCACATCTCTATTCTCTCATTCTCTCCCACTCAATTCGCCGATCCCCTTTCACACCGCCGTGCGCCACCGCCGCGCTGTAGCCGCCAGCCCGCCACTGTCGCTCGCTCTCCTCTCCTAGCGGCTGCCTACATGCGGGCATTACCCGACCACCCCGTCAACAACCACACACCAAGCTCGTCAGCGCCGACGCCGGCGCTGTCGACGAGCTCCTCCTCCTCCGCCGCCACTGCCGCCTCACGCTATTGGGAGGAGGAGAAGCTTGAAGTGGAGCTTGCCAAGGTGCACGGCCTCATCGCTGCCGAGATGGCGGCCGGGTGGAGCGTGCGCCACGTCGGCAATGCGCGGCGACACGTCGGCGGCGAGCTTGCCGCCGCCTTGCTGGAGTCCCTGACGGAGGAGGTCACGGCGGCGCTGATGATGACGTGGAGCAACGAACTGTTAATCGCTCGCCGCCCGCATCCACCCCTAGTTGCACCGCACCCCGCTGAGAAGAGGAGAGGCCTAGCCACCTGGATGGTTTGGCTCGCGACTCACGAGCCTAACGAGCTAACTCAAGCATTCAAACGAACCGAGTCGAGCTGGATTTCTAGCTCGTTATGATAACGAGCCGAGCCGAGCCAACTCGTTATCCTAACGAGCTTGACCGAGCCGAGCTGGCTTGCTATCCACCCCTAAGAAAGACAATGAGAACTAGTTTGGCACAACTTCAGCTCCAGCTTCACCTTTCATTAAGCTGGAGCTCAACCAAACGGTTTCAGCTCCATCCAAAAAAGAAGTAGAGCTGGTTAAAGTGCTCTCATAAAATGAACTGAAAAGTGGAGCTGCGTTTAGGCAACTCCACAACTCCACTCTAGACCCAACTTCTAAAGTTAAATTTAGGAGATGGAGCCTTACCAAATAGGCCTTGAGTAAAATTGTTACGAATATGCATTAGTCACTCTCATTGGTTAGCCAAATGCTTATTATAAGTCATACAGGTTGTTAATAAAATTTTTATATATGTGTTTTGAGCGATTTAAAGGTCAATGCTGAAAAATAAGCTTCAATGAAAAACATTAAAATCAACATCTTAAAATTTAAATTTTCACAATAGCTTATACTTGTAGGGGAAATGATGAAAACATCTAATTAGTTGAGGTACAGTTCGATAAAACTTAAAAAATTAACGAACTAACTTAAATTATTAATTAGTAAAACTTTTGAATTGTATTATTCGTGCTTTAAGCCAATACTGAAAAATAGACTACGATGACCCTAAAATCAACTCTTTAGTTGAAAATTTAGATTTTGGCTATGAATGGCAAGCTAACAAATAGAGAATAGAGGACAGAAAGATCCACTAATTCATTATGCCCTCTCGGCGAATGGCTCAAGTCCCAAGACATAATGATTTTGGAGAATTTTCTACAGTTACATGGAAGACGTATGATATAAACACACCACTAATGCACATAAGATGTGTGTGATATTTATGGGCACCAAAAAATTTAACCCTAGTAGATAGATACGCACAACTCCACTAATAGGGATAATACCTAGTGCATATGCTCGACGAACGCAACTCGCACACACGGTGCGCCTATCACTTCCTGCTGCACTTGCGCTGAGGGAGTTGGACCCCGTTTTTTTTTCAAACTTTCATCTCAAAAATCATAATCTTTAATTTAAAATATAAAACGTTCATCTCAAATCACAAAACTTTCAATTCAATTCTAAAACTTACATCTCAAAATATCAAAGCTTCCATTTAAAGATTTGAAGCTTTTATCTTAAAATAAAAAAAAAGTCAAGTGAACCATCTAAACTACTCAAAGCCCTTTTCCCCTTCGGTCTCAACCTTTGCCACCGACACCTTCCAAACCATCCCTACAGCCTAGGGCTAGGGTTGAAAAACTAAGGCACCACAGTGTCGCATAGCCAGAGGAGCTAAGGACAGCCGGGATAAAAATAAAAAGCTAAGGTTGCGCTTGAACATCCCTTTCCTAACTTCTACTCTCTTATCTTACAGGGGCACCTTGCCAAACGGCTAAAGAGGACATTTCTTTTACCAAAATGTTTTATAGGAAAATTGCTTTAAAAAAGTCATACTCCATCCGTTTCAGGTTATAAAACGTTTTGACTTTGGTTAAAGTCAAACTGCTTTAAATTTGACTAAGTTTGAAGAAAAAATAATAACATTTTCAACCCAAGACAAACTTATTATGAAAATATATTCAATTATTGATTTGATAAAACTAATCTGGTATTATAAATAATACTATATTTATCTATAAACTTAGCCAAATTTGAAGTAAAGTCAAAACGTCATATAACCTGAAACGGAGGGAGTATTAATCAATTTTTAAGTTTTTCCACTAATACATAGTTAATCATACACTAATGAGCCTTAGGCTGTGTTCATTAGTTGGGGTTGGGAACCCATCCCCTCCGCACGGAAAACGGAGCGGTCCATTGGCGCATGATTAATTAAGTATTAGCTAATTTTTTTTTCAAAAATAGATTAATTTGATTTTTTAAGCAACTTTCGTACATAAACTTTTTCAAAAAAACGCACCATTTAGCAACGTACCATTTAGCAGTTTGAAAAGCGTGCACGTAAAAAACGAGAGAAGGGGTTGGGAACCAGCGGTAAAGAACCCTAAGTGATATTTGCCACTACTTGAATCTTCCTTTAACCCGTTTTTAAAATGTTTTTCAGTTTCATTCAAATTGAGGTTTCCCGTTGTATACGTTGAGGAGGCTAGGAACCCTTCCTCTCTAGCATATAAAACAAAGCGATTAATTAACATATGATTATAATTAAGTAATAGTAATGAGTAAATTGCACCCACGGTACAACAACTTGGTAGATGAGTGCGATATAGTGTAAGAACTTAAGAATTGAACATTCAAGTGTAACAACTTGACAACTTGACAAGTGGGTGTGTTCTAGTATAAGAACTTGATAATTTAGTATTTTGGTGCATCAATTTATGCTAGGTGAGTTTTTTTCACGATGTCAATATGCCAATACATAGCAATCCTACGGATATTACCTTATAATATTGAATTTAATCTTTAAGAATTATACTGTACATCCAATTACCTTAAAGAATTTTTGTTTTCTTTATCTTCCCAAATCTCAACCGAAATATAATAATTTCTATATCCAGTTTAATTAACTTTCAGTTATTAGTTATTAGGATAAAAATATAAATATGCTTATGTACACATCCACGCCAGTATATTGTCAAAATAATTACTTAAAAATTGAATATGTATAAATAGTGCTCCAAATAATTAAGTTGTCACATAACTTCTTAACTTATTGAAACAAAATCATACATATCTTACAAGTTGTTATATTTATGCGATCACTTAAGAACTCACTTATGAAGTTCTTGTACTAAATTGCACTTAGCTGCTAAGTTATTACACTATAACGCTCATTTCTCAAGTTCTTGTACCAAATTACACTCACCTGCTAAGTTGATGCACCGTGTACGCAATTTACTCAATAGTAAAAAACATATACTGCAAGCACAGTTAGGAGAGTATAGAACCTATCCCATCTAGGAATTTATCGCGCAGGCACAGCCATGTAGATAGTACAGTTCCAAAAGGTGGCTCATATACTGCAACAAATGAAAATCCATTACCATCTCGCAGTCATATTGTGCTTGTCTAGTACTCCCTCCGTCCAAAAAGACCCCACCTAAGAGCGGTGTGATCCTCTTAGTACAATGAATTCGTTACACTGAAAGGGTCACATTCCATCTTTGATTATTATTATTTTTATCGGAGGGGATATACTCTGCAGAACAGCAGTTGCTATCTAGGAAGCACCGATGCACATAATCAGTGATCAACAAAATGACGTAACAGTAGTTCGGTATGTTTACATAGACATTATAATGGGGCATCACACAGATGCAGCAAAAAGTACTCTCAGATGTCTCACTGTCAGTTCGAGTTAGCACAATGAAACTTCTGCGATAGTCACCGACTCGCCATTCAACTTACGAAAGGGAACCAGTTCAGGGATTCAATGCCAAAAGAGCCTTGTGGAAAGGTAAAACATGAACCAGAACATCCGCTGCAAAACCCATACAGTTCAGTTAGCCGAAGTGCTTTGAGACACCTTCAAGAACTCTAGAGCTTCCCTGCATATATCAAGAACTACTATCATCAGAACAAAATAATGAAGCAGCGACATGTTAGGAGAACCATCAAGATTACATGGTGTTGTAATTAGCAAGTGTTTAGATGCCAACGTGCAGAAACACATCACCACAGAATGCCACATATATCCTTTGTTAATAAACCTCTCATTGATATTATGCGCTGATCATTGTCGAATTCTTCTGTTTTTATTATTCTCCTAGTAATGATATTAACACGGAGCATGCAAATTAACACGGTTATGTGCTGATCATTGTTGAATTCTTCTGTTTTTCTTGTGTGTTGATCAAAAGCGAATGGAGGGAGTATTTCACAAGTTTTTAAGGATAGGGTGTGAGTCAATCTTGAATCTAGCTACAGCATATGAAACCATTCAATTTATCATCATAAGATCTAGCATGACCAAAGGGACATAGGATTACCGTAATGCATTTTCAATCTCAACGTCCTCAGGATCCAACTTGAATCCATCAAAAAGTGCTTCACACGCGCTCACATAGTCCTGCCAAAAAAAAATCAAGCTAACATTGAAAACCATCTGCAGCACAAACACAAAAAGGGTAATAATCTTCTATCTAACCTTCAGTAACATTAAAGCTGCACCCTGACGGTAGCAGGCCTTTGGCCAGTCAGGCCGCATTTTTCTGCATTTATGAGCATCCACCAAAGCCTTGCCTCCTTCACCCAGATAAAGCCAGCAAAGGCTCCTATTGGACAGCAGGGTTGCATCATCAGGGTCAAGGTCCATGGCCTACATCCAACCAGAAAGGGCATTGGTGCGAAAAAAAAAAAAGTTGCCTGTCTGTAAAAAAACAAAATTAAGGAAGAAAAAAGGAAAGCAACCGATCAAAAGTTTGGATCTTGTCAGAAGTTGATTTAACATGTTTAAATCTTAGATACAACTAAAAGCCATCTCAGAGAATACTTCAGATTATGGTGTTTGCATTCATGAAAATGTACTCGTTATGAAATCATTGAGAAGCTTCCCTGCCTCATGTAGAAAGCTTACACAAACCACTACAGCATATATTTTGGAAAAGAGAAACACAGGAAATAATTGTGCTCTATTATACCTCACTGTAGAATCCTGCTGCAGAAAGATAATCCTTCTTCTCAACTGCCTCAAGCCCTAACGACTTAAACTCTGCAATTTTCCTTCGATTCACAGGTTTGTCCTGATAAAGTGAATCATAAAAAATATCAAATAAACGAAAACCTTGCAGAACACATGGGAAAGATATACTAACTGTAAAGCAACTATTGTGAATATTCCAGGAAAGATACATTTGATTGCTCAAACGTGATGTTTCAAGCACTCATGATATTCTACAAGTATCCATCTGCATTATCAATAAATTCTAGCTACTAAACTATCAAAACCTGTTAATATCACCTTTAGGGTAGCTATCCTTATCGCCATAGCACATTCTACATTAAAATAATCTTACCAGTCAAGAGCCCAAGAGACATACACCCCACTCCGTCTCCTCCTTTCTATATAATCATAGGATAATTTCCCCATGATCACAATAGCACTGCTAAAGTTTTGTTAATACCAATATGGACAAATTGATGTGTTATTCCCTAGGAAATATGGGAATATATGCTATGCAATAATACTTGGGCATAGCTCCAACTAAAAATTATGAGAAATAATAAGCCAGAAAAGGTTTGTAGGTTTACTTCATGCTTTATTACCATGTATAAATATAGATTCCAAATTTGAACAATGTTAAAGAGTAACAACAAAGGGCAATGATGAAACATTTAACTCTAAACACTTTTCATAATTTTACTTTTTTGTTGCTATGACTACAATCAATTTGAGCCCAAAAAATTATACCATAAACATGTCTAGAAAGTTTGGATTTTTTTCCCTGGAAATTTTTAGATAGGTTGCACCATGATTGCACCCAAGCAGTTTTATTGGTGGTCTAAGGTGGCATATCCCTGTCTCAGCGCCATAGCGTGCGAGGCGTAAGGCGAGGCAATGCAACATGAGGTGCCATTGCTCAAAGGTTGTTCTGGATTATATAGAGAAGCACTGAGTTCATGCGTACACACAATAATTAGATGCTAACAGAACTACGATGGAGGAAATATGAATAGGAAACAAGGTAAATAAATCAACTAACCAGATACCTGCCTCAAAAGTTTTAGAGCTACATTGTTTACTAGGATTCTACTATGTACAAATTTCGAACTTCTAAATGCATGCCCTTTGTAGCAAAGTGGTCTTACATTGACGGGAATATGGTGATTGGCATCAATCTCTTCTGGTTCAGAATCCGAGAACACAGATGAACCACTATCTTCATCATCCATAAAAGTAGTTGACATATAATTCCAGATGACATCAGAGTAAGTAGCATCAGCTCCAGCCTATGATGCAAAAAGTTGTTACATATCTGGCTGCAAGATTGTCTTGGGTAATATGTAGCAATTTGCTTCAGATATGAAACGAACGACTTAATGTCACTACCTCTGTCATCATACATGTGGCAGAAAAATCAATGGTGGTAGGTTTCAAAAAAACATGGTTAAGAAAGTTTCCACACTGAGTGTTTTATGTGGCTAAGAATGTGTATTGGGACACAAATGTAGTTCATGTTCGCAACCAAAATGCCAACAAAAGAAAGTCAAATTGTCCTCACTTGAGTGTGGAAAATGTCAAAACAAAGCAGGCAGTCCAAAGATAATCTTAGAATTTGATGTGGCTAATATTAAGCATCAATACCTCAACCAGCAGCTCCATACATTTTGCTGATGCAGCTTTCATAGCAAGGAGGAGAGGTGTTATACCGTTTACCATCTTGTTGCACTGATTAGAAACATTAAGCATATTAGGCCCTTAAAATGATGTTTCCATTCAAACAATTGAACATTTATCTTGTGCAAAGAGGGCCTGTTCAAATTTTTCAAGTAGCTTTGTATGTATCCTCGGTAACAAGGGGTTGTATATGAAGGGCCTAAAGGGCAGGCTTAAGACCCCAAAACAAAAATATGACCATAATACAGATATCTACTTAAAAATGCAGTATTAGGAGTTTGAACATGAGTTGATGAAATACTTTCGAAGTTTCAATACTTGTTACCGAGTCATTTTATCAAACAACGGCAACATGGTATTGAAGAGTTCTAGGTTACCTATGTGACAAAAGATTAGCTAGCAAAGCTCACACTCAATTTATTTTTCCATAACAGCACCAAACGATCAGACAATATTACAACAATAAATAAGATGGAAGATGACAACAGGGCAGTTAGGACTATAATGATCCTTAATAAGCAAACAAATGAAACCAGGGCAATTTAAGGGCTATGGTAGAAATTTCATGTAGCTGAACTTACATCTGCATTGTTGTCCAACAATATCTTCATGGTGCCATCCTGCCCTTCTTTAGCAGCAAGATGAAGTGGTGTCCCAAAAGTAGACATTGGGTCAACATAAGCTCCTTTTGCAAGCAATAGTTTTACGGACTCACAATCACCTGAATAAAACAAATCAAGTACTTATTAGTCCAGATCAGGTACAAAACAAATCAGGTAGTACAAAGGAGGATACTGGTTAGTTCTGACAACATCTTTCTTTCCAAAAAATGTTGGAACTTGATTTGTCCTGAACATCTGCTTTAAAATTTAAAGTAAAAAAGGATGGTAGTCCATAAAACTAAGATCATTAAGTTAACAACATGGCAGGATCACAACTCTAAAAGCAGCTTCCCACCAAGCTCCTAGTCCACAACTAGGCACTAGACACCAGGGCACTGGCCTGCTGCCCATCTCTTATACAATATCTGTAATTCTGCATAGGACCAATAGCTGCTGAAAATTAAAAAAACGCAAGGTGGAATATTTTGTACTACCTCTGTCCCATATTAGCTGTCATTCTAGGTTGTTTAGCATGGATTAAGGTTTGACAAAAAAGACTATAGTGCCCTTTATTAAATGATGTATGGTTGGATGTGGGAGGATAGTTGAGGGTAGAAAAGAAAAAAATTTGAATTAGAAGTGATTGATGGGACAAGTATTACTCCATTGTGACAACTATTTTGGGACAATATTTGAATCCTAAAGAGACAACTAATTTGGGACGGAGGGAGTAAGTTGGCAAAAGCCTGTGGTTATAATAAGATTACTCCTATACATAGTGGAGCCATAAACATTAGGAAGGCCAAAGGGGGAATTAAAATTATATGTGAATATGCACCCTGCACCCATTTCTGTGTTTTGTACACCTATGAACATTCACACCCATATAAGCGCATATGCACATAAATCCAGTACCAGAAAAACAAAGCCTTAAAAGACTAAAAGGTGTATGAGCATAGCCATCCAAAATACACAACTTAATAAAAACAGCAATGCGTTGATTGAAAACAGAGATACATGTTTATAGTAGGAGACCTAATCCAGCGGCAGAATGTAGAGGGGTAAGCCCACAGCACATGGCTAGGTCTGGATTGGCGTCATGATTAAGAAGATACTTGGCAATTCCCCGATGCCCAGAATGTACCGCCTTAAGTAGAGATGTTCTACCTGTCAAGAAAATAGATAATGAAGCTTATTGATGCAAAGAACTATCAGGGTTCAGTATAGAAAGTTAGAAACATTCTCTTTATTTTTTAGCCTTTTCTAATAAAGTTTTAAAAATAAATCTACAGTAAATTACTTTAAACAAACTGTTGGCCACGCTGCTATGAGGCACGGCAGCATTTTTTTCCATGCAACAGTATTTACCTGGTGTGGATTGCCTTGCCAAACCACCCTTATGGGTTTGGGCATTTGGCCAAAACCTTTTGTTAAAAAAACAGCTGACAAGAGAGTCTATTTTAAAATTTTCTGAAAAATAAAAAGCAGAAAATGATGTTTTTCTAACAAAATATTTATCTATGTCAAAACATACAGCCAAATGCAATTGCTCCTCAAGGGAATAAAATATAGACGGGATTTTAGGTTTTGTATGAAGTAGAATTACAGAGTGCATGACCATAGATGAGGAGCATATTTTATTAAGTGCAAACATCAAATATCATGTTACCTAAAGTAACCAATAATTTACTGATGCCGAGATACATTTGTATGAACCACCCACTTCCGTAGGCTATAACAAGAGAGAATGGTTAATAGAAGTGCGCATGGCCTAATTTTGCATGAAACATTACATAACTACGCACAACAGAATATGACAAATGGGGGCAATCAGGCAAATCTAGTGCAATGTTCTATTGCTTTCTTATTCAACTTTGTGGAATAAATATTAATTCCTTCAAAGTGTTGTTCCAAAATGCCATGCACAACCCTAGGGAGCACAATCAATTAAGCAGCACTAAGTCATATTTCAAATCTATATACCAAGCAACTTGGCTAAACATAAACAGTGTCCTAACCTATGCATGAAAACCAAGATAATAGCTTCATTATGACTTTATTACAAAGTTAGAAATAGCATTTTACGAAGTTTCAAAAACTAGCATGTCCCTACTGCGGTAGTATGAGCAAATACCGGACTCCAAAGTTCTAGCTCTACAAACTCGGGCTCGGTTTTGTGAAAAAAGTATGGACCTTTGTCATCCGCATCATCCACATCCACCTGAAGCGTTTCGACCAGGTACTTGCACATCTCCATGTGGCCATGGGAGGCAGCCATATGCAGCACCCCTGTACCTTCCTCGCCCGGCACGCCTTCCACCCTCACATCCTCTACGGCCTTCCTCAGGCGGCCCCTCCCCATATCCAGAATCTTCGCCTGCCCTGCAAACGAATCACATACCACCACCAAACCAGAAAAAAAAAAGAAAAACAGAGATGAAAAAAATTCAGCAAGCGTTGCGGCAAAACAGCAGGTCGCCGCAGTCCAGCAGAATCCATCCGATCCGAGCCCGGAACCGGAGGAGAGGGAGAGCGCGAGCGCGAGAGGGCGTACGCTTCAAGCCGCGGAGGTCGCCGTGGAATGCCGCCTGCATGAGCTTGAACCGCGGCGTGTGGCGCATCACTGCGGAAAAGGGAAGGGAGAGAGAGTGGTCAGTCAGCTCTCTTGGTGGGGCTAGGGTTAGTGGAAGGGGGGGCGGGGGGCGCTTACCTTCGATGTTAGCGGGGAAGGGGAGCTCCTCCGCCATGGCGATGGGCGAGCGAGCGAGCGATCGATCGATCGATGGAGGAGAGGAAAATTGGGTAGGGTTTAGGAGGGCAGGGAGAGGAGGGAGAGGAGGAGGAGCTTGGGGGGTTTGGGGTTTTGAAATGGGGGAGAAGCCGAGAAGAGAAGCGAAGGGAGAAGGAAACGAGTGGAGGCGTACGTGAGAAGGAAGGAGACGTCGCTGGTGGAAATCGATGAAATTGTTACGGGTACCAATATTTTTACGGACTTCTTACCACAGCACAAAAATGAACGAGAACCAAAAAAAAAAAAGCACTTTAGTGTGTGCTTTTTTTATTTTTTTTTCCACACAGAACTGCTAGGTCCTGGCTGGGGACTTTTAAGTTTGGCAAATTTTGCTACGGGACATCGCAATTGTGTGGTTTTAACTCAGGGACACCATGAAAGTGAAGTTTTGGGGGAAGACATCCCATAATCGTGGATATTTGCCGATAGACACCGCGTCATCTAAAGGATACTTGCGGTGCTGACGTGGCGGACGGAAGTCTATTTTTTGACACGGTCGGACGTAAATACCCCTATGCCACGTCAAAAAAAAAAGGGCCTCCCGTCCAGCCACTCCCCACCGCCGCAGCAGCAGGCGGCCGTCGAGGCCCTCGTCGTGGACATCGCCGCCCGGGTTGGCGGTGGCAGCGGCAGCGACGGCGAGGTGCTCATCCGTGACGTCGTGCACGACACCCTGTTCCCGGTGGCCGCGTGGTTCTGCTTCGGCGAGCGCGATGTGCGCGACCTGCAACGCGTGTTGCGGGAGTTCGAGCTCGATGTCGTGGTCGAGGGGTTCGGTGGCTCGATGCTGGCAAACCTCGTGCATTGGTGGCGGCTGCGCCGCTTCGTCGCATCCGGCCGCCGGCAGGCCGAGGTTTTCCTCCCTCTCATCTCCCAACAGCGGCGAACACAGCATCGCGGTGAACACAAGTTCTGTCCTTACGTCGACTCGCTCCTCGACCTACGCGTCCCTGTGGGAGACAACGCCGCCGCCGGCGAGGGCAAGGAAGAGCACCGCCTCTCCCATTGCGCGCTCACCGACGACGAGATGGTGGGCCTCGTGTCGGAGTTCCTCGGCAGCGGCACGGAGTCCACCGTGTCGAACACCTTTCCCTGCCGAGCGGCGGCGTGCGGGTGCACTTCATCCTCGGGGACATCGGGCGGGACGGCAAGGCGTGGACAGATCCGGACGAGTTCCGGCCGGACAGGTTCATGGCCAGTGGCGAGGCGGAGGGGGTGAGCCCGCTGCCGAGGCCGAAGGAGGTGAGAATGATGCCGTTTGGCGCAGGGCGGAGGTATTGCCCCAGCATGGGGCTCGGGGTGGCGCACGCCTGCCTCTTGGTGGCGGCGCTCGTGCGCGAGTTCGAGTGGGCGGCGGCGGCGACCAGCGGCGTGGAGCTGATGGAGGGAGAGAGATGAGGGGAGATCGAGAGGAGAAGAAATCGGAGAGAGAAGAAAAAGAAGAGGGGGACACTGTCAAGTGGGCCCCCACATAACCTTATTATCTCTTGTGCAGGGGTATTTACGTCCGACCACGTCAAAAAAGGCCTCCCGTCCGCCACGTCAGCACAGTAGACGGTGTGGTGTCCATCGGCAAATATCCACGATTATGGGATGTCTTCCCCCAAAACTTCACTTTCGTGGTGTCCCTGAGCTAAAACCACACAATTGCGATGTCATGTAGCAAAATTTGCCTTTAAGTTTCGAGAAGTAGCTACTTGGCATTAGTTAGTTTCTGTTTTTTTATTTACTTTTTGGATTCTATAATTACATATTGTATGAATCTGCCATTTTTTTAAACTTCAGAGGACCTATAGATTTTTGAGAGAAGTTACTGGGCAAATATTATTTTCTTTTAAGCGGGCACTAAAAATTGCCACGTCATATTTATGATTAGGTGTATGAGAAAATAGAGAAGAGACAAGAAAAACAGACTATAGATTTAGAACTAGCTACAAGACTACTACAACGGACTCCAAAACGTTACGTGTGTATGAGAGGTGAGCCGAGAATTAACGGTGTAAAATATATTTATATGTATACAATATGTATATGTATAGGGAGATTGTTGAATAACTTAAGATGACATGTTAATTTTTAAAGCTATTAATTGTACTATTAAACTTTCTAATCCTACGAAAGTTGAATGAAACAACCAAAACAATTTTATAAATAAATTTTCTATATATGTTTTCATGAATTAAAAGCTAATGCATAGAAATTTTAAGAAAATTCAAAATCAACTACTTTCCAAATTTGAAATGTCGGCAATAGTCAAACAATAGGAACGTACATGGCTACATGCTCAGTAAGTGATTATATTTTAAGAAGGGAGGAACAAAAGTACACTCAGTATCGCTTTCCAAACTTGCTAGTAATATCTATGCATCGAAAATTTGTATGATATGGTAAATATCTATGTAATGAAAAATTTTATTGTATTTCCAAACTTAATGTTTCACATGGTATATTTCTAAACTTAATATTTCATTAGAAAAAAATTAATGCACGTGCGTTGCAACGGGTAAATGCTATTTTAATTTTATTATTGTTATATGATTTAGCTTAATTTTATTATCTTAATGTTTCACATTGGTAAATGCTATTTTTATTATTGCAATGGATAAAATTCACTGTGGAAATTCGTTTGGATATATTTTTTAGAAAATCATGAGCTGCAATTAGTAGTCTATTTTTTATCTCAAGTTACCATGAGAGTTTTTTTCAAAAGATTTCTAATACAATTTCTTATACGACTGCTCGTATACTTCCAAAAGGAAACAAACTTAAAATCCAACTCAAACACGGACCTATATTTCCAAAAACGACTCAAATACGAATGTCGTACCAAAATATCGGCAAAAACATCTTCAATTTTTATAATAGCAGAGAATAGCATGGTACCAATATTCCCATAAAACATGCTACGCAGCTCTGAGTGTGAACTTATTTTTCAGTTTGCAAATTGCAACATAGTTCATAGCCGCTGATGAGGAGAAAACATATCAAATCATGTCCAGTTCTTGGTCGATATTCTTCATAAGATGAGATGTCTATGAGAATATTTTGTTTGAAAAACACTGCATAAAAGATATCTTGAAGGTTAGACAACAAAAAATTCACATGTCAAATCCAGTCCAGTTCTTGGTCGAACTTATGAATGTCTATGAGAATATTTTGTTTGAAAAACAACTATATAAAAGTTATCTTGAAGGTTAGACAGCACAAAATTCGAAAAAAAAATCACATGTCAAATCCAGTCCATTTCTTGGTCGTTCTTCTTAATAGGATGAGATGTCTATGAGAATAAACACTGCATAAAAGTTCTCTCGAAGGTTAGACAACACAAAATTCGAAAGAAACAAAAAGCAAAGAGAAAAAAAATATCTTATATCTTTAAGGGATGAGATGTCTATGAGAATAAACACTCATAAAAGTTCTCGAGAACGTTAGACAACACAAATTCGAAAGAAAGAAAAAAGCAAAGAGAGAAAAAAAGGATCTTATATCTTGATAGACAGCACAAAATTCCAAAAAGATAAGCAAAGAGGAAAAAAATTAATCCGACCTGCCGGATTCGAACCAGCGACCTAAGGATTCATCTGCAACTACTACAGTCCTCCGCTCTACCAACTGAGCTAAGGTCGGATAATGATCAAGATTGCATGTTAAATATGCTGTGTTTTTGTTTGCTTTCTTTATCTTAAAGGAAAAAAGTCTAAATAACCCCACTTACAACACCGTACATATAACCCCTAAAATGGTTTTACATAATAGTTTTTTTCTAATTTATATATAAGTTGAATGAGTTTGATCATATGTCATACACTTTGGACATATATATATAGTGAAAGTAACAAGCTTTCTTACACGAGAATTCACCACATCATCACAAATATATTAGTCGTTGAATAAAGATTTTAGATAAACAATGGCCATTGGATTAAAAGGGTTCATGTATTAAAAAAACCCACAAATGGACTAAACATATGGAAATTTCCGGAGGCTTCTAGTACCTCCTCCTAAACACATGATAAAAAAGAGAGAGGATAAAGAGAGAGAGCCACATCATCATCAATATATTAGCCATTGAATAAAGGGTTTGGATAAACAATAGCCATTGGATCAAAAGAACATGTATTAAAAACACAAATGGGCTAAACATATGGAAATTTCCGAAGGCTTCTGATACCTCCTCCTAAACACATGATAAAAAAGAGGGGATAAAGAGAGAAGAAACGTGATGCTTCTAGTGATTGCTCTTATAAACATACAGTACAACTTAGTTAAATTTACAGTTGGCTAGAGAAATCAGTACTTTGTAAAAAACAACTTATTATATCAAACTTTTTAAAAGCTTACCTAAACTAATAGGCCATATATGAAAGTTCTTAAACATAATCAAAAGTAGTTAAATGTATAGTTGGCTAGGGAAATCAATACTTTGTAAAAAAAATAACTTATTATATGAAAACATTTTTAAAAGCTTACCTAAAACTAATAACTAATAGACCATATAGAAAAGGTTCTTAAATAGGATTAAAAGTCGTGCATAGTGCGACTACGTGTCTAGTATATACTAAAATTTTGACTTCAATATTACTTTTTGCTCCCTATTAGCTCTCACTTACGAACAAGTACCAATAAAATAATAGCATGAGCACAGTAGGACTCCTACTGTTGTTTCACGTCAAAAAAAATAATAGCATGATATCACTGTATAAGAATAAATTGATGATTTATAACTGATCATATGCAAATATGTCATATTAGTTATTCAAAATTGTTCGTTTAAGCTTCTAAAATATGCAAAACCATCATCTAAAACCACCTTAGTAGGTAATATGGATGGTATGGCAAAGTTCAAGGGGCTAGATGTCCGGTTTTAAAGTTTAGGGTGCTAGACGGACTTCCATGTAAAGTTTAGAGGGTTATTTGAATTTTTTTCCTATTGTAAATAGCATCTTCCTTTATATTCCAAAGAAAAAAGCTCATTTCTGATTGCTGCATGTTTATCCTATGGCAATTCTTTATTTGGCTCGATCCAATTACGATTTTTTTTTCGAATTGACCACAACCAAAACTAAACCACCATCTACGTGTGTGTTTATAATAATAACTAATTGATACTCCGTGCTTTATCGCGGGATATGTGGATAAATACATGTTATACAGTACATTATAAAAATAGTAGACATATATGCTTAAATAATGTGAAAATGATGTGAACGTGATGATTTGACATTGCTTGCACGCTGAGTTCTAAAAATACAGCAAAATTACAAATGATATGCTATGTTTTCATGCTTCATTTGCGAAACAATTTTGAGAATGAAAAATTAGATATTACTTAAGAGCAGGCAGTACATTCCTCCGTGATACCTCGACAAACCCGGACAGTAAAACCACTGTAGCAGTGATACAAAGGAATTCCCTCTTAACACGACAATGAATATATCCCAAATAGTGCTAATATTAAAGGGGCTGTCTATACATCTTATGACAGAAAATCCCACCTCCTATCATTTAAATTTTGGACCATTGGATATGCTTCAAGATTCGTGCATACCATTTTAACCCTAACTCCTCTCCTCCTCCCCCGATTCAGATCGCACGCCGCCACCACTCGCATGATCCCCCGCCACCATCGCCGCCACCGCCCCACCGCGCCGCCGCCCGCCTCGCCGGCTGGCCGGAAGGGGTCAACGGCGCCGGCGAGCCCCCTCCCCCTCTCCCCCTCCCCTCCTCTCCTTGAGGTGGCGACGGTGAGGTGCCCCCGCCCCGCCGTCTTCCCCGTCTCCGGCGGCTCCCCGCCACCGGATCCGCCACCACCGGCTGCCGCCTCCTAATCTCACGCTTGCTTTTCCCCCGCCGCCGACGCCGGCCCACTGCCCTCCTCCATCCCTGCGGCGGCGGCACCGCCGCCGCCTCGCCGCCCGCCGGAGTCCACCGCCCACCGCCGGTCCTCCGCCGCCCATGGCCATCCCTCTAAGCCCCGAGGAAACCCCCCTCTTCCCCCTCCCCCAACCTCCCTCCTATCCTCACCCCAACCCCAAAGCCTAACCCGCTGGAGTTGGGGTGTCACCGGCGCCGGAGAAGAAGGGGAGCCCGCCGGAGTTGGAGGAGAGAAGCCGATGCACGAATCTTGGTATGGATCCAATGGTCCAAAATCTGTAAGATTTCTTCCCCAAATTTCATTCGAATGACATATAGCAATCCCGAATATTAAATTCCCTTTACAGTTCATCTTTGAGAAGGTCATTTTATTACGGAGAAAACAAGGTTGATGGTAACAAGCACACCCATACAATATCATTACTCATCTTCGCCAGAAATAACGAAGGAAGTGCCAACTGGTTGGTTTAGGGATGAAATTGTGGCTGATTTTTCTGTTCCCCGAGGGGTATTCCCTTGTTACTTTGTTAGGGAACGAGTGATCCAGCAGCGTGCGGTGGTGGTGGCGGCGTGGAGCGAAGAAAATAGCGAGGAGCATTGAACTGTTCTCATGTTCATGACAGATATAAATCCATTCAAACTTAACCTATATTCTTTTGCGCATTGTTTTGATTTGATTCGTTTGATGATGGCGTGTGCAACAATGGAGCTGGGATGGTTAGGGTGTGTTTGGATGATGGGTTAGAAGAGGTGGGATTAGGAAATGAAAATGAATGGATGGATATGATGAAATGGAGTGAGAAGAATGGATGGCTAGGATTGAAGCTTCAAAGGTGGAAAATCATATCCCAAACCCATTATCCAAACATGGCATTAATGGATTTGGTGGCATGGCTGCCGCTGCCAGTTGGACGATGTTGCCGTCTAGGGCCTATAGCGAGCCGTTCACAATCTAGTTACATGGAACAGAAGACAACACAGACCAAAACCAATGCGGAAGCAGTTACGAACGACAGAAACAATATATATTTTTTATAATATATGTATGTCGAGGAGTGATCCTCTCTAGCGGGAGATCATGAGACCCCTCTTTTGTGAGTTCGGCCGGGGGAAAAAGCTCGCCTCTGGAAATCGCGTATCCGTCTCCAAGGCTCCTAGCTAGCTCGCACACAGCAAAATTATACAGGTTCGGGCCGCTATGAAGCGTAATACCCTACTCCTGTGTATGGGATTTAGACTGAGAGTTACAAGGGTTCCTAAACTCGGGATAACATTCTTACTTCCCTCCTCCTCGAGCTCAGGTTTTCTGAGAGTCGTCCCCTTTCTCAGTAGGCAAGGCCCTCCTTTTATACCTCAAGGGGATACCACATGCACCGCCTCTACCTACTCTTCTCTCGGGTGGGGACCCACCCTACCTTGACCGGAACTCGACCCGTGCCTTCGCCTCGAAGCTAAACCACAGCTTTTCCTTGAGCGGGGCCAGCGCCGTCCCTCGCCTGACACGGGGGACAGCCCTGTCATTCCCTCATTAATGGGTGAAGACTTGTGGTGGCCGCCCTCCGAATGACCCTCCGATGGAACGGGTCATACCTACCTCCACTCCGCCGGAGGCAGATGCGACATGGGAGCACGGTTGTCTGTCCAGTCAGACGTGACCGGTGTCAGGCCGGTCACAGACTGGTCATTCTTGACCATCGCGCGCCAGTCGGGCACGCCGCACGTCTGCCCCACTGCATTAAATGCGACAGGGGGCAATTGGGGTGCTGCGCGCATTAAAGTAGGTTCAACCTAGGCCCCCTCCTCGCTTGCTCCCCCGCCAAAAGGCGGCTGGGCGAGGGCCTCGGGGCAAAGCGATGCAAGGGCCCGAGGGGCATGACGTGGCACCCCGAGGCCCCCCCCCCGTGCCAGCCGCTCTTGTGACTCGCGGAATGTGGGGGTAGGACCAGGCTCTAGGGACACGTGGCAGGATGGGAAGGTAGATTCCCCTCACTTCGCATACCCTCGGCCCCATATCTCCGACAATGTAAATATAAAGAGAAGATAAAACGTAAAGATATGAATACACCTTTTTTTTTAAGAATTACACAGTGCAACGCAGACACTCACAACGCACACACACTCACCCCTATGAATGCACGTACGCAAACTCTACCCCTATGAGCATCTTCGAAGGCTGAGCACCCTTTTTAATAATAGGTATGCGGTATTTCTGGTAATTATAAGTCCAAGTATAGTAGGTATTTTGAATCCGTAAAACCGATAAATTGACCATTCATCTTATTATTTGAAAAAAACATAAATATTTCGTGCAATTGGCTTTAAATATGAGCTTTGATCATTCGTATTATTAAAATTTTTTAATTATTATTTATTTTATCGTGACTTTTTTTAATTAAATGTATCTTAAGCATGACATATATTTTTACACGTTTAACTAAAATTCTAAATAAGACGACATGTCTTAAATATTTACTATCAAAGGAAGTAACTGTTATATATTTTGCCACGATTTGTTCAATAAGACGAATAATATATAATTTTGGTCTATTACATTATCCCAAAATGATTCATTTTCTACACGAAGTCATGAGATGGGGGGTGTAATTGGGTTTCCGCGTCATCAAGTCCCCATCTGACTGACAGAACAAATCAACGGCCACGATCTGATCGCGTTTCCAACTGCAGCCATCTCAACTTCTCAACTCCCTCTCCTGTGCTTCTCTCCCCCTCTCTCTCACCGACCTCCCCTCCCCTTGCAGATCTGATCGGCGACGGCGATCGCCGGACCACCACCGCCCGCCGCCATGGCGCTCACCCTCCGCAAGAAGCAGCTCGGTAAGCTCCAACTCACCCCCACCCCCCGTCCTCTCTTCCCCCCTTCCTCTCCGATCTGACCGAGCGCTCGCTTGCTCTCTCTCTGCGTGATCCAGATTCGATCGTGAGGATGCTGCATCTGAACCAGCAGCTGCAGGGCTCGCCGGACGGGGTCGGCGGAGGGGTGGGGTCGGCGGAGGAGGAGGAGGCGTACAAGATCCTGGTGATGGACTCCCCCTGCGTCGCGCTCCTCGCGCCGGTGCTCCGCGTCGGGGAGCTCCGGAGGCACGGCGTCACGCTCCACCTCAACATCGACAAGGCGAGGCAGCAGGTCCCCGACGCCCCCGCCGTCTACCTGCTCCGCCCCACCGCCGCCAACGTCGACCGCGTCGCCGCCGACGCCGCCGCGGGCCTCTACGCCTCCTTCCACCTCAACTTCTCCACCTGCGTCCCGCGGGCCCTCCTCGAGCGCCTCGCCTCCGCCACCGCCGCCTCCCGCTCCGCGCACCGCGTCGCCCGCGTCGCCGACCAGTACCTCGACTTCGTCTGCCTCGAGGAGGGGCTCTTCTCCCTCGCCCAGCCCAGGGCGTACGTCGCGCTCAACGACCCCGCCGCCGCCGAGGCCGACATCACCGCGCTCGTCGACGCCATCGCGCTCGGCCTCTTCTGCGTCGTTGCCACGCTCGGCGCCGTGCCCGTCATCAGGTGCGCTGGCGGCGGGCCGGCGGAGATGGTCGCCGCCGCGCTTGACGCCCGCCTCCGCGATCACCTCATCGCCAAGCCCAATCTCTTCACTGAGGCCGCGTCCACAGCAGTTGCATCCTTCCAGCGGCCACTCCTGTGCCTGTTTGATAGGAATTTCGAGCTTTCGGTGGGGATCCAGCATGATTGGAGCTACCGCCCGTTGGTCCACGACGTGCTCGGCCTGAAGTCGAACAAATTGAAGTTGCCAGAGAAGTATGATTTGGATGACACTGATCCGTTCTGGGTGGCAAACAGCTGGTTGCAATTCCCCAAAGTGGCAGAGGAAATTGAGGCCCAGCTTGCCAAGTACAAGCAGGATGTGGATGAGGTGAACCAGCGCACAGGTGGTGGCAGGGATGGTGTTGAGTTTGATGGCACCGATCTCATTGGCAACACCAGGCATCTCATGAATGCTGTGAACTCGCTCCCAGAATTGACGGAACGGAAGAAGATGATTGACAAGCACACGAATATTGCAACGGCGCTGCTTGGCCATATCAAGGGGAGGTCTCTGGATGGATATTTCGAGTGTGAGAATAGTATGCTCGTGGATGGCACCTTGGACCGGACCAAGTTGATGAACCTGCTGAGAGGGAACGGCACCAAGGAGGATAAGCTCCGACTGGCTGTGACCTACCTGCTTTCCTTCGAGACACCAGTGCCATCTGACTTAGAGCAGGTTGAGGCCGCTCTGCGTGAGTCAGAAGTGGACATGTCCGCGTTTCAGTATGTAAAGAGAATAAAGTCACTGAATTCCCAGTTCGCTGGTGCATCAAACACCGCAAGCAAGGTTAACATAGTTGATTGGGCAGAAAAGCTTTATGGGCACTCCATTAGTGCCATGACAGGTGTGAGGAATTTGTTATCAGATGGAAAGCAGCTGGCCGCTACAAGGGCTGTAGAAGCTTTGATGGAGGGGAAACCAAATCCTGAAGTTGACAACTACTTACTATTTGATCCACGGGCCCCTAAATCAGGAACTGCTGGACAGTTCAGAGGACCCTTCAGAGAGGCCATTGTTTTCATGATTGGTGGTGGAAATTACATTGAATACAGGAGCTTGACAGAGCTAACGCAACGTTCACAGACTACCAAGCAAGTCATATATGGAGCAACTGAAATTCTTAATGGGGTGGAGTTTATTCAGCAACTCTCAGAACTGGGGCAGAAAGCAGGGTTGGGTGGTGTCAGCAGCAGCCTGCCACCCCAGTAAACAGGCTCCTTCAAGATATTTTGATGTTAATGGGTGTTTAAAGCTTCCTAGATCAGTGGTATCTTACCAGACTTTTGATGTTAAAGAGTGGTCCAGACTGCATAGATCAATGGTATCCAATTTCCAAAAAGCTCAGGTTTATGGCCTTGCTTTGAATGTCATCTATACAAAGTTTTCTTATGATTTTATCTTTCCCGAGTCTGATATGAAGTGTCCATGTATGCTCATTTTCTTTTATCATCATTGATTTCTTTTGTCTCCTTTTGGTTCTCTGAGATTACCGAAATTATTCAGTGAAGTATTTTTTGCACACTCCAATCAGTTCATATCAACACAACCATACACTAGAAATAATCCATTAAAAATTTGATGTAGATGATATCATGGAAAAACTGCACAGAAATAGGTACTGCTGCATGATCCTATAGATTAGGTGAAACTGTCAGCTTTTGAATAGACCTCAAAACCTAGGGTAAATCATAGAACCAATGCTGTGGGAATGGTAAATCATAGAATTTTTCTATAATATGAATAATACTAGCTTATATGTATATGTGCATGTTTCTTCAAGAGTGTAGCTATGTGTTACAGTTGCAGGTAACATTGGTTGGTTGAGTTGTGCTATTTGTAGTGTTACGTTTGTTTTGCAGACATAGGGAGTTATGATTTAAAAATACACATACTTTTTTGGGTTTGTTGGAACCATGCCACCCTATATTTGCAAAATTTGAGATATGGCACCCATATCTCAATGACATGTAGGACCCACATGAGTCAATGACATGTGGGCCAGGGTGGCATATCACAAATTTTACAAAATTTGTGTGGCATGGTTCAAATTGTCCCTACTTTTTTATGAGGATGTGATGATACTCAGAATATAATTTTTAGCTTCTTCCGGATCAGAATGTGCATGATGTTAATGGTTCTATGACCTCGTCATACCAATATTGGAAGTCTTTATGTTTTTACTCAGAATATAATTTTTAGGTTCTTCCGGATCAGAATGTGCATGATGTTAATGGTTCTATGACCTCGTCATACCAATATTGGAAGTCTTTAAGTAGAAAACATAGGATGGAAATTAGTTTCTATACAACCTCTCGAATTCAGTTTGTGATATGATGTGCAACAAAAAGAAACCCTAACTGCTCGCTGACTCCCCATTAGAAAAATACTTGTCAGTTTGAAGATATGTCCTGCATGTTGACATAACTGAATTTAACATTAGCTTGATTTGGATAGTCAACAAACAACGATAGCATGCAAGCAGAGAGCTGGTGAGACAGTAGCATAAACTTGAAATACATTTACGGAAGATGAGATTGGTTGGCTCCAAATCCATCAGTTAATTTAGTATATCAAATAGAAATTCCTCGGGCTTTACACAGTGCCACATAACATCACAATTTGCACCCATATGTGCATACACAAAAACATACTTTCCCAAACACACCACATCATAGAAAATAGAGTAAATTTCATAAAACCCCCCTATTATAGTCCAGGTTTGATAAAACCACAGGAATTTTGACGCGTTGCACATAACCCCATCTATTATGTTTCGCAAAACCACATTACCAACCATTTTGACTTTCCCATCTCTATTTTATGAGCATTTTATCCATCATATAAATGTTACATCCGCTTTTTCTATTTTGATATAGGAGTATATTAAAATGGTTAACAGTGTGGTTTTGTGAAATTTTAGAATCATAATACATGGGGTTATGCGCCATGTTTTAAAGTACCTATGGTTTTGTGCAATTTGAACCATAATAAGTGGGGTTTAATGAAATTTACTCTAGAAAATATACACAAGCCAGCCCATTAAAAGAAGGAATTGTTCAGTCAAGCAGCAAATTTTACATGATCCAAGATGGTTAAAGTTAATAAAAGTTGGATCTATAAGTATCCTTGAACGCACACAGTTGTGTTAATCTATTCTGTTACATCAATCTGCGGTTCTAGATTTCATTCTTCACAGCCATCTTACAGCAGTATTATCAAGACTAACTTGTATATGCTTCCGTCCCTAACAGTTTACAGTTGTATTTTTCACTGTCTCATTTTCGCCATGATTTTCATCTGTCTTCTATATACTTCAGCAATGTCATTATGCCACTAATTGTGTATCTTTCACCAAATGATTGCTCAAACCAAGTGATCTAGATATATATTTAATTATGTCATCCATGAACAACAGAACAAGATATTATTGACTTACCTTACATGATTGAAGTACATAATATGACTTATTTGCTCGCGTGCCTGACAAAATAAGTGATGCAAGTTGTAGTTCATACAGAACCATCTGTTCATTTTAGCTATCTCCATGGTGCAACTGGATGGTTCTGCAGAAACTGTATAACCTTTGTCTTCATAGGTTGATTTTGTCAAGTTGCCTTTTGTCAGGTTGTTAAGTATTGGAGTGTGGCTTTGTTTATTTTTCTGCAGAAGCATCTTGGTCAATCTTAGTTATGTTGATTTTGCATTGTCCGTCCAAGTTTATCCTGATATTCATTTCAGAAAGAAATGCAATTGTTGTATGGTAGAGCGGCAGCTGGTTAGTGGTAACTAGTAGCCGAGCCAGCAATTTCTCTCAAATCCTTCAGTTGATATAGCCTCTGCAGATGCTGAGCGAGGCGACACATATCGTCGATGATCTCTCATTCTAAATCCTCATTGTCAGCCTCCAACTCATCACAAATCTGTAGCTCTTCAACAGACACTACGTTGTTCTTTGACGCGTCATCCTGTTTGCAATAGCAATTCCTGAGAAAGTTCATGCTATGTCTGATCTTAATTTTGTCCTTCCAACCTTGATTTTGGGTAAATAAACAAATTAATGCTGCGTGGTTGGAATTATACCAGGAAAATGAATTGTGTTTGATATGTTAAGCTGCCTACCCTACACCCAAGCAGTACAACTCAGCAAGTAGGGAGGAAAGGAAAACACTAAAAGCACTGAGTAAGCAGTAGAAGAAATTAGATGGTAACCTGACTGTGGCTGCCCACGAGAAAATACTGAAGGTTCTTCAGTTTCCTATGCGTTGCCTGACGTTCTTATTGTGAGAAAAGGTTTCCTCTTAGTTTGTATATGAATTTTTCTATGGGTCTTAAGGACATTTATTAATTATATCTTTATTATACCCCACACATTGTGCCAGACCTGTCGTTGTTACACTTGAAGTCCTGAACTGAACATTAGTAAGTCAAAAGATTCAGACAAAATTCCATGCTCTGGTACTCTGATACATGTTCTTGTTTGATCATGCAAGATTTCATCACTGCTTTTTGCCTGGTAATTACAGCATCAATCAGCAAGCTTGGGTGAGTTGGGTCTGCGTCTGAGTTGGCTGTGAGTTCGTTTATACTGGAAGGTGCAACAACAAGGTGTCACTCTGGTTGCATTTGGAAGCTAAGATTTGCAAGCAAATTTCTACAACTGGCATCGGATTGAAGGAACAACTCTACACAGGATCTCAGCAATTTCAAAGCTAGAATGTCCAGCAGTGGGCACAATTTTTTGCGTGTGAGTTGGTGAAACAAGGTTTATTGGGTATCAAACAGATTTGCTTCCATCATTTTTACATAATGAAACAGATTGATTCCATAGATCGCTTGTTTTCTTTTATGTCCTCAGGCTTATGTGGTAGTGTGATTCCTGCTATTGTTCTTGTTTTAGGACTGGGGAAAACACTGTCAGTTCAGGTTAGGACCTCGGAATGCATTATGCTGTTCTGTACTTAATGTAGTTTCTGTGAAATTCGAATTTTGTTTCATTTGTACGATCTATTGTACTCTGGTAGGTATGATGATCCAAGCTATGTGTTGCTACGTTTGTGGATAAATTGGACTAGAATTTTCTTTTCCAGACCATATTGGAATAAAATATCATCAAGTTCATAAAGAACTGGGGTATATACATCCCTACATGCTAAAAAATCTGTCCAATCTCCATTGGTTTCTGTCATATGTTGCTCCGTAATTGATTGGCTGAAGAAAACTCAGAGTGAAGGAGTAATTAATTATTACTTCCTATTTAAATTGAACTAACCGTCGTTAAATAAATGAGATGGCGGGAGTACTAGCTAAGTGAGGCTTGAGAGCCAAGAGTTGACACTTGACAGTGGCTTAGGAAAAAGTACACTTATCATCGGGATAAAAAACGTCCTTGAACCATAAAACCAGATATTTAAGATCTCTCAACTATACAAAACCGGTCACTCGAGATACTTCGGTGGTTTTTACCCCGGTTTTGGTCTACGTGGCGGCTGAGTCAGCGTGGATCCCACGTGTCAGCATGCCACGTCATCTATCTTTTACCTTTTCTCTCCCTTCCTCAGATGGGGCCCACTTGTTAGGGGTATCTTCTACCTCCTTGGCTCCTTCCCTGCACCAACACAGAGAGGAGAGGAAGATGTAGCTGGGGAGGAGGCCGCCGGGGTGAGGCGGGAGAGGAGGGCGGCGCCGCGACGGCGGCCGTACTGGAGGGCTGGTCGATGACGAGGACGGCGTACCAGTTGGGGCAGCCGGGGTTGGCGGTGGCGATGTTGCCGGTCCTCGGCGCCATGGCCTCTTGGTTGGCTACCGCCATGGCGAGTAGCTAGCTAGCTCCTCATGCGCGCTCAAGCTGTTGGCTGCCGCCACGTGCACTGCTGCTCCGCCGCCAGGAGAGAGGGAGGATGAGCTTGAAACAGCGACGACCTCCACCAACCTCCGCCGCGGGAAACAGCGACGAACGGCAGCAGCCTTAGCGCGAGCCGGCGCGTGAAGAGGAAGGTGGTGCGGTGAGAGGGGTAGGCGGCGGCATCGGCCTCGGGGGCACCGCCAGCTGAGACCCCGCCTCGTCAACGCGTCGGCGGCGGCGGCGGCGCGAGGATCGTTTGACGGCTGCTGCATGGAACAGAAGAAGCATCGGTCCATATTCCAAAATCCCTCTTGTGAGCATCTCTAGCTAAACGAATTCACGAACTAAAGAAAAAGAATTATTTTTTTCTCTTAATTCGCACTTACCAAGAAAGCAAGAACGCTAATTCACGCATTTCTCAATTCTCATGGAGAATTACAAGGTGAGATCCAAGCTCACATTTTCCCGGTTAATCTCTGCCAGGTCTCCCAGGCGGCGCTCGTGGTTGCCGCCGCCGTCCTAGCCCGAGCGCTGTCTCCAGCCGCGGTCGCCGCCGCCGCCGGCCACCGTCGCGGCGCCGCCCTTCTCTCCCGCCTCGCCCCGGCGGCCTCCTCCCCAGCTACCTCTCCCTCTTTTCTCTGTGTTGGCGCAGGGAAGGAGGAGCCAAGGAGGAAGAAGATATCCCTGACAAGTGGGCCCCATCTGAGGAAGAGAGAGAAAAGGGAAAAGATAGATAATGTGGCAGGCTTACATGTGGGGTCCACATGGGTCCTACGCTGACTCAGCCGCTAGGTAGACCAAAACCGGTGTCAAAACCACCTAAGAACCTCGGGTGACCGGTTTTATACAGTTGAGGGACCCCGCATATCTGGTTTTGCGGTGCAAGGACGATTTTGTATCCCGATTTTGCCTAGTGTGAGTATGAGATGGTGTTGGATTTGGCCCATGGGCTTTTACCGTCTCTCTCTTCAATCTTCCAGACTAGCTAGCTGCTCTTTTATTTTTTTTTAAAAAAGTTGTTTCTATTAGAGGCGAACATCCTACTTTAATTCTGTACGAGCATCCATTAGAGACACATTCGCATTGGAACGAAGAAATCCTTTAGGAGTGTCCATACGTGTATTTGTTGTTATTTTTATATCTCATAGACAAAGTGAGTTTGGACAAGACTTTCTATGTGGTTATGTAACATCATCTCATCTATATATGGGATTTTTTTTTCTGAATTTAGACGATTTTTTTGTTAGGGTTTACATAAGTATTAGGTTTTCCATAATACATGTACCCTTTGAGTGATCACTAGAATTCTAATATAAGTGCACTCGCGTGTGAGAAATTGTGGGTGAACGCAAGAGCTCATAACGGGTAATGAACATACACAGGCACACCCAAGTCAACGCCTCTCTTTTCGATTGGTACGTCGCCCATCACTAAAAAAATAATTGACCGTAAAATGCGAACATCGTTGTCAAACCTAACTTAAATCCTGATGGGTTGGTTCCATCACAAGGAATCTAATCGGTTGAGCTACTTAATTTATTTAATTTATTGTAGTGCAACGAAGGATGATGAAATGGTAAATATCTATCATTGCAATTTTTTGTGGTATTATTGTAGTGTATTATATTTACGTGGTATATTTCTAAAGTCAATATTTTGATAGTTTGGAACCGATATCCCCATAAAAATATTCACAACCTATCTTTCCACGGTTCTTGATTCCCCACCTCACTACCTCTTAGTGCTATACCCTACATATTTCATATACTTCTGCTATAAAACATTCCCACATGATGCTTTACAAGAACACAACACCCTCATAATATTGTATCTCCTCCGTGCGATGATATTCTAGAATGGATAAATATTCATATATACATACATGTTTCATGTTTTTCATCATCTTAGTGTTGTACTCATAGGGAAAAGATAAATGCTGAAATTGAGAAGCTTATGGACGTAACATAAGTTTAAAAATATATATATCAAAATTGCTCTAAACTCAAAGTGTTTGTGCGTGTGCGCGTGCACCTTTTCTTTTTCTTGAACAAAAAGACAGGTGTTTAGCTTCGATGTAAACATAGAACTGACAAACAAGGCTCAAATTTTTGTACTTAGTGTAGAAATTCGCAAGTAGGACAACTACCATCAGCGAGGTTGTTTAAAAGCTGCCAACTCTGGATAAATATTGCAGTAGAGAGCTCCTTTAACCATTATTTAGACAGGCCCATAATTTTCAGGTTTCAACTCCAGCAGAAAGCTACACAAAGAAAGAGCTAAATAGAAGCTAATAACTCTTCTCATTGCCAGTCTACCACTAATGAAAAAGTGCTACTAGAGGTCCATCTCTCTGATCTTCTACTACTAGAAGCTGTGGAAACTAGCTCCTCTCGTTGTGACGAATGATGTGGACTTTCATGGCAAGCCCCCTCTCACTGTTCTTCGTCAGCTGGAAGAGGCAGATGTCCTCAGTTTGCAGACGGTTGTCGCGGACGAAATCGCGCCAGCCGAGGGTGAACATCCGTGCGTCGCCGCTCCGAGGGCGCATCTTGACCTGCCATGCCTTGCCCGTCCCCGTCGTCAGGAGCGTCAAGGTTTGCTCCCCTTCCGGGAGGTATCTTATAGCAAACTGCCTGCCAAGGGTCTGTTTTCGGATACGGTACAGTGTTCATTACGGCAACAGGTTAGTACTAGCTAATACAGCCATAAATATGAACAACTCTAGTTAACTACCAGACTTTGCTTGGATGGTGAATGGTGAATGTTCAAGATACAAACATCTCGAAATAGTAGATGCAGACATCTTGCCTAATTCAACAAAAACAATACAACCTATTGATAAGTAGCAGTAATAAATAAGTACTCTCTCGATTCCAAAATATAAGGATTTCTACGATTCAAATTTTGTACCATAATATAAGGATTTCTACACTGATTCCCATGGTTCATATCACTTCAATTAATCCAAAGCAATACATTCAAAATTCAAAAAATGACAACTGAAATGACTAAAGAGGAATCTTTTAACATAACCTTAGTACATTTCTTCTGCCCCCATCATATAGCAAATAGTACCGGATGAGATTTATCATAATACTACGAATATTGACAGAAGTCTTGTCCAAATGTCCAAATTCATAGTACTAGCCTACCAGGATGTGTTCTATCCAGTACTATATAGGAGGGGGGGGGGGTTCTTGCTCAATGACCTAAAAATCCTTATATTTTGGAACGAAGGGAGTACTAAATAGTACTGGAAGTGTGTCCAGAAAAAAGCAAGACTTACAATGATGTAGAGCCCATCGGTACCAACATTGCTCTTGTTCATTATCGACACATAAATGGGACCTTCAGATTGAATGGAGTGAACATTCTCTTCCACTTTCATGAACTGTTCTTCAGTCAGAGAAACTCTGTCTGCTGTCAAGTAAGGCTTAGAACTCCCCACAGAAACATCAAAATTGAGAGGTTCCTGACGCTTTCCTTGACCATTGTTGCATTGTTCTGAATAAGTAACATTTTCTCGTCAACAAAAAATTTCACATGTAACACAAAAGAGCAAATAACAATGTATCACAACATTACCATTGTCCGCTTCCTTCTTGACATTGGTTGTAGAAGGTTCCATTGTCCCTCTCCTACATTCAGTTGAGCTTACTCTTCTATCATCAGTCATTTTCAGCCTCATTCTGCCATTCCTTGATTCAAACCTTTTAGGAATATGGAGTGCACCAAAGGAGTGAGGAATTGTTTCACGGAGTAGATGCACTGTTGCCCTGAATTTTCTCCCATTAAAATTTTTTAGGTGAAAGATGCAGATATCTCCCTCTTTCACATGGTTGTGACGAACAAAGTCTATCCAACGCCCATGAAGGATGTACCCAACTTGATCTTTCCTAATGTAAAATTTGGGATGCCACTTCCTGTTCTTGCCATGCCACTTAAGTGTGATGGTTTGACTCGTATGCGGAAAGTACGCACATGCATAATGCTTAGCAATTACCTGATCCAGAGAGAGATTTGATGCTGTAAATGATTCTGAACCTACATAATTTGTGGCTTATGATGTAACGGAAGACGAAATAAAGATAAATTTAGCTCATTGTGCAAATTAAGGTGCACAGACCACAGCAACTTTAATGGCATTCTCTACTAAAATTAATCCAAAAAGCTACATTTCTGATTCAATTACCCATACACCATACACACAATTCATGCTCTTCTCCTTTTTTTTCCTACCAATTACAGAACTATACCTCTGATGGAGCTATCTCCATTGAAGGACTTGAATAACTATACCTGATGCATCTTCCTCACTTTCTACCGATCATGGGCATTTCTAATCTAGCTTCTCAAATGATTGTGGGATGCCTGCATCTAATTCACTGCATTTTGTTTCTTTTATAAATAGGTAAAACAATTATATTGTGTAAAATGCATGGATTATGGCCTATGTACTTGATTAAAAAAAAGGCAGAACTTACAAGGGAAGCATGGTGTGAGTTAACATTGCTATGCTTCATGGTAGTCACATATAGAGGAATTTCAGGTCGAATTTCCTGGACAAGCATATCTAGTTTCTCCTCATGTGCTTGAGATAGATTAGTCCCGCGCGACAAGACATAACCAGGCATTGGAGCTATCTGAGGATCAACTAGATCATAGGATGACTCATGTTCAGAACTGCTGCTCTCCTTGGCCTCCTCTCCTGTGCATTCTCAACAAGGCAAATATAGAAAAAAAAAACTCCACTTTTCAGTTAACTATAAAATCTAATATAAAAATGTGTAGCTGAAGCATAGTACAAAAAAGGTTCACAGAGAAGAGAATCAGCAATTTAGACCTGATCCCCCAGATGAACATGTCGCTGCCAATTTCGCGGTTTTACTATGCTGACTGTCACTACCACTTTCACTTCTAGCAAATCTTTCACCCCCGGATGATTGCACGGTATCATCATGGGTGCTGCTTGAAACATCGATAGGATCTGCATTTCTTTCTTGAACACCAGAGGCCCTTCTTTTGCCAGAACAGGAGAATACTTTCTCACAACCATCAGAATCAAGGATCAGAACCGGGAATTCTTGATGTGACGGAACAATAAGGAGTCATTCTCTTCTATCTGATGGGCATCTACAAATGCCTCCCATCCACACTGGAGGACTGTCTTATTCATGTGCTTGCTAACTTTGACGACATACACGTTGCCCTTGGGGGATTCTAGTTCAACTGTTCTTGATATTTTCCCTCCGAATTGGTCCAAGAACTTGTTTGGTATGATCTGTAGAGAAAAAAAATAACAGTGTAACATAATGGTATTGGTGTGAATAGAGCAATTCCTAGTTTCATACAACACTTGATATATTGTTAATGAGAAGTCCACAATGGCATAACAAAACATTTTTATTTTCGAACACATGATATAGTGATCAACTTCAGCTTAGAATTTAGGACTTTGGAGTACTTGGTACAATGAGTCATCCTTGCATGTAAACTGTTATCAAGAAACCCAAGGTTTTTAACTAGTGAATTTTGCTCCCATGCTAGCTTGCATTTCAGCATGTTTGATTAGCATACCACTTGAAACTTAATCAAGTTCATCAGATAAGCGATAAACTAATCACATGCAAAATCCAATCAATCCACCATGAAGAATATGAGACTAAAAGTGAGTGGTCTTAGCTGCAGGCTTACCATGCTATGCTCAAAATTAGCACTCATTTGCCTGTGGAAGCATTTCATCTTTCCATTGGAATGGTCCACATATCTTTTGCAGCAATCACAGTATTTCTTCATCTGGGAACCTTGTCCAGCCATATGAACTGAAATTTGTAGCTTATGTCAGCTGAAGATGCAACTAATCAGCAAGTGCTGATTAAAGGTACAGATGCAACTAATCAACAAAGAGAGTACTTTTTTATCACCAGAATTATACTGTGGAGCAGTAGATAGAGATAAAAAAGTTATGAAGAGGGTTTTTTTTTTTCGGGGAAGTTATGAAGAGGTTAATACTCCCTCCGTCCCTAAATATAATAAATTTTGGTTAGATATGACGTATCCTAGTACAATAAATCTAGACATGTTTCATGTCCAAATTCATTATACTATGATGTGTCACATTTAACCAAAATCTCTTATATTTAGGGGCAGAGGGAGTAGTATTTTAAATCAAAATGGACACCTAAGCAAGGATAGGTGCTTCTCAAAGTTATGTGGAGCTTATATTATACTCTCTCGATCTCTCCAGGATGATAATACTTATCGTTTTGAACAAAGCTGATATGAAACTTTAAAATCTTTGACTATGAATAATTTCTAAAGTATTTGTCAAAGAAATATGGAGACCATATGTATAGATTAGTATTAAAATAAAACCATATATTTGTTGATATTTCTATGTATATTATAATAAAAAAATAGTGGTGAAATTTATTTTCTGAAGACCTTGTACTTGTTCAAAACTAAACCTACAGGGAGTACCAAGCAACTGTATGCAGAGAACAAAAGGGGGTCCAAGACCAAAAGTCAGAATCACTTGAACTTCCAATGAGCGTGCTGTCAATAAGGTAACTAATGAAAACCCCCACTAACCAAAGAAATTAGTAAGATGATTTATTAGGGAGTTATCTGCACACTAATAACCATGATTACTCGATCTTGCGCTGGAATACAGACAGTCAAAATTAGTAAAACTTTGGCAATCAACATCTTAATGAATATTTATGTTAGAGATACGAAAATGATATGGGAATATATCTGTCGGAAAGACTATGTCAAAACTCCAAATATTTTTACAGTGTTAATGTATTACAACAGAATCTGAGGCATAACAACAGCAGTCTTCTTCCTTACGTGACAAATTGATCCAACAGCCAGATTAAATCACCGGTTTCTTTTGTCCAATCTCTAGTCAGCTATACAACCAGTGCAGATAATCAATCTACTGAACAAATCTAGAACCTTGGACGTTTCATTCTCCATTTTGTCATGACTTTGAAATTGCTCCTTACTCTATCACAATCCAAACCTAGGGAAGTAATCTTGTTCACATTAAGAAATAGAAAATGATTCTCCTCGTTTGTTCATTTTCCTTTTTTTTAAGAAAAAACGAAGGTAGAAACCCTGTCTTATTTCATTGATAGAGACGAGATACACATCGACCTAAGAAAGGGTTCACACCGAAAACACCATCATACAAGCACCTCAAGATCACTCCCGACGCTAAAACACCTATAACACCCAACGCCTTAAAAAAATTATGGATCATAATATACAAAAACAAAAAAAAAAAGAAAAAGACATAGACCTTCAAATTTAAAAGAAGAAAAAGACAGAAACCTTCAAATTTTGACTAATTTGTTAGTACTTAGTTGTTTAACAACAAAGAGTTACTACCTCTGGGTTTGGAATAGTCGTCTTGAAGGGAGATTTGCCGCTGCAGCAGTTGCGCTTTTCCGGCCCGCTGGTGGACGAACTCGCCTGATGAGTTCCCAACTTCCCAAGGCCAAGTGAGGCTCCTGGGCTGGCCAAGTCGCTGATTTGATTTGCTTAATAAGGGTAGTTTAGGGGTGGAAAAGGTCATAACTACCTGTAACTTCCTCCTCGTTTGCCGCGCTATTTTAAGGAGTGCTGGTGTATTTCTCATCGGATTCCTGCGGCCTTCTCTCATCACACCCACACTAAGCAGCTGATGATGATGATGGGAACTTGTTGAGTATTAAGAAGCAGTAAAAATAGGGATAATAAGTCCTAAGGGTCAAAGATGAATGCTGAGGGGATAAGAGCCTTAATTACGGCTCAAACACGTGGATTGAGACGTACTCAGTACATTCTTGAGGCATTATATTTTATTATACAATACAAATGTTGATGCGCTATACGCCTATACCCGATAATGGCATTTTAAGTATAGGGTATATTGAATCAGCGTATACGTGAGATTGCGATAAAGAGAGGAAGATATAAATTTTTATACAGGTTTGGACTCATTTTGATGGGTAATAACCCTACTCCTATTGACCGAAGGCGGTGGTGCCATTATACAACTATCTCTCAGAAGTACAATGGGGAGGAAAACCTAATCTAGCCTATCAGTATAGCGGCATAAAGCTTGAGCATGTAGTCGACGACTAGTTGTTGTCGGCTTTCTCGAGAAGGAACTCGGTGAGATTGGGAACTTATATAATATTTTAAATACCCTAAATATAACAAAGTTAAAACTATAAATGGATCAAATGTGCATCATAACAAATTAAAAACAAGTTTTTTTTATTATTATTTCAAAAGTTTTTTTTTCACATATGTATATACTCCCTCCGTCCCATAATATAAGGGATTTTAAGTTTTTGCTTGCAACGTTTGACCACTCGTCTTATTCAAAAAAATTTGAAATTATTATTTATTTTATTTGTGACTTTCTTTATTATCTACAATACTTTAAGCACAACTTTTCGTTTTTTATATTTGCAAAAAAAAATTGAATAAGACGAGTGATCAAACGTTGCAAGCAAAAACTCAAAATCCCTTATATTGTGGGACGGAGGGAGTATGTATTGGGCTAGGATTTTTTGGGTGGTCCTGGGACCACCCCTAGATCCGCCTGTGCCTCTTGGCTCTTAGGGCACCCGCAATGGTTATTTATAGGCTCTCTACAAGAGATCCATGTCAGCATATTTTCTTACTTGGAAGGGATTAAATGAAAAGAGAGAGCAAAGCTATCTACTAACCTGAAGATAGTCTATAGAGAAAAACGAGGCAATGTATTAGAGAGCTATAGATACCCATATAGACATACTATTGAGGTGGTTTACTATTAATCTAGTCTATTGCTAAGATGTACGTGTTTTATAGAGAGCACCTTACTTTACCATAGTGGGTGCTCTTATTAGGCTTGTTGGATTCTATGTTCCCTCTTTTCTAGCGGGTCTTGTATTTATACTCTGAGTGCTCCCTTGTACAAGTAAAATTAGTTTGGGCCTAAACAGGACTATGTTATTTTCTTATCCGAAACTTTTCTTTTTATCTACTCAGGACTTTTCCCATACGTATGAGGCTTGATTCCATATAGGACTTGATGTATGGTGGGCCCCACCAAACTTACTTAGCCCTCGAACTCTATTCAAATGTAAGAGAAGGAGTCGAGTTGTTGATATAGAATATTTTATCAGTATGGTAGCCGATAAAGTTTGACCCGAGAACTAACACCTTTTTGGAAGGTGAAACGATCACGTGGTTGGATCCGACAATTTGATAGAGTTTAGAACTTTTGTGTAAATAAAATCTCGACGGAGAAACCATCGTTTTATTTATTTTCTCCTAAAATACTCGAATAAACTGATTAGAAACCATAAAGTCCCCAAGCATGTCAGGTAGCTCAATATATAGGTATTTAAATATAAGTACATGCATATAAAAAACTTTTGCACCTTGTGCGTATATGTCCAAGATTGCAGATATATATACTTTCTCTTGTCTGATCAGATCCATGACTACTCGGATCGTATCCATACTTGGTTAGTTCTACTTAGATAAGGTAGTACTCGAGGGTATAAATGCAAGAACCCCAACCCCTAGGAGAAGAGGGGACAAAAGAGTATAGACAAAGACAAGTCAACATAGGCGAAGGCAAGCCTCGAAAGACCCGATACGGAGCTAAAAAAAAAGCTGACTAGAGCTACCTTCAATATCGGTGAGTTCTTATTCGAGGAAATGGACTATCTCAAGTCGTCGACCACATGTCAAAGCTTTATGCCGCCAGGCTGACAGAGATTAGATTAGGTCATCCTCAATATTGTACTTGTGGGATATTTATATATAATGACAACACCAGCTTTAGTCGACAGGAGTAGAGCTATTACCTATAAGCTGGGGACCTAAACCTGTATAAATTTCCCTAACTCTCATCTCTTTACATAATCTCGTGTATACTTTAGCCAACGATCCTCATATTCTACAACTACCTTTATCAGGTACAACTACAAAATCAACATCATATAAAACTACTTTTAAATGCAAATATAATGATATATAAACTATTCATGCTAAAAACCTTTGAGGAAATGCAATATTCGCCACAAATTTCATTAACAGAATACTAACTGTTCTTTTCAATGTGCGCTACTTCCTCCCTCACCTCCCACTTGGTTCACATGTTTGTGCCAATTGTTCGCTTTTCTCGCATACGAAAATAATTAAGGTGAAAGAGCATTTGCGACCCTAGTGGGTTTTGGTTAATTGATGACAAACGATTAAAGGACTAATACACTTATTGAGTGTATAAGCAATGGATTAGTCCAATGAAGAGCCGATGAAGATGAGAAGAAGAAGAAGAAGCAACACAATGAGGTTTCATTGTGATCCAAGGCTACAAGTGACGGGAGATGGCAAGATGCGGTGAAGGGTTGGCAAGACTTGGCTATGCGATAGACCGTGCATGGGAGAAGGGCAAGCGGGGGCTTGGCACCGAAGGACCAGGCACAGTGGTAAATGAGCAAGTGCTTGGCCGAATACTAACGAACCGATCAAGGCCATAGGATGCCACAAGTTGCTGAGGATCAACCCTTGGTGAAGAAGAAAGGCAAAATGAAATGTTGAAAGATCAAGATGATGTGATTCATTGATCAAGGCAAAGAAAAAAATATGGCGTAAATGTATTAGTATTGGTATAGCTTTTCTATTTGTTCTTTAGTTGGTACAAAAAATGTACTATTAAGGGGGATGCTATCTTGATGTCTAGGGATGAGTTTGGTGCTCAAAATTTTTGTTGAAGTGTTTTTCATTCTTGGATTTTTAAGTACTGGTGATTTTTGGATTTATTCTAAAAATGATTTTTGGAAATTTCCAGAAAGCTATGCCATGGAAAAAGCTCTCTGGTGATTTTTGGAAACTTCGGAAAGTACTTTTTGGAAATTTCCGAAAATGATATGGCCAGCAAATTGCTCTCTGGTATTTTTTGGATATTTCTGAAATGCATTTCGGAATTTCCAAAATTTGATTTTTCTCTATAGTAATTTTCAGGTTTTTCCAAAATATTTTCAGAATTCCCCGAAATGGTATTTTGCCTAGTTTCTTGTTGTGCTCATGCTGAAATTTTACACTTTTCGGGAACTTCCGACAAAAATGAAATCTTCGCCCTAACAGGCAGATCTGAGGCTATGGCTATAACCCCTTCAAGTCAAGGAGGCTGCTCACATTGAACACATCGTGCCCTTGGCTTGATTTTCTTGAGATTTACTTTGAGCCTTGCTTTCTCACTTCTTCCTCTCCACCGATCTACAAGTTTGGATTTCATGTGTGTCTGAGAGTAGTGGATTTGAGTTTGTGTGAGTGCTTGCTATTGACTTCATAAAGATTTTGTGAACACTAGTTCCAACCTAAGAAATCTTTGTTGCATTTGTTACTCTTGGTGGTTGAGGACACATAGACGGCTAGGCTTCGATCTCAAGCGACCGATTCAATTGTGGTATATTGAGGAAAGTTTATGAAGGTCGGATCTCACCTCCGAAATGAAAGAAATACCACTAGTGGAAGATGAGTGCATTTGTGCAACCTCAAGGATAAGGTTGGAAGAGACGCGGCTTATTGTGAGCTCCTCAATGGAGAGTAGAATCTCCTCAAGGATTTGAACTTTGGTAACATATTGACTTGCAAGAATCATAGTGATCACTCTCACTCTCTCTCTCTCACTCTTCTAGCTTTGCTATTTGGTGCTGCCAGTAGTTTAGTTGCTATTTCTGTAATCCAGTTTAGTTGCTATTTGTGTAATCCACCTACTACTTGTGCCACTATTCCATTTTGCTTGCCTTGCTAGCTTGTTTCTAAGTTGCCTTGCTAGATTGTTTGTAAATATGATATTTTCGGAATATCCAAAAATATTTTTAAATATCTGAAAAAGTTTAGTTTCCTCATTTACTTAAAAGTTTTAAACGCCTATTCACCCCTCCTCTTGGTATCATCAAGATCCTTTCAATTGGTATCAGAGACAAGTCTTTCTTTTAAAGGACCTTCTTTAGGCTTCCCGAAAAACATTACTACCGCACATATGGTGCTTCCCGGAAAAGGAATAATTTTAAAAATGCAGTACAAATCACTGCAACAGGTTTTCTTTCAGTCTTGGAGGACGTCGATACTTAATTCAAAGAACAACGCAACGAGAATAGATGAAAGTAGCTTTGTATTTTCTCGTGTGGTGCTTTGCGTGAAAAGAAAAAAAAATAAAAATCACAAAAAATGCAATAGATGATGGTGAAATGGTAAATATTTAAGTATTACAATTTTTTATAGTATTATAGTGTATTATAACTTTTACATGAAATATTTCTTAACTCAATATTGCGATAATGAGAAACCAATATTCCCATAAAAGTATTTGCAACCTCTCTTTGCATGGCCATTGACTCCCCCACTCATTATCTCTTTTTTGCCATACTGCTATTCCCTACATATTTCAAATACTTTTGCAGTAATCCTTTAGACCTTAATACATGATGCTTTACAAGAACACAACCCTCTCGCAATATACATAGGAAAGGATAAGGGATCATCTTTGATGTGAACACAGAAAATGATGAGCAAGGCGCAAATTAATTTTATATACTAAATTTAGAAATTTGCAATGCTACCCTCTAGCGGTCGCAAGTAGGACAAGTACCATCAGCGAGGTTGTTTAAAAGTAGCTAACTCTTAATAATTAGTATTGCATAACCACAATTTTCAGAATTCAAATCCACTACTCCAGCAAAAGCTTACATAAATAAAGTACTAGAATAAAAGCCAACGCTTCTCATGGAAGTGCCACCAGAGGGAAACTAGCTCTTCTCGTTGCGACGAATGATATGGACTGTCATGGTAAGCTTACTCTCATCATTCATCAGCTGGAAGAGGCAGATGTCTTCAATTTGCAGATGGTTGTCATGGACAAAATGGCGCCAGCCTGTGGTGATCATCTGCGCATCGCCGCTCCGAGGGCGCATCTTGACCTGCCATGCATTGCTCTTCCCCGTCATCAGAAGCGTCAAAGTTTGCTCCCCTTCCGGGAGGTACCTTGTCGCGAATTGCCTGCCAAAGATCTGTTTTCGGATACAGTACAGTGTTCAGTACAGCAATAGGTTAGCCAGTATATCCGAAAACATGAACAACTTAAATTACACCAAGGGTTATGAAAAATTGCAGTTCCAATTGCCAAGGCTTGTTTGGATGTGAATGTTCAAGATACAGTGCGATTAAGTGCTGTGGTGATACTGATTACTTACTAGATCCAGACATATTGTCTAATTCAAGAAAACAAACTATACCAACTACAGCCTATTGACAAGTAGTAGTAGTAATAATAAATGCTAAATAGTAATGGAAGTGTGTCCAGGAAATAGCAAGACTTACAATGATGTAGAGCCCATCGGTACCAACATTGCTCTTGTTCATTATTGACACATACATGGGACCTTCAGATTGAATGGAGTGAACAACTTCTTCCACTTTCCTGACCTGTTCTTCAGTCAGAGAAACTCTGTCTGCTGTCAGGTAAGGCCTAGAACTTACTCTTCTAACACCAGTCACTTTCGGCCACGTTCTGCCATCCCTTAAGTCAAACCTTTTATGACTAGTATGGAATGAACCTAAGGAACCAGATTTTGTTTCACGGAGTAGATGGACTGTTGCTCCGAATTCCCCCCCAGTAAACTTTGTTAGGTGAAAGATGCACATGTCTCCCTCCTTCACATGGTTGTCACGAACAAAGTTTTTCCAACACCCATAAAGCATGTATCCAGATCCATCTTTCCTAATGTAAAACATGGGATACCACTTCTTGTTCTTGCCTTGCCGCTGAAGTGTGATGGTTTGACTTTCAAGTGGGAAGTGTGCAGATGCATAGCGCTTAGGAATTACCTGATCCAGACAGAATATGATGCTGTAAATGTATTTTTGTGATGTAAAATAGAGAAAAGAGAAAATAAATTTTGCATTGTGCAAAGGTCTATAGACCAGAGCAAATTTAACAGCCTTCTCTACTGAAAGAAAAAGGCTGCATATTGTACAACTAACCATACACCATGCACAATTCATGCTGTTTATTGAAAAATGGAGTTATCTCCAAATGGAACTTGAATAACCTTATCTGATGCATCCTCATCGTTTTCTATTGATTACAAGCATTTCTAATCTAGGCTCTCAAATGATAGCAAGGTAACCTTACCATTTCTATTAATTTCAAAGTAACTCACTCTGTCGTATTACTATCATTATATCTAGAAAAGAACAATTATACTGTGTAAGTTGCATGGAATAAAGGGTGCATTCATAAACCCCAAAAGTTAGTACATGCAGGATTTGAACTATCTACTTGACTAAAAGGAAGTACTTACAAGACAAGCACGACGTGAGTTAACATTGCTATGCTTCATGATAGCCACAAATACAGGAATTTCAGGTTGAATGTCCTGGACAAGCATATCTACTTTTTCTTCCTGTGCTTCAGATAGACTAGTCCAACGCGATAAGACATAATTACGTCCTGGAGGCATCTGAGGATCATCTAGCTCATAGGATGACTCATCTTCAGAAGTACTGCTGTCAGTGCCCTCCTCTCCTGTGCATTTCACAATATTCAATAAGGCAAATATAGAGAAATCTATTTTTCAGAGTACTGCAAATCTAAAATGAAAATGTTTAGCTGATGCATGGTTCAAAAAGGTTCATGAAGAAGAGAATCGTCAATTTTAAACCTGATTCCCCAGACGAAGATGTTTCTGCCAATTTTGCAGTTTTTCCACGCTGACTGTCACTAGCCCTTTGGCATCTAACAAATTTTTTACTCCCTGATGATTGTGTGGTTTCATCATGAGTGCTCCTTGAAATATCAACTGGAGCTGCATTTCTTTCTTGAACACTAGAAGTCTTTTTTATGCCAGCACAGGTAAAGACTTTCTCACAACCATCAGAATCAAGGATCAGAACCTCAAAGCGGGAATTCTCAATGTGACGGAACAATAAGGAGTCATTCTCTTCTATGTGATGGGCATCTACAAATGCCTCCCATCCGCACTGTAGGATTGTCTTATTCATGTGCTCGGTGACTTTGACAATATACACAATACCCTTGGGGGATACTAGTTCAATGGTTCTTGACAACGTCCCACCAAAATGGTCCAAGAACTTGTTTGGTATGGTCTGTAGAAAAAAAAAAGGAACATAATGGTGTGAATAGCAAATGCTAGTTTCCTACAATAGTGGAGGAAAGGAAATATGATGAAAAAGATCGCATTTAATATTAATGAAAAGTCCATAATGACAAAACAGGACATTGTTATTTAGAGAACATGATATATTGATCAACTTCAGCTTAGGACTTACGAGTACTTTGATACTTCATCTTTACATGATAAACTGCTATGATGAAACTCAAGGTTTTTAGCTACTGAAATTTTGCTCCTGTGATAGCTCTCATTTCACTATGTTTAGTTAAAATGATACCAATTGAACATAATCGATTTCGCCAAAGCAGCTTTAAACTAACAACTTGCAAAATCCAACCAATCCACCATGAAGAACATGCGAATAAATGAGAGTGATCTTAGTTGCAGGCTTACCATGCTATGCCCAAAATTAGCACTCATTTGCAGGTGGAAGCACTTCATCTTTCCATTCAAATGGTCCACATATCTTTTGGACCAATCACAAGATTTCTTCTTTTGGGAACCTTGTCCAGCCATACATGTGAACTGAAATTTGTAGCATATGTTGCGTCAGCTGAAGATGCAAGTAATCAACAAGTACTCTCATGTGCACCAAGCTGAACAAACCAGATCCTAAACACGCTAGCAAAAGGTAGTTTTTTTCTTCCTAAAGAGCACTTATGCCAGTTCTAGTAATAGTACATGTCACTCCTCATCCATATTTCTCAGAGGTGGCATTCTTCCTGGTCTACCTCCAACAGAAAATGATAAAAAGAAGAACATAGATTTTCTTAACTAAAAAAATGCAAATTACATACCATTATATATTTCTGCAGCAAGTCAGAAAAGGAGCAAAGCAATCAAAATCAACCAATAAATGGTACTACTAAACAAATCAAAGCCAGGGATTATATATGTCGTTGTTCATGTACTGATATCCAACAAAAACAATGTTTGCAAGCATGTAAATGAAATTGATATAAAGAAACAGTAATTGTAGCCCTTTCCTCTCAGGTAGGACGCAAGATATAGAAGAAGGCAGTCTTACCTTTGCACACAGAACAGAAGTTCTACGAGCTGATGGTGATGCAGATCAGAGAAAAGCCCTGAAACTACTGGTAGATGTATATATACACAGAAACCAGCACAAGTGACAGATGCAGTCAACGTGAACAATCATGAAGAATCTTTCAAAGAGATAGTGAAGGATGAACCAATTGAAGGTGTATAGTCAATAGCCATATATGTGTAGTAAAAGAGAATCCCATGGAAAGACAGTTCATATATAGGCACTGGCACTATACTATATGAGATCAGCATAGCCTTTTCACTCAAAGTTGGCAGGGAATCTCATGATTTCCCCTCGTTCGTAGTAACAAGCAAGACAAAGATAGAACATGTATAATGTAGCAAGGAAAAAATATTCTCCAGTACTACTGCTTTATAAAGATTACTATATGAGATGAAGTGCTGCACCTTGTAATTAACCCAGGTTAATTAGCAGAGTTTTATATACCTGCATCAGGAATTCAGGAATCCGGATATATCGCTGCTTCAGACTTGTAGTGCGTAGTGCTATAAGCATCTGTATCCACTATATATGCAGAGACCCAAAAGGAGGCCGGTGAGCCGGTCTAAAAGTCATCAGGGATTTCCATAGCCATGGATGAATGGATTAAAAATCCAAGATGAATAGATGATTAATGATGAGAGTTGTGCCCAGCATTTGCCAGATTTGAGCAAGTTTTACTACTAGTAAAGACCACCGTAAGCTACAAAAATCCAAGACGATCAATGCATTAATACAGGACTAACAGCAAAGTAATACTGCCCTCAAAACAAGAACAGCAAAGCAATTCAAGATGATTAATAATGAGATATTCAGAATCATGCCGATTCCGGATCACATGCACATTAGAGCAATATATTTAATAGTAAAGATCACCGTTAGCTGCAAGAATACAGCGAATCAATAAGAAAAGCTTGCTGCTCTGCTACTACAATATATAAAAGCTTAGAAGAATATAGCGAATCCCAAGGTCTCCGTAACCGCGGGCTGGCGCGAGAGGCTGCTCCGTTCGTTGCTGAGGATCTGTGCTGCGAACCCGGCCGCGCGGGCGAGCGAGCTCGTTCAGGCCGGTCTCAGCTCCCTCCTGCGCCGCCAAGCAGCTCCGGCCGCCGCCGACGGCCTCCCCCGCTCGTTGCCTTCCGCGGCGGCGCCATCGCCGGCCTGGAGAGTGACAATAGGAAGGGAAAAAAAAAGAGGTTAGGAGAAATGGGAAGACGGGGGAGTAAGTTGGGCCTTGGGCCATAGGTGCGGGTGAACTAATTCTAATGGGTTAGGTGACTAACTTAAGCCCATAGTGGTGGCAGCGGCGGCTCAGGGCCCATGCCCAATGTGAGCACACTTTGCACAAAAGAAAAAGGAAAGACTTAAATAAGTCGAATCTTCTCCCTCATTTCATGTTAGAAGACGTTTTAACTTTGGTCAAATCAAACTGTTTTAAGTTTGACTAAGTTTATAGATAAATACTGTAATATTTATAATACTAAATTAGTTTAATCAAATCAATAATTGAATATATTTTTATAATAAATTTGACTTGGATTAAAAATGTTACTACTTTTTTTCTACAAACTTAGTCAAACTTAAAGTAATTTGACTTTGACTAAAGTCAAAACGTCTTATAACCTAAAACAAAGGGAGTAATTTGTATCCTTCAACCATAAAACCAGGTCCATTGACTCCTCCAGCTATTAAAATAGTGTAAAACTACTACCTCTGTTGATTTGAGAGTGGTTTTCGCTGACGTGGCATCCACGTGGCCGACCAGTCATCAAAGGAATTAAAATATAAATGTGGGGCCCACATGTCATCATGCAATATCTCTCTCCTTCTTAGCGGCAGCAGAGGGCGTTGGTGGGTGGAGAAGCCCAAGGAAGCTAGGCGGTAGCGGCTTATCCCTGGCAGCACGTCGCTCCGACTCCAACAACATGCTGCAACTCCACCTGACCACCTGCTTCAGCCACCACGCCGTCTGCTTCCGGTGCGTGCCTAGGCTTTGTGCCCCTCCGGGATCCGGCATCCCCTCCGTCACCCGTGTGAATCTAGCCCCCTCTCCCTCCTCCACATGCGCGGATCTGCTGATGGCGGTAATGGGAGAGGCAGATTCGACGCCTTCCCCCCCTCCCACGCGGAACCAGCCGTCGCTCCGGCCCCCACGCGAGTGGATCCACCAACGACGGCGATAGGAGGGGTGGATCTCATGCCGCCTCTCCATCCTCCACACGCGCGGATCTGCCAATGGCGGTAACGGGAGGGGCAGATCCGACGCCCTCCCCCCGTCCCGCGCGGATACCACCGCCTCTCCGTCCCCTTCGCATGATGATCAGCTAGCGGCTTCGAGCAACGACGATGGCAACTTTTGGATCTAGGGTTAGGGTTTTTATTTTTCGGAATTTATTTTATTATTGTCAATTTCGTAGCCCGATGGCTTAAGCGCTCGCATGCGGTTGCTCTACCCACATATAAAAATACAATTTTTGTAGACACCTGGGTACAGGCGGGCCACCCACCTACCTGCAAAAATCGTTTTTGACTTTGAAAAATCTTTTCTGTGGTAGTGCGTGTGACATCCCGGTCCAGGGCTTAATAGGATTAATAGGATACTCATATCAACAAGTTGCAACTTCTTTTCTGGAAACCGATCTCGAAAGAACTTTGAGTTGCAACTTATTTTCCGGAAGCCGATCTCGAAAGAACTCTGAGGTTAAGCATGCTTGGCCTAGAGCAATTTAGGATTGGGTGATCGATCGGGAAATTCTTCCCGAGTGCGCACGAGTGAAGACAAAGTGTGCAAAAAAGACTTGTGTTGGCCTGTGAGGGCAGTCTATAACCTATAAAAGCTGCCAGATGTAAGTGGGCCTGGCCTGGGAGAGGCGGGTCGTTACAAATTGGTATCAGAGCCGACTCTCGCGGTTTCACGGGCGCGTCTGTCGCAGTTGTGTAGGCATGGTGCGCAAGCTGCCAGATGTAAGTGGGCCCGGCCTGGGAGAGGCGGGTCGTTACAAATTGACAAAGCCGACTCTCGCGGTTTCACGGACGCGCGTGTCGCAGTTGTGCAGGCATGGTGCGCATGGCTGGTGTGGACCCGGAGTGGTCACACAACATGGCACATGCGCTGGCACTGGACACACGGACATGGTCAAAAGGGGACGTTCCTGGCCTAGGGTCAGCATGGCACATGCGCTGGTACTGGACACACAGACGTGGCCAAGAGGGGACGTTCCTGGCCTAGGGTTGACCGATGAGGACATCGGTGTCTTAAGGGGGTGAGTATGTGACATCTCGATACAGGGCTCAATAAGATTAATAGAATACTCATATCAACAAGTTGTAACTTCTTTTCCGGACGAAAGAACTCTGAGGTTAAGCGTGCTTGGCCTGGTGCAATTTAGGGATGGGTGACCGACCGGAAAATTCTTCCCGAGTGTACACGAGTGCCGACCGGAAAATTCTTCCCGAGTGTACACGAGTGAGGACAAAGTGTGTAGAAAATACTTGTTGGCCAGATGTAAGTGGACCCGGCCTAGGAGGGTCCACCTGGGAGAGGCGAGTTGTTACAGTGCGGCCACGGGAGCACCGGATCTAGCCGCAACTCTGCTGGATCCCCTAGCCTAGCCACTCCACTAGGCGTGCACCATCACGACCATCAACTCGATGTCGTCTTTCACTGCACACGGCCCCGTCTCTCTCGCGTCGTAGATGGCTAGCTCGTCGCCACGATTTGGCCTCGCTGCCATCGTCCTGGCTCATCGCACGGTTCTCTGGCGCGCGGTGAGGCAAAAAATACAAAGGAAGAAAGGGTAGCGGCAGCTAGGGTTCGCCCGCTAGCCGCCCACGCGAGGATGACATGGTGATGTTTACTTTTTATGACATTGTAGGGTTATAGAAATCGAATTTACCATCTGCAAAAATGATTTTTGCATATTAGATTGACAACACGCAACAGTCTATCAAAACTTTGCTGAAAGTTAAACAGACAGTGTTTGAAGAGAAGTATCTGGGCCTCCCAACACCTTCGGGCAGAATAAAATCTGGGAAGTTTCAGTCGTTAAAAGAAAAGTTTGAGAAAAGACTATCCGACTGGTGTGAGAAAAATCTTTCAATGGGAAGGAAGGAAGTCCTTATCAAATCAGTCCTGCAGGCTCTGCCGATGTACATGATGAGCGTTTCCAAAATTCCTGTTAGCCTTTGTGAGGAATATATGCAGCTGATTAGAAAATTTTGGTGGGGGGAAGATCGTCATAAGCGGAAGGTCCATTGGATCTCGTGGCATCAGCTTGTTAAGCCAAAGAGTCAGGGAGGAATTAGTTTCAGATATCTGAAGCTCTTTAATCAAGCTCTCCTAGCCCGGCAGGCCTGGCGCCTCATTCAATACCCGGATAGTCTATGTGCTAAGGTTCTTAAAGCAAAGTATTATCCAAATGGTGAGTTATTAGATACACCATGTTATAAAAGTTAGTCGATATAGCGGAAAGACGACTAACCCTCCCGATCGCTTCAGTCATTGATCACCCAAGACATGCCAGATGACGACACAGGAACACACGATATTTGTTAACGAGGTTCAGCCGAAGCCTACATCCCCGGGGCTCTGATTATGGGCGCTCCTCCCCAACCAATATAGCTCCTAGCCGCTACGAGTCCATGGCCACGCCGCCATCCTCTCCCTGCGTGTGTATGCTACATTGTAGTCGTCATGGTTACATTGTGGTGTCCCCCTCTCTATTTAAGAGAGTTGCCGGGTTACAGAGTCCGACTCTAACTCCACCCCCTAACACCTATTACAACTCCAAGTCCAACTGTAACCAAATAGGACTAGTATATTCGACACCTATTCTAACAAACTCCACCTTGGCGAATATACGCCACCCAGAAGTAGTAGAATCACCATGCCGATCCATCTGTCCTCCAGACTTGGGTTGTTTCCTTTTGCAGCTTCACCACGAGCCGCCTGACGAGCCTGCGCCAGACCCGCCGCCTTGAAGAGACTCCGCTATCCCTGTAATTTCTTCCTCTTGAATCCACCTGCAACAGTGCTCCACCTTCTCACCTATCATCTCAGTCGTCTTGCCAAGCGAAAATGGATTTCTTCCTAGCTGTCACATCATAGACTCCCCGAAGACCATGTTCACCTCCATCTTCCATCTTAAATTTGACTTGATCTAATCCATGGCTAGATAACCTGCGTCATCACCAAATAGATAAATCAAACTCACCAGACTTGAAGAGAACCATTTCTTCCTTGTTGTCTTATGAACCGAGCTAATTAATCCAACATCCTCGCTTTCCCGCATCTGTAGACTGAACCTATGATACTTTGAGAAAGTTCACCGTTGCCTTGAATCCCTTGAAGAAATTAACATCATAGCGCTTGCTTTTCCTCTTCAGTGACGTAGATTTCCATATATCCCCATCATGCCGACCTGCATATCCTGGATATATCCTGTACTGCCAAACAGTTTCGTTGACCCCATCAACGATATTTGACCCGCTGTTGCCCGGGATCTTTTTTTTCCCTTCAGTTCTGGTCTAACTCCATATATCTCAACTCCTCGTCGAGTCCCATATATATCATGTCTGCCAGATAATTCCATATGCGACCTGACCGACCTGTCGCCGCCAGTCTATTCGCCATTGTCACTTGCAAACTATCCAGACCGTAGAACCTTTTTGCCCTTCTTCTGAATCCGCTCACAAGTTTCTGCAACGAACCACCGGTCCGTTGAACCCGGTCTAACCGTCCAAGCTCCGCAGTCTAACCAGTCCGTCGGTCTAACCACCCTGCCGCCCAGTTTAACCAGCCTCGATCCTCTCTGGACCGAATGCCACATGATGTACCATCTCCTAAGTCACCGTAGACCATACAAGTTCCGTCTTGGTTATCATGGCAGCACCACACCAATTGCCCCTGCGCCTGTGCATCTCTCTACTGAATCACCACCACCTTAATTATGCCAACCAATGCGTCCTAGACTCCTGGTATCCTTGCACGCTTTGATCTCCACGTTTAATTAGCACCACCACACAGCTAGCTTATTGGTCTTCCTGGCTCCCTGCCAAACGTAAACCAATGTTGCACAGTAGTATAATGCATGCACGTACTATGGCAGCCAACATATGCTTGCATACACATGTAACCCTATCATAATTAACGTGACCAGCAAAAGACTACTACTCTCTCCTTTTTTCTTGGTCCACCGCCTGACTTTGTGGAGGTTAACACCGGTCCATGCACTTCTTACACATGCCTGCCTTCCTACGAGCCAAAAACCAAACCCCGACTCGATCTCGGTCTCCGCTTCCTCCTGCTACAAGCCGCAGCCTACGCCTCCTCTGAGTCGTCGCCGCCGCCTGCATCAGACACCGAAGCCGAAACTGCCACCGCTTGGGTTAGAGAAACTTCTTCGCTAGAGTCCGTAGCTACTCCTCCACGATGGAGCCCACTGCCACCTCTCCCTGCTTAAGTCGACGTCTCCGCACCGTATCCATCTTGGTTCTGCTCTTGGAAACCACACCTATGTATGTGTAGGTGTGCACAAGTCATACCTCCATACACGACGTCCGTGCCCCTGCACGCACCGCAGTCGCAGCCCTCGTGTTCACCGTCCACGACCCCGTCGTCATCGGCCCTGCACGTCCGCCGCGCCGCGCCATGCTCGCTAGCTTCGTCCTTCCGTCAGTGGCCTCCCTGCTGCCGCGGATCCGCGTTCGCCACGTGCGTCGGGCGCGCCGTCTATGGCGCTACCCCTCCGATCTCTCCGAACACCTTCAGCCACGCCCGGCCTCGTCTTCCGGTCACGCTCTGCCATCGTCAGTCTGATCGCGAGTGAGGTCGTCGCCTCCACAACGTCCTCGTTGTCGCCATCGATCTCATTGCCACGACTGACGATCTCCTATCGATGCGCGATCCCACCTCGTGTTTCCTTCTCCACATGTCTTCTTGATCCAATGCTGAAACCTTCTGCTCTGATACCACTTGTTATAAAAGTTAGTCGATATAGCGGAAAGACGACTAACCCTCCCGATCGCTTCAGTCATTGATCACCCAAGTCATGCCAGATGACGACACAGGAACACACGATATTTGTTAACGAGGTTCAGCCGAAGCCTACATCCCCGGGGCTCTGATTATAGGCGCTCCTCCCCAACCAATATAGCTCCTAGCCGCTACGAGTCCATGGCCACGCCGCCATCCTCTCTCTGCGTGTGTATGCTACATTGTAGTCGTCATGGTTACATTGTGGTGTCCCCCTCTCTATTTAAGAGAGTTGCCGGGTTACAGAGTCCGACTCTAACTCCACCCCCTAACACCTATTACAACTCCAAGTCCAACTGTAACCAAATAGGACTAGTATATTCGACACCTATTCTAACAAATCATTCCCCAGTGAGTCTTCAGAGACTTGGAAAGGAATCAAGTACGACCTGGAATTACTGTAAAAAGGAATTATCTGGCGTATTGGTTCGGAGTCAAAAATCATAATTTGGAGAGACAATTGGATTCCAAGAGAACATAACTTGAAAGTTCTGGGCAAAAGAAGTAGAGCAAGACTTAAATGGGTTGCTGACCTAATGCTTCCAAATAAACAAGAGTGGGATGAAAGATTAATTCGGCAACTCTTCTATCCGGCTGATGCTGATATTATCCTGAACATTCAGCTTTCTCACAGAATGACTGAGGACTTCATCGCCTGGCACTACGACCGTGTGGGTATGTTTACTGTCCGGAGTGCATATAAGCTGGCCCTGGATATTCAGACTCGGTCCCAGGGAAATGTTGTCGGCTGCTCTTCTGCTGCTGATGGCAGGAAAGTGTGGTCTGACTTGTGGTCTACTCAGGTACCACAGAAAGTGAGAATATTTGCCTGGCGACTTGCTCAAGATTGCCTGGCAACACAATGTTGCAAGTACAAATGAGGTATTGTTACCAAACCAAACTGTGATATCTGTGGGGCCTATTCGGAAGATGAACATCATGCAACGGTGGACTGCACAAAGGCTAAAGCGTTGCGGTCTGAAATGCGGAAGATTTGGCAATTGCCACCAGAACAAGCCTTCGAGAAAACAGGTCCAGATTGGCTGCTAATGCTGCTGCAACAGGCGGACCCATCAATTCGTGCTGCCGCTCTCTTGCTGCTATGGCGCGCCTGGTTCTTGAGAAATGATATCATTCACGGCAACGGAAAGGCACAGACCTCTGCTTCTGTGATGTTCTTGCAACATTATGCAGAAACACTGTTCATGGTCCGACAAAAAGAAGTGGATTTGAAAGGAAAGGGTATATGTCAACCTAACATGCATGTCCGCCCGTCTGTTCCTGACTCGAGGACTGTTTGGAAGCCACCTCCTCCTGGTTGGGTTAAGCTTAATGTGGATGGAGCCTTTTCGGCATAACAGGGCATAGGCGCCATTGGCATCATCATCAGGAACTCAGAGGGGAAGGCAATTCTCTCTTCCTGGAGGTTTGTCAGACGCTGTGCTGAGGCTGAGGAAGTCGAACTGTTGGCCTGCTGTGAAGGACTAAAACTTGCAGCGGAATGGGTACCTTTGCCAGTTGAGCTAGAATCAGATTGCACTACGGTGATCACAAGACTCAAATCCAAAGGGGAAGACAGATCAAGATGGGCCTTCTTGTGGCGTGAGACGAAGGACGTTATGTCTTTAGTTAAGGAAGTGCGATTGTCGCATTGTAAACGAGAGTGTAATAGGGTAGCTCATGAACTTGCCCAGCTTGCAAAGCGGTCAGGGTAGAGCGTGGTTTGGCGTGAGACTGCTCCGGCTTGTATTTTGCAATATCAGAGGCATGATTGTAACCCTGCTCCCTAATCAATAAAGCTCTCGTTTCCCGCAAAAAATAATAATTTTTATTTTGGGTTTTATCGCTGTGCCACCATGAATCCATGATACTTCATTCCTTCCTTTCCGTGTTCCCTCATCTACCGTTGTAAGTTGTGGCTACGGAAAAACTTATCAGTTTCGAACTAGTAAAAATCAAAAGCGTCTTTCTTGCCGCCGCAAGGGGAAAAAAAGAAAACAGTTTTTACTTCTTGTGTCTGCTAGTCTGTACAGTGTGTGGGCTTAATCAACCGGTCCGTCATCCTATCTTGAGCCACTCACTACTAAAGAAGGCAAACAGGTGTCACCATTATAGGTGCCGGTGACACCTATTATAGGTGCCGGCATACTAAAAACCGGCACCTATAATGCCTTCCCCGCCCATGCACCCACCTCCACACGTCACATATTCAAAAATCAACACCTTTATGTCTAAATAGGTGCCGGTTTTTAAATAAAACCGGTACCTAAAACCTGTGTCAGAGAAAGGTGCCAGTTCTAGACCCAAAACCGGCACCTTTAATCTTCTCCCTACCACACTAGCCGTTGGTGGGCCCTGCACATAGGTGCCGGTTTTTAAAAACCGACACCTATAATAAATTGAAGGTGCCGGTTTTTTAAAAAAACCGACACCTTTACAGATCGAGCCGAGCCGGCTGAGCCGACCAGCGGGCCCCACAACCATCAGATAAGGTCATCTCGCTCATGCTCTCCTCTCTCGTATCGCTCTCTTCTCTCTTGCCTCGCTCTCTACTCTCTCTCCCTCCTCTCCCGCGTGCTACCGCGGAGGCGGAGGCGGCGACTCGGCAGCTGGAGGGGAGCCCTCCCCTCCGCCAGATCTGGCGGGAGGGGAGGCGGCGGCGGCAAGAGGGGGAGGCGGCGGCGGGAGGTGGCGGCAGCAGCGGGCGGTGGCGGCAGGAGAGGCGGCAGCGGCGGGTGGCACCCTCCCCTCGGCCAGGTCTGGCGGGAGGGGAGGTGGCGTCGCCGCGTCGGCGGCCCCACGAAGGAAGGGTCGGCGGCGGCGGTCCGACGGCCCGGTGGCGGCACCCTCCGCTCTGCCAAATCTGGCGGGAGGGGAGGTGACGGCAGCGGCTCGGCGGCGGGAGGTGGCGACGGCGGCTTCATCAGCAGCGGTAGTGGCGGCGCCCTCGTCCTCTCCATCCGGATCCTCCTCCTCCTCCTTCCTCTCCTCTCCAATTTATTCGTGATGAATGTGTTTGATTCTTGATGAATGTGTGTTCTTGATGAATGTGATGTTGATGTGTTTGATTCATGAATTTAAAGCAATTTTGGGATTTGGGTGTAGATGGGATCGGCTTCTGCATTGAGCCGATTTTTTTGGCTCATGAGCACCTCAAAGGTGCCGGTTTCAAAACCGGCAAACAATGTCGGTTGGGTTAACAGTACCGCCTCCTAGGTGCCGGTTGGGAAAACCGGTACCGAAGGAGTTCCCAACCGGCACTGTTTAGAGATTCTGTAGTAGTGACTCCATATACATACGTTGGCGGGGCAGTGGACACCGATGGTAATTAATTAATATACTACTGATAGTAACTTAATTTATCTGTATGCATGCATCCATCGATCTTAACCCCCACTTAGTCACGATATGCTTCCCACCACGATCGAATTAACCTTTAAATGAGGAATCAATTAACTAATGGCGCCCAAGTTAATTAATTAACAGATCGAAACCTGAAACTGCACGTATTCCATCGGCTAGATCCGCAGCACACTACTAAATTAACCCATGTAGCTAGAATTGTAAAATCTAAACATATAGCCACCGCGGTTTTAGTATCGAAAAGCAAAAGATAATTAGTTAACCACTATCTATCGCATGGACGCATGGTCAGTGCTAGCCAGGCAGCAGATCAGTACGCACGCACACTGCAGTTAGTGCAGTCGGAGCTAGCAGCGACCGAGATCGGTCAATCGATTCGCTGGTGCGTTTGCACTTAAAGGCCCTATTTAGTTCGCAAGACGAAAAATTTTGGTGTGTCACATTGAATATATAAAGATAGATTTAAATTATTAAATATAGACTAATAACAAAATAAATTACAGATACCGTCAGCAAACTGTGAGATGAATTTATTAAGCCTAATTAATCTGTCATTAGTAAATATTCACTGTAGCACCACATTGTCAAATTATGAAGCAATTAGGTTTCATCTTGCAATTTACACGTAATCTACATAATTAGTATTTTTTTATATTTAATACTCCATATATGTATCCAAACATTTAATATAAAAGGATGAAAAGTTTTGTTTGGAAACTAAAACATAGCATAAGCTATATATAAAAGGGAGCTCACTTGTGCGTGCCGTGAACGTGACACCACAAGCCGGAAAAACCAAACTTCCTCCTCCAGCTACGTACTTAGTATACTACACCACAGCTGAAATGGCTGCATCAGTGATGATCACCAGGTGGCACCCGGTGCTCGCGCTGGCCGTCCTCCTCGCCGCCGCCGCCGCCTCGCCACCCAAGACGACGGTCTCCGGCTACCGTCCCGATCACCATGACGACGACCACCACCACCACCGCCACCACCACGGCGGCCACGACGCCGCCTTGTCGGTCACCACCGATCACCGCCACCACCATCATGGCGGTGAAGCCGCCTCGTCGGTGATCACCAATCACGACCACGGCCATCACCATGGCGGTGGCGGCCACGGCGGTGACGGCGCCGCCGCCTCGTCGGTAACCGATCACCACGACCACGGCCACGGTCACCATGGCGGCGGCCACGGCGGGCGCCGCGCGTTGTTGGCATCCACCAACGACGACACGTCGTCCGGCTGTTGCCCCGGCGGCGGCCACCACCACGGCCACGGTGGCGGCGGCGGCCATATGGGCCCGCGTGGAGACTCACATATGCCTCCCTATAAGATCGTAACGTAATTAAACAATATACTACTGATCCGTACATATATGCCTGCAGGTATCTGTGAACTCTTCCAGCGCTGTACGTATAGTATGAATTATGTTTATTATACGTGCGTACGTCGCCATGTGATGTGATCGCAGCTTAATTTGTGTACGTGTGTTGTGAGAAGTAGGTAATTAAGTGTGTTTTCTAAGTGTGTGCCCGAGAGTGTATCGATCAGTGGTGCTTCATATACTCATTTCGTCCTACTTCTACAAATCTGAAATGGGTCAGTATGACCGGCCTACTAGCCTGTATTGATTTTTCTTTGTGCTTTATGTGTGTATATATGTATAGTACTGCAGGCATATGTGGCTTGTTTGTTTTTTTTATGAATTAATAAAGCATAGTGTTGACATTTATGAGTATATGTACTTTTAACATTTACTCCCTCTTTAAGCACTTCTAAAATTTGGCCAAGAATATAAGCATTTTACCATTATTATAATGAGAGAATCCATTGTGTGCTACTGAGTTTGTCCATGTTCTACAATATGTTACTGTATTTGCTTAACTTCTATAATATACCATCGCCGTCTAGTTAGCCTCCGTAAATACTATACAATTTTGTCCTAATGGCCAAAATACTCCTTGGACGAAAACTTCAAATTTTGGTCAAAAATTCTAATATATCAGATTGTAAAACTTCCAAAGTTTGAGATGGGTAACTTCTATGCTAGTTTACAACATGATATTTCGGAATTTTCAGCCAAATTTTGAAAATTTTTGTCCCAAGGGTATTTTGGTCATTAGAATTGAATTGCACAGTAATAATGGAGGCTAACTAGAATGCGATGGTATATTATAAAAGTTAAACAAAATGTGATGACATATTGTAGAACTTGAGAAACTCAGTGGCATATTTTAGAACGAGGATAAAGTAAGTGGCACATAATATATTCTCTCTATTATCATCCCTCGTTTATTTTATACACATGCTTTACCAGTAACATATCCTAAGTACACAAGCTTTCCGTGCACACCAACTAGCAAATGACAAAAAAAAATTGTACAAAACTGAGAGCACGAGAGAAGGCATTCGCCAGTCGGCATAATGCACAGCGACAGGACGTGGCCGCGATGCCAATTGCGCAAACCATGCTTTGATGTTTCTAAGGTCACACTGTACAGGCGCCAAACCTGTCCAAACCCTGCATTCGAGGATTTGCAGTAGCACCGCCAGAAAAAGCTCTTCGTCCATAGGTGTTGAGCATGACAAACTAAAGCCATCCGTCATGCCATAATTAGCATAAGAGCTCAAATTCGTAATTGACGACGGCGATGATGCAGAGGGGGGCATTTTGTGGGAGACATCGATGATCCAACGGTGTAAATTCATCTATTTTTCCTCCTAACTATCCTGCAGTATAAATTGAATTGGGTAAATTTGTCTTTTTATCTTTTTGCGTGGGGGTATTTTTGTAAATTCATGCTATCTCACTTAGTCAGATCCGTTTGCCCGGCACCAGTCGAAAGCGAAGCCGCTCGGCTTGCAATTGCCGCCGCTGGTTTCTTTCGACGCCGCCCCCGCCGCCGTCAGCCACAATCGGCGCCGCCGCCATCGGAAATCGATTCGATTTCCCTCATTTCCTCTCGTGTCTTTCCGTCCACCCAAAACCCCATTTTTTTCCCAAAAATTCCCCAAATCGGCGCCGGATGCTGGTTCTACGGGAGGGCGCCGGCCGGCGGACCAGGCAAAGGTGCAGAAGGGCGTCGGGGCGGGAGCGAGATGGGCCCAGCCTCCGTCGCCGGTGTCGCCAGATGTAACGAGAGGAAACGGATGACGAATTGACGATATCCAGGGAAAAAATCCACGGGAAAGTTAATCCCTATTTGTGATAAAAAAAACAAAAACAATCTCTATTTTAAATGACTAAACAACCCTTTTCAGAATTTTAACAAATACCAAATCTACCCTATTATGTACTGCTAGTATATACTAGCAGTAGAATGTGCCGTAAAAGTTCTAATAATATAAGGGATTTTGATGAGATGTGACACACCCTAGTACTACAAATCTGGAGATGTGTCCCATCCCACCAAAATCCCTTATATTATGGGACGGAGGGAATATAGCAGAAGGAGAAGGAGCTTTTGCCAATCTCTCTGATCTGCACCACGTACCACCAGGCTGGCTAACTAACTCTGCTGACTGAAGATGGTATGAACAGTCATGGTGAGTTTGCTCTCGTGTTTCTTGAGCTCCAACAGGCAGATATCCCCGACGCAGAGGCGGTTGTCACGCACGAACCTGCTCCAGCCATTGATCAGGAACCGCCTGGTGGTGCATCTGCCGCTCTTGGTCTGCATCACGGTGTCCCATCGCTGCCCCCCGCTGGAGCACCACGGCTTGCCTCCTGTCTGGAAGATGCACAGCAGCTGCATATCTTGCACCTAATTCCTGTTTTTCACATGGAAAAACCATGGGTGTTACAAGCTTAGTTACAATGATAAGTGTGCCAATTATCCGATGTACTATGTAACTACTAGAAACTAAATTTCAAGCCAAATAGTTGAAAAATTCAGAGAGGGAAAGAGCTTACTAGCTGGCAAGGGGAACTAGTTAACCCAATATTGCTCTTGTTCATGATTGCTACATAAATGGGAACTTCGGATTGGATGGATCGTACTTTCTCTTTGATTATCTTCTTTTGCAATGAAGATAGACGACTCTTGCTCTTCCATGATAGAATGTAGGGAGGGCCAGCAGGGCCTTCAGAATCCTCACTCTCCTGAGATTCATCAGAAACTCCATTCCTGTTGCTTTTCAGGGAAACATTTTCTGCTACAACAAATTTACATGATTACATAACTGTACAATAAAAATTGAGGTTCGATTTCTTTTGTAAACAGTTTCACAAGAAACTAAAGGTATACCAGTCTAAAATTTGAGGCATATCTGCAAATCATTTACCTGATTCCTCAGATGATGAGGACACTGCTGTCAAGCTTGCAGAGTGTTTCTACGATCATTGGACGTATCCCTTTGACATCTAGCAAATCTTTCACTCCGTGATGGTTGCGCGGTATCATCACTAGATCTGCCTGAAGTATCAACAGGATCTACAGTTTTGTCATGAACACAAGAACTGGTTTTTATGCCAGCACAGGAGAATACTCTCTCACAGCCATCAGAATCTAGGATCATAACCTCAAAACAGGAATTCTCAATGTGTCGGAACAACAAAGAGTCACCCACTTTTATGTGATGGGCATCAACAAATGCCTCCCAACCACATTGTAGGACCGTCTTATTCATGCACTCAGTGACTTCAACAACATACAGAATACCATTAGGAGATTCCAATTTTATGGTTCCTGGGATCTTTCCTCCAAAATGGTTCACAAACCTATCTGGAATTATCTGTAGCAATAATATTGAAAAGCATTGATATAGACTTCTCCAAACAACAAGGGCAACATTAAACACGATATAGTGTAAAAGGTATGAATTTCAGGAAGGAAACGCTTACACAACCAGTACATCTTTTAATTAAGAGGGGTATAAATTATATTTTAAAGAATCACCCTTGCCATCTAGGATATTTATTTTAACCATCAATACTAGTCTAATTTGTTAGATAAAGATAGGTACAATTATGTTATCAAAATGCTTGTGCAAAAATCTATCCGTGCCTTCTGTCCTGTTCTATTCACATACTTCCCCTTATTGGTAAGAAAAGGGTTAGCATTTTATTACTTGAGGTTTGCAATAACTTTAACAGCTCAAATCAAGTATACCAAACATTAATATATTAGTATTGAGTTCAAACCATCCTATGTGAACAACCATGATATATTTAGGATCAGATGAAAACTTCTCAATAGGAGCTCAATCCAACCAATCGTTCTTTATGGATATCTCAGTAATATTCATGGACGTATTACCAGATGAGATATACATCTAGGAGAAAAAGACACTGAATCTGTGAGGATCTTACCATGCTATGCATAGAATCAGTAGTCATTCTAATGAGGAAGCAACTCATTTTTCCACCCAAATGTTCCAGGTATCTCTTGCAACAAGCACAAGACTTCTTCATACGAGAACCACCTCCAGCCATGTGAACTATAAAATTGCAGCTTCAAGTCAGATTCGTATTCAGTAGAAACACAAGACTCCCCATGAAACACAATATTAAAACAGCAGGAAATAGGTAGTTTCCTCCTTAAAACATGTACTACTTGAACGATCTTTTTTTCCCAATCTTCAGATTACTGCATGGAGCAATATGGAAACTAAACAATCAATGCATGCTACATCCTGCACTGATTTTCTTTTAAACAAGATGTACTTATAAATTTCCAGAGACAGCATGATGTCATGATTTTCCAGTTACTAGCAGGCAGGATGATCATCTTAGCAAGTCCAAGCACAGGACAAGCAGGAACACCCTAATCAGGAATATAAGTTCCCCATTACAGTACCAGAGCATAATTTTTGAGTGAGAAAATGAAAGAGAGAGAGAGAGAGAGAGAGAGAGAGAAGATAAGAAAACTCTCGCACGAAGGATGGGAAGGGAAACAAGAACTTTTTTGACATAAAGGGAAACAAGAACTCGATGAAGGAAACTTACTGCGATGTCGAGATGGGCGATGAGTTCTTGGATGAAGCTTGCAAGCATCTCACGATGTACTACTCGATCGGCCTACTCCGTATTTATGGAAGAAGAGTGAGAGAGTAAAGAGAAAGGGCAGGAGGCAAGCAGTAGGGCTGTCAAAAAAGCTCGAGGCTCGTGAGCAGCTCGAGCTTGGCTCGTCCTAGGCTCGATTCGAGCTCGGCTCGAGCTTCAAACGAGCCGAACCCGAGCCTGAGCAAAAGCTCACGAGCTTTACCGAGCCGAGCTCGAGCTTTTGCCGAGCCTGGCCGAGCTTGACTATTTATAGTTCATATTGCATGTTCACCTTATTAATATAATAAACTAATAGGTAAATATATATATTAGTATCTATTTACACAATAAATTAGCATGTGTTAGCACAATATATTTATTTTAATCATTTTCTACTCTTTTATTAGTGTGATTAACTAGAAAATAATTATACTTATCAAAAGATTATCATTAAAATATATATTATACTACTTATGACCGAGCTCGGTAGCCGAGCTCGAGCTCGAACGAGCTCGAACCGAGCTTGCCTAAAAGCTCGAAGGTAGAATAGGCTCGGCTCGAGCTCAGCTCGAGCTTGTGTCGAGCTCGAGCTTGGGCAGACGAGCTTGCTCGAGCTCGGCTCATTGACAGCCCTAGCAAGCAGTCAGAAACGTTTCAACTTTAACTTCTAGTCCATAAATGGAGGAAGACTTTCTTCTTTTCCGCACCTACGTTTCTGAACCGCTAAAGTTGATCTACTGAAAGGTGGATAAAATTTTGGATTAAAGTGGCACGCTTTTCAAATTGTTAAACGATGCGTTTCGTGTGAAAACTTTCTATATGAAAGTTGTTCTAAAATATCAGATTAATCCATTTTTCAAGTTTGTAATAATTAAAACTTAATTAATCACATGTTATTACCATCTCATTTTGCGTGAAACATTTAATTTTTATTTTCATCTTTATTTTCATCTTCAAGAGATTCAAACACCACCTAAGAGCAAGTTTAATAGTATAGCCAACTAATAGCTCCAATTCATCTATAGCCAATCTAATAACTTATTCATACAATAGTTGCATACTACACTATTAATACCTGGTCCCACCTGTCATACACACACTGTGTTTGGAGTCCATGCTATAGCTAGCTACAAATCTGTAACTCGCTGCTCTTCTCTCTCCTCATTTATCTTCTTAAAATATATTTGTAGGTGGCTTATAGCATGCAATTGTACCTGCTCTAAATAGGCACTCCCACCTTCTCAAGATATAAGCATTTTTAGAATAGTGCAAGTCAAATATTTTTAACTTTAACTATTAATAGCACAAAAATAAAAAAATATCAATCATTTAAAATTAATATTACTAGATTTATCATTAAAAAAACTATCATAATATACAACTCTTTTTATTTAAAACATCTTATTTTGATATATATTCTTAGTTAAAGTAGTATCTCAAAGACTGTGTCGAAATCTAAAAATACTTATAATTTGGGACGGCGGGAGTAGTTTATTAAAAAAATTGTAGAAAAACTTTTTTTTAGAAACATAGTTCAATCACAGGTGCTCACAACGCACGCTTACCACTGAAGGTATATCTTAAAATTGATGAAATCATCATGGGTGTCAAGTCCAGAACTTGAACCCGGGTGGGTTGGTTCCACACAAGAACCTAACCAATTAAGCTACGCTAACTTCGCTGTAGAAAAAACTATTTAAAACATCATATTAATTGAAGTTTTAAATTTGAAATAATTAATACTCAATTAATTATACACTAATAACTCATCTTGTTTTACGTATCTTAATCTTTTTATTTCTTCTTAGCATTGTGAAAGTAAAAAAAAAGAGTAATTAATTATTTTTTGTTTTTGAGAAGATTTTTACTTACTCCTAGGATCCCATCCTAGAGTAATTAATCTCTAGAGATTAGCGCTATCCCTTTTGTTTAGCACTAACTAGATTGTTTTAGATAGAATGATAAATAAATAGTTGAGTTGAAAATTTTAAATATGAATTGGAAGGCTTGAAAATTAAGTTGAATATATGAGAAAATTTTAGATTAGATTTGAAAGTTTCATAATTGAGTTTAAAAATATTTTCAAATCTAGAGTTAGAAAGTTTTTAAATTTAAGTTGAAAGTTTTCAAATCTTGGCTTGAAAGTTTTCAAATATAAGTTGAAAATTTTCAAATCTTGCATTGAAAGTTTTTGAATTGAGTCGAAAGTTTTCTAATCTTGCGTTGAAAGTTTTCGAAACTTGAGTCGAAAGATTTCAAATCTGAGTTGAATGTTTTGAAACCACTTTTCACCTATTCTTTCAGTGTCCTTTTAGTGCTGATTGCTGGGCTCAAATTGGAATTGTGTGGGATATTTCTCTTGCCTTCGAAGATATGCTGCATCAGGCAGTGAATTCTTATAGGTCTACACACTTTGTCGAGAAAATCATTTATGCAGCCTGGAACATTTGCAAACATAGGAACTCCCTAATTTTTGAGAATTTACCACCCTCAATTTCTTCATGGAAAGCCCTCTTTAAGAGTGATCTTTCCCTTTTAGTTTTTAGATTAAATGTTTCTGAGAGACAGTCCCTTTTGAATTGGTTAAATCTCTTGTAATTTCTATTCATTAATAAAGTTTTTTACTGTGGGGGCTTCCCCTACAGTGCTTTCCCTCAAAAAAAATGTTTTGAAATCTCGAGTTGAAAATTTTCAAATCCGAGTTGAAAGTTTTTAAATTTTGTCTTACGGATTTAAATTTTGAGATGAAAATTTTTGAAGTTTGAGTTAAAAGTTTTCAAATTTTGACCTCAAAGTATAAATATTAAGTCGAAAGTTTCCAAATCTAACTTAAAAGTTTTCAATCTGTTTTAAATCTTAATTCTGTCATTATCCTTAACTAACCGAATTAGTTACGTTAACTCACTGGAAAAAAGTTGGGGAAAAAAGAATCCCACGAAAAAAGTCACGGAAAAACAAGGAATCCCACGAAAAAGTCACGGAAAAAAAAGAATACACGTCGCGTGCGTGTTGCCGATGCGTACGCTAGATAGCTTTTCCGGAGAAAGGAAACGGTAATGTGCACACGCAAACACGCGTATACGATATTGGGAAGCGGATCATCTAATGCGAACTCCCCCTGACGTGGTCACTGATAGGTGGGCCCCGCGAGCGGTGGGGCCCACATGTCAGTCACCATGTTCCTCTGACTTCACGTCAGAGGATCCCAATCCACGATATTGGTATGATGTAGGTGTTGAAATCATGAAAACGGTCCGATAATAGCCTGAATTATTTTAGTAACCATTTTTTCCTGGAATCTAAAAGGTAAAGCGGGAAATAAAAATGGTATCAGAAATATAGAAAAATAGAAAATACTACTAGAACTATATGGATAGGAATATGTCGGTATCAATCTATAAATATTGAAAACATTGAACTGTTTATATCACATATTTTAAATGTCCAGATTCATAGTAAAAAATAACAATATCTTGGGACGTATGGAGTATCACCCCGTTGGGGTCAAACAGGGCCTCTAGACGAGAGCACGCAAGGGCACTCAGGCACACATGGTGAATCGAGTATATTTCTGCAAATGTTTTTGAAAACGGTACGTTCACGCAAAATGTGGCAAGAAACAGTGTATTTTCATTTCTTTTTCCATTTAACTCCATATAATTCCTTAATCACAGTGAGAATTTTCAAATGTAGTTATATTTTAGGATAGATGGAATACTTGCGTACAATTCCAGGTGTAGTACATAAATTCTTTTCCAATATATAAAAATGTAACATGACAAAAAAAAACTAGGGTTATTGATGTCATCAAGCAGAACTGAATTATGGGGCATGTTTGATTTACTACCAAATTTGGTAGAAACAAAAATTCCGGCTTTTTTACTTGACAAACAAATTCCCCAGTAGAACTAAATTTTATAGTTTGTTGGGTCAACTATGTGATAGGGTCTATTGCCTTTCCAACTTTTATTTGGTAAAGTTTATTTTTTCAATAACCCCCAAAAAAAATGCCCATAGACATTTAGCTGATAAAAAGATTTTACATTCATAGCTAAAAAGAATTGGCCTACTGTGATCAAGTCAGAAGAGATTTTGTATGTGATGATATTATAGTATGACATAATTGAGCGTCATGGATGCCACTAAACGTTTGTGGTGATATTTTTTTTCCCAGAAACATCGTATATGTTTGTGACGAATTTGTTGGGTTAACATTATATAAATATTTTTATATTTGCACAAATATTTTAAATAAGACAAATAGTCAAACGTTGGTCCAAAAGTTAATGGTGTCATACATTAAAATACGGATGGAGTAGTTTTGTGGTAAGCTGCCATATTAAGATGATGGATATCCATTTTCATCGTAATTAAGATTAACTAAAACATCTATTGTAGTTGTTTTTTTAACTGTTTACGTCACTACTACACATACGTACTATAAAAGTTCAGTAATGCTAGTTTTGACAAAAAGGAAATGATCATCACAAAATAATTTAAACAAGTACCATGAACATAAATTTGATTTAGTTTGCACATCCTCCAAAACAATATTTGCACATTATCAAATATAACCACATTTTGAACGATCCGTAGCCCGAGGAGAGGCACATCAAAACATGGTCCGAAGTAGAAAAACTGAAGACCACAAATTCTCAGGGCCTCACAAGGTGGATATAGTGCATCGGAAAGTTAACATCATTCACAAATACAAATAGGTTTCATCCTCCTACCCTTTCGGACTTCAGGTTGCAAAACAAGCAAATTGAAGAACAAATACAAACAGGTTTCATCCTCCTTTCGGAATTCTGATTACAAAACAAGAAAAAATAAGCTTCCAAAGTATCATCGATCAGACATTATGCATCATTCTACTCTACTTCAGGGTAACGCTGCAGATTGGAAATGATATGGACCTCCATGGTGAGCTTCTTCTTCTTCTTCAGTTCGAACAGACAGAAGTCCCCGACACGAAGGCGGTTGTCGTGAGCAAATTTGCGCCAACCTGCAGTAAGGAACCACCTCTTTCCCTTTGTATATCTACGACGCACCACCAAATTGATTTGCCAGATCATCCCCTTGCATTGGAGCACCAAAGTTTGATGATTTTTATCCGGAAGATATGAGGCAGCATATCGCGAACTTAGCTCCTGATATTACACAGATAGAATTGTAACAAGTTACAGTGACAGGTTTTACAATTTTCCTGTGTGGCATTTGCTCTTACCACTAGCTAGTGGATTCATGAGTTGCCAAAAGAACAGTGTATAAAATGAAATATTTTAAGTACTCCGTCCATTCCAAAATATAAGGCACAACCACCCTTAACCCAAAGACTAAGAAATAATTATTATGACTTCTTAGTTTGGATCACCCTAATAAATATAATGCATGCACCCAATAGAATTAGAAATCTTTAAGAGTGAAGAATTTTTTAAAAAATAATAATTTAGTGGAGAAGATGTAATACTCCCTTCGTCCCAATATGTAGCAACCTAAGATGGAATTAGACCCATCATAGGATTACGAATTTGGACATATGTCCTAGGTTGCTACATATTGGGACGGAGGGAGTAATTAATTGCATGTATGCATGCACGCCTTATATTATGAAACATCTGAAAAAGTAGTTATGTCTTATATTATGGAATTAAGGGGGTATTTAAAAACAAGATATTCGAAGATAACTATCCTTTTTAGTGGAAATGTTTAAAAATGCATTTCTAGAAAAAGTATGTTACGGCATTTTGGAGAAGTTTGATATATCATTCTATCTAATGGAATCACATGGATGCACACAACTATGATCACTTACTACAAGCTCTCCACACATGCTGCGGCAGTTGATAAAAAGCAAAATTTCAGTTCACACAATACCTAGTGCTTACAAAACCTGGCCTAAATACTGTTCTTTTTTTTACTTAAATGGCAACCCAATATTAGGGGGTATGCAAAAGGTTTGCATATAATTGCATTAAGACGAAGGAAAGGTTTACAAAAGCAACAAACCCGACCTATAGGCTCACCAACCGGATAAAATAGAGTGATTTTATGGTCCTTGAGGCGGTACCATATTTTTTTAGTGTAAAATTTGGTACCTCCGGTACTACTAGAAGGTACGAAAATTTGCTATTTTGGTACCTCTCAAGAACTAAAATTTCTCGATAAAAAAGTTTGCAGATTGATTGTCGCAGCAGATTTCATGACCTCTCAAGATTTCATGACCCTAAACCCTATTGAAACTAAGGATTCAGACCGCTCAAGATTTAAAAAGAAAAAGAAGGAATTGATCTTACTAGTCCGCGGAATTTCCCCTTGCCACCACTGCCAGCAAGTTTGCTTATGGTTGCTACACAAATGGGAATTTCAGATTGGATGGCTCGCACTTTCTCCTCAACTGTCTTCTTCTGCAATTGAGATAACCGGCGTCTCATTGATGAGATGTAGGGAGGTTCAGAAGGACCGTCAGAGTCTTCACTCTCCAGTGATTCGTGTGAAACTCCATGCTTGTTGCTCTCAGAGGAAACGTCCCCCCCTGCAAATTATTTTAGATCATAAGAAAAAAAAATAACCAAAATGCCTAAAATGTGTCAAATTAATGACAAATACATTTATATGATGCCATCACCTGGTGCCTCCTTAATATGGACTTGTGAAGCCATCTTTGAATTTCTTTTGTTTTGACTTGAGCCAATCTTGTGAACATCAGTCCCATCCCTGGAATGAGTCACTTCTGCTTGGAGCAAATGGACAGTAAACGCGAAGTTTCTTCCTCCTTTTGTTGGTACGAAGAGGCAGATGTCTTCTTCCTGCAGACAATTGTCATGGACAAAGTTTTGCCACTGTCCCCTAAGCATGTGATCACTCTTGTCTATTCTCTTGTAGAACCTGGGATACCACTTCTTTCTCTTGCTTGGCCTCTGAAGCGTGATAGTTGCGGTTTCACGTGGAAAGTGTACAGAAGCATAGCGGCTAGAAATAACCTGATTACAACAATATGGAAGGATGTGATGCTTTGAACAGGTTACAAAGAATACGAAAACTCAGGATGAACTATAAAAAAGCAAAAAAAAAATGTTTTTATGTAATTTTTCACATAGTTAAAAAAATTCCTATATAATATTTATTATTGAAACCACAACAATGAAAAGACATATTCTGATATTAACAACATACACATACAGATTCATCAAGCAAATATCAGATCATTTTGAAAGCAGTGAGTTACCCATTCGACGTAAAATAATAAAGTTACCAGATAAGGAGCTGGAGACTGAAGATTGCACTTCTTCATAACAGCCACAAACACAGTAATTTCAGGTTGAATATCCTGGATATGCGTGACCACTCTCTCCTTTTGTGCTTCAGATAAATAAGTCCTGCGTGATAGCACGTAATCAGACCCTGAAGGTGTCTGAGGTTCAACTGACTCATGAAATTCATATCCAGAAGGACTGTCTTCTCCTGTACAAAATTTCCCAAGAGGTTCAATCTCTTGTGTAAACTGCATGTACAGTAGTCCAAAATTTGAAGCACATTTCCAAATAATGTAAAAAATATTACCTGATTTCTCAGATGAAGAGCACATTGCTGTCAAATTTTCAGTGTTTCTACTCCGTGATGATTGCGTGGTATCATTACTAGAGCTACCTGAACTATCAACAGGATCTACAGTTTTGTCTTGAACACAAGAACCGTTTCTTATGCCAGCACAGGAGAATACTTTCTCACAGTCATCAGAATCTAGAATCAGAACCTCATAACGGGAATTCTCGATGTGTCGGAATAACAAAGATTCACCCTCTTTTATGTTATGAGCATCAACAAATGCCTCCCAACCGCATTGTAGGAGTGTCTTATTCATGCACTCAGTGACTTCAACAACATACAAAATACCATTAGGAGATTCCAATTTTATGGTTCCTGGGATCTTTCCTCCAAAATGGCTGACAAATCTATCTGGCATGATCTGTAGCAACAATGTTTGAAACAGTATTGATATGGACTTCTCTAAACAACAATAAGTGGCAACATAAAACTTGATATCATGTAAAAGGTATAAATTGCAGTGAGGAAATGCATTCCAAACAACTATGTGTAGTACAGCCAATGAAATATTCAGGAAGAGATGAAAACTTTGAAAGGGGAATTCCAATATATCATGACTAGATGAGACACTTTGGAGTAAAAAAAACACCAACTTGTGAGGAGCTTACCATGCTGTGCATAGAATCAGCAGCCATTCGCCTGAGGAAACATCTCATTTTTCCACCCAGATGCTCCAGGTATTCTTTGCAACAAGCACAAGACTTCTTCCTATGGGTATTACCTCCAGCCATGACAACTCAAATTTGCAGCTTAAATCAGATTCCTATTCAATAGAAAACCACAATCTTGAAACCACAGAATGTAGGTAAAGACGAAGCCTCTTGTTACTTGAGTAGTAACTTTTTTCCCCTCTTCAGATGCATGCTACTTCACTGATTTTCCTTTAAACAAGATGTACTAAATTTCCGGAGACAGCAATGCAATCTAAAGAACGTTAGTTCAAGAAATATTAGCAAGTCCAAGTCCAAGACAAGCTAGAACCTAAGAACATTTTATTTCAGGAATAGGTTCCGCATTACAATTTTTTTTTTAAAAAAAAAGGAAATCCCCATTACAGTACCAGAGTACTAATAGTATTATTGTGGAGTGAGAAATGAGAGATACTCTCACGCAAAGGATGGGAGGAAAAGAAACTTGAAGAAGAGAGTCACAGGTAGAAACATACTGGGTGGTCTGAAGTCCAGATGAGATGAAGCTCCCAAGCATATCGTAGTGTTTGTGTGAGAGAGAGAGACAGAGATAGACAGATAGTAGGAGTATGCTCATGGAGTCATCCAAGTATCCAACTGAGGAGAATACAGACGCTGAGAGCGCAGCAGGAGTCAGAACTCAGAAGCATTACGGCTCTTCAACTTCCTAAAAAAAAGCGTGTACTGTACATTCCAGATTCCAAAACAGGACCGGACAAGTTAGTCTATCAGTTGCCATATTTCTTATTAATAAGTAAAGCGGATTATTAGAAAATAAAAATTAATTTATAGGTAAAATTTTTATATATTTGTTCGTACCGACTTAAAAGTTAATGCTAAAAAATTATATTAGAAGTATCTTAAAATTAACATTCGAAAATTTAAATTTTAACTTTTATTTTAGTTTATTAGACCTACCAATGGTACTCACCGGGTGATTAATTACTCCCTCTTTTATGAGCTCAGCTTCAGCCTTTGTCTCTTCGATTATTATAGTTGTTGCCATAATTTAAACTATAAAACTTGATTTTTAACCATTTTTATGAAATTATGAAACAATATCTAAATCAACTGCAACATTTCATCTATTCATAGTGAAACATCATGACTACACCAGCTGAAATATTGTTGGTAGAATAAAAAATAAAACAGATTTTATTAATAGGGTGTTTCCGTACTATGTGGGGGATTTGTTACAACGAGGCGCGTGTGGGGGGCGCCTGATTTTTTTTCCGCAATATCCGGCACCCGATCCCGAGCATTTTTTGGGTTTTTATGGGTGGATATCCATCGCGAAAACAGTTGACAAATGTTGTGTTTTCTTTTTCGATAATGCATCCGACAAAATTGTTAGCCATACAAAATAGATACTACTACTAGCATCCACTGTTCCACTGCAACACGGTAGGATTGCTGGGTAGGGTGGTAACGGGGCCAGCTCGTTGGCTTACAAAATATAAGAGCTGAGTCTAAAAAGAGTTGAGCTAAAATTTAATACATTTTTAAGCTAAAAATATTTGAAGGTTGAGATGGGTTGCGAAAGGGGCCCTGACCTATTACCACCCCTATTGGCTATTGCTGGGTGCATCTACACACAGTGCCTTAGGGCAGTCCCAAATCCTCCACCTAGAATGGTGTCTATGGAATTAACTATATTGTTATGTAGGACTTTTAACTTATGTGGCACTATATTAATTAAGAGAGAGAGTGAAGAGAGGAAGAAACTGGGTCTCATGCAAGACACAGCTTCAACACGAGAACCTATGCACTATCAAGTTTTGTATTGGGAGAGAATAGTGTCTTCGTAGAGAAGAGAAGTGATGTATTTATTCATGGCTCACTTTAAGAAACCATGGGTTGTAGAGTGTAGTTTCTATTGTGATGTCTTATAGACATGGCACCATAGACACTGCTTATAGACACTATGGATTGGGACTACCCTTAGAGCAGGTTTAATAGAAGCGCTAGCTGTCGACTATAGTGCATACGTGTCATCTCCAGGTCATTTACAACCCGCTATACCGCCAATTACACAATAGTGATCTACACAATAGTGATCTACAGTATACTTTTAGCCAAAGTATTATTTTATATGTTAATGGGACCCACATCTTTTCCTCTTTCTTCCTTGCCCGTTCTCTTCTCTATCCAGTAGCTACTGTAGTACTAATCTACTATCATCTATGCGAGCATCTCCACCATAATCTATGCGAGCATCTCCACCATAGGACCTCCTGCTTCACACCGACACCGAGTCACCGGAATGTGCCGGCGACTGCGCTCTCCATGCCCAAGCCACGCCGGTGACAGCCTTCACTCCTACCTCATCCTCCTCCAATCAAGCATGCCAACGCTCTCAACTTCTTCTCCTTCATGGCAGCTAGCTAGGCTTCAAGCTGGCCACTCTGGTCACTATGGCGTCACTCACCGAGCTCCCCTCCTGGCCACCGTTCCTCGGCCCCGAGCTCACGGCCTCAATGGCGTCCTGCCATGCTTTGTTCCTGCACAGTTCTTGTGGGTCCAATAGCTGCTCACTAGCTTCCCATTCGCTCGGCCTTGGAGCGCGTGTGTAGTCGGCGACAAATTAGTCGCCGGCTCACACTCTCTCTCCTCTAATCTTTCTTCCAGCTCACCAAAGAAATCCACCGTGGATGCATTATTTTTTCGAGGGGACAGGCAGGGAGCTCCTGCAATTCACTATAGAAGAAGAAAGTTGATCCAGTTTACAAGGGAAACCGGACCCAAAAACCTTACAACAGCACGGTTAATTAAAGGAAAACCGGCAAAAACCCCGACATTGACAAACTGAACCTAAGTACAGCCGTCTAACAAGAGATAAACTCCTAAAACGAAGCCTTCAAGAAGGTTACGCCGACAGAACGGCTACATCGTCCGATCCTAACAAATTTAGGTTTTCACCAGAGAAAACTCTTGAAGTGGAGTTGAACGAGGGCTCCAGTAGCAACGCCTTCAAGAAGGTGAACGGTGCCCAAGGGCGTCGCCGTTGCTAGCACCGAGAGCGGAGCAAGACTTTCGCCTTGGAGCACCCATCAACCATAGCATCCACGACGGGAGCCACTAAATGTCACCTACACACCGAGGATACCTTCGATATTCACCACCTGCACAACGACCGGACTCCAACCAACCCGTTCCCACCCGAGGACGCGCCGGATCTGGGCAAGGAGCCAGATCCGGCCGTCTTCCTCTCCACCAACGCCGGCCGATGTCTAGAGGGGCGCCGGAGGACGCCAGTGGCAGCCGCGGGGTGCCTGCGTGCTCTGGCCAGCGCTGGCCGCCGCGTTGTCGCCGGATCCGGGTGCGCCACCGCCGAATCCGCGGCCTCCACCATCGCCACCCCAACGCCGTCGCCATCCCCGCCGCCATCACCCACAACACCACCCGGCGCAACTCACCTCGACCGCCACCGTCGCCCGTCCCCGCCGCCAGCCCATCCCGCCAGATCCGGCCGAAACGGCGCGGATCTGGCGGACACCGCCGTCGCCACTCCGGGCGGCTCCCCAGGCCGCCCGAGCGCGAGGAGACGAGGAGCACCCCACCGCCGCCGTCCTTGTGGCTGCGCGGCTTCGCCGGCGGCCGCTCGGGCGACGGCGAGGCGGATCGGAGAAGGGGGTAGGGGTGGGGGAGAGGGGCGGCCGGGTCGTCGCCTCCCGAGCCGCCCCTGGGGAGAGCGACGCGAGAGCTGTCGTGATGTTTGGTGTCTACCATGGATGCATTATCGCCGGTCAGAATAGCTTATTGTACCTGCTCTTACTACACATTACATATTATGCAGTGCAACTGCTTCAAAACGCCACCACCTGAAATCTGAAACCGCAAAGCAGCAGCAGCAGACAGCAGAGCAGAACAAAGCTAACAGCACTGCTCCCTGAAGATGGCATGGACAGCCATGGTGAGCCGCCACCTCTCGTGCGTCTTGAACTCAAACAGGCAGATGTCCCCGACGCGCAGGCGGTTGTCGCGCACGAACCTGTGCCAGCCGCTGATCAGGAGCCGCCTGGTTCCGCTCCTGATCTGCATCACGGTGGCCCATCTCTCCCCCCTCCGCTGCAGCACCACGGTCTGCCTCCTGTCTGGAAGATGAACAGCAGCGGCGAATCGCGCGCCTAGCTCCTGTATTTTTTGTCACATAGTAGTACAAAGATGATGAATGTTACAAGCTCACACTTTACAATGATAAACGTGCAATGTTAAGTAACTGCTACCTCCGTCCTAAAAAGACTTAGATTTCTGGCTATGTGCCTAGACGAGTACTTGTCCAATGGCATAGCCGGAAACAAAGTATTTTTGTGACAGAGGTAGTAGAAACTGTAAGTTCAGGCCAAATAGTTTGCTGATACCAACTGTTAATAGTTGAGACATCATGATGAAAATGTTGCCCCATTTTCAGCAAACCGGATCTTAACAATAAACACAAGAACCCCGGTGTTGTGTAATATAAATTTCAAGATCGGAAGAAGGAAAGAGCTTACTAGCTGGCAACGGGAAGCACTTCGCTCAACATTGCTCTTCTTCATGATTGCTACATAAACGGGAAATTTGGATTGGAAGGATCGCACTTTCTCTTCAACTATCTTCTTTTGCAACCGAGACAGGTGGCTCTTGCATGGTACAATGTAGGGAGGATGAGCAGGGCCTTCAGAATCCTCATCCTCCTCAGATTCGTCAGAAACTCCATTCCTGTTTCTCGAGGAAACATTTTCTTCTGCAACAGTCTCACATCATATAGTCATAAGAAAGCAATATGATATATTGTTTGTTTGTTTGAAATCTAGCTATATAAGTTTTTTTTTGTATGGTAACCTTGATCAATTGGTTCCTCCTTGATACTGATCTCTGAAGCTGACTTCACATCTGTTCTTCCAAGGCTTGAGCCGGCTCTATCAACACCAGTTCCACCCCAGGAATAAGCTGCCGCTACGCGAAGCAGATGAACCGTAAACGTGAAATTTCTTCTTGCATCCTTAGTTGGTACAAAGACACAGATGTCCTGTTCCTGCACACGATTGTCTTTGACAAACTCTACCCAAGATCCCCTGAGAATGTTCATCCTCGCGTCTTTTCTCTTGTAGAATCTGGGATGCCACTTCTTGCTTTTGCATGGCCTCTGAAGTGTCACGGTTACGCTTTTATGTGGAAAGTGTACTTCAGCATAGCAAAAGGAAATGACCTAATGACAGGATAGGGCAGGGTGTGATATCATTAACAAGTACTAATCAAGAACAGAAAATCAAGGTTGAAGTAAAGAAAAATTATGCTGCCCATCATGTTTTAAAAATGCATTTAAAAGAAGGTCTGAATGCTCCTGAGAACTTGAACAAAACTGAAATTCCCATATTATTGTAAGCACAAAACTGAATTTACCATATAATATTAAAAGCATGTTCTTTGAATGAAAATTGAAATATTGACAACACAAGTACACTGGTTCAGTAATCAACAAGCAATAAACAAAGCATTGAGTTGTCAGTTGAACAGAAAGTAACAGTAGATTACCAAAAAAGGAGTTGGCAATTGAACATTGGACTTTCTCATGATAGCTACAAACGCGGTAGTTTCAGGCTGAATCTCCTGGATAAGTGCATCTACTTTCTCCTTTTGGAATTCAGATAGATAACTCCTGCGAGATAATACATAAGGTTCTTGAGACGTCTCAAGATCACCTGACTCAACAGATTCATGTTCAGAGGGACTGTCCTCTCCTGTACAAAATTTGTCAAGAAACTTTAGAATAATAATCCTAATTTTGCCAAAGTTTAAGCATGTAAGCAAACAATTTAACAAAGGACTTGCCTGAATCCTCAGAAGAAGATGCCAAGTTTGCTGTCTTTCGACGATGGCTGAAGCTTCCCTTTTGATTTCTAGCAAATCCTTCACTCTCTGATGATTCTGCAGTATCATCACAAGAGCTGCTACTTTTTTCTTGAATACTTTTACAAGTGTTTCTTATGCCAGCACAGGAAAATACTTTCTCACAATCATCGGAATCAAAGATCAGAACCTCAAAACGAGAATTCTCGACGCAACGGAACAACAAGGAGTCATTCTCTTCTATGTGATGGGCATCAACAAATGCCTCCCAACCACATCTGAGGACTGTCTTATTCTTGCACTTAGTGACTTCAACAACATACAGAATACCATTAGGGGATTGCAGTTTTATGGTCCCTGAGAAATCTCCTCCAAAATGGTTCACAAATTTACATGGCATGATCTGTAGCAACAGCATTGAGAAGTATTTTTTTAGATAATGAAAAAAATATAGAGTTCTTTAACAGCAAGATTAGCAGAAAATATGATTAAAACAAAAAAGGTATTCACAATAGAACTGTAAGATATTTAAGAGCTAAATAAAACTTGTCGGAGGAACTAAACCAATTCTAAATGTATATCCAGCTGAGATATTTAGTAACAGAAAGCAATAAACTTGCCAGAGGCTTACCATGCTACGTCTAGAATCGGCCGTCATTCGCCTGACGAAACAGTTCATCTTTCCATCCAAATGCTCCAAATATTTTTGGCAACAAACGCATGATTTCTTCATACATGAACCACTTCCAGCCATGTCAACTGAGATTCACAGCCTAAATCAGATGCCCATTCAGTAGAAAACAAAACAATCTCCTGCATAAGAATTTCCACAAAGACACGATCTCAAATAACCACACTATATTGATTGTTTTTGAGATACTACGAAGCAAATAGTAGTACAGTACAATATGCCACTACCACTCTAAAAAGAGGGGATAAGATCTACTTCCTCCGTTTTTATATCTATCTAAATTCATTAACATCAATATAAATGTTAAAAATGCTAGAATGACTTACATTGTGAAACGGAGGAAGTAGTACCAAAAACTACAAAGTGATGTGTTATAGAAAACCAAAGCAGAAACAAGGATGATATTTGGAGACACAAAAATACACAGCGGTGAAGAGCTGAGACGGCCTTACCTTCGATTCTCTCAACAAAAGAATCTTTATGGAGTTACAGGTCAGTAGATCATTGGAGTTTCATTCTAAGAAACAAGAACCAATACAAATGCTGCTACTAATCGGTGTACTAGTTTAGAGTTACTAAACATATTCAAGCGAGGTGGATAGGAGAAAGAAACTTGAAGAAGGGCTAATTGCAGATGAGAAACGATGGAACCAACGAACACTTTACCACGAGGTTGCAAGGAGCGATGAAGACAACTCTGGAGTCTGGACTCGGAGCCAAATGTCCAGCTGAAACTTGAGCCTACAGAGTGTAGTACTAGTACTATTACTAGTACCATACACACACACCCCAAGTCAGAATCACTTCAACTTCCAAGTGTGTTTTTATATCGTAAATTTCACAAAATCCTACAGATTTAATAAAGAGTATTTTTCCCATCCTTGAGGAGGTACCATGAGGTACGAGGTACATGAGGTACCAATCTAATCTAACCATTGGTTCAGAGGGGTATGATCGGACTAAAAAATCTATCAAGGAAAAATGACACGAGGGTAATGGGGTCAGCACCACCCACAACGAGCTCGTGCCCAGGGATGCCTCCGTTGCGCCGTCGCCGTCCACGACGACAAGGAGTTCGCGGCTCATCGTCCATGACCACAAGGAGTTCACGGCTGCACGATGCGCACGTACGCCAGCTCGCCGCCGCCGGACATGCCAACTCTAGACTACTACCGGCCGCCGCCGCCGCCCGTGTACTACACTCTGCCATCCCCGCCGCACACAACTGTCTGCCGCCGCCGTACGGAAGCTACAACCCGATGCCGTCGGGGTGGTTCGCATCCAAGGCGTCGTCGTGCCGCCGTTGCATCCATGATAGCGCCATCCCATCGTCGCATCGATCCCACCGCGGCTGCCGTCGCATCGATCCTACCGCGGCTATCGTCGCATCGATCCTGTCGCAGCCGTCGTCGCATCGATCCTGCCGCGGCCACCGGCCACCGTCGCATCCACCCTGCAGCAGCCGCCGTCGCATCCACCACCGCGGCCGCCGTCGCATCCACCCTAGCAGCGGTCGCGGCCGCCGTCACATCCAGGACCTTCGATGCCTGCCTGCGATGCCGCGTGTGGGGAGAACAACGAAAACGATGCGTGCGGGAAGCGGAAGAGAACGCGAAATTACATAACTACCCTCCCACCATGGTACCGCATCTATTGATCCCTGCAGTACCACGCGGTACAGAAGCCGGACCAGCCGTTCGATGCGGCTAGATGGACGGTCACGATTCGGTACCGCGCTGGCTCAAGGACGGTAAAAAATCTCTTTAATAAATTATATCAAAAAAATATAGATTTAGTATCAAATTTATCAGAAAACTACATATTTAAGGCCAAATATCACATAACTACATATTTAATATCGAAGTAATCACAAAACTATAAAATTTAGAGGTCAAATCCTTAGCACTACCATTATTTTTTTTCTCAAAAATGAACAATAGAATTTAATTTTTTTTAAGAAATCCATGTATAAAAGTTTTTACAACTAGGAATAATTAATTGATGTTGAAGAAGTGGGAGACTAGGAAGTGATAAGACAGAACAGAAGAATAAAAAAGATCTCAATGATGATGATAAACACAAAAACGATCAAGGTAACTCCGACGTATGGTCTGTTTGGGGAGTTTAAAATTCTAAAAAATCGGCCTGTTTGAGAATCTAGAAAAGCTGATTTTTTTCAACTTCTGACTTTTAGTTTATTTTCTGGATTCCACAACTACAGATTCTTAAAATTCAGATCAAAAGCTGGACTATCTGGGGAGCTTCTGATGATTTTGAGAGAAGCTACAGTAGGTAAAAACTCTCCCAGACCCATAGGCAGAATCGCAAAGACCATCATTATAGAATCTTTTGGGAGCTTTTCCACGGACACTAGCTGAAATTACAGGACAAGACCGGGTAGTACTCAAATCAGACGAAGACTAATGTTGGCCTACAACTTCTAGACCTGCGGAAGTACTCCACTCCAGTACAGAATCTTACTACTCCACTGCTCTGCAGGTGATAAACAAGTTCAGCTGCCAATTCTAATTTCTACTGTCACCCGGTTACATTTGGGTTCTCTGTTCAACGACAAGTCTTCAATCGAATAGGACTGCAAGATCACAAATGATAGTATCACAAAAACGATGTCGCAATATCCGCATTACCTCGAGATTCCATGAACTCGAGATCATACGCATCAGCACCAATGATTTTACACAGTTTCTTTATCCCATTTGATTCATTCGGTTCGGTTCAGACACCTAATCAAGTGAAATTTGAGTAGTAGACCAGATCACACATTCAAACAACATCCATTTTCAGGTGGTGAGGTGCTGCCTCTTCGATATCAAGTCATACTCTCCTCCACGCGCAACGCAACGACGCAAAGGGGTTGATTATAGAACAAATGTTAAACAGGGTGCATAGAAATGCCATGTCCCAGGTACCAGCGGAAACAGCAGCCACTACACTAAAGTGTAAAGACAAGCACTTTGCAAATTGCAAAATTGCAACCCAAAGATACACATTGCAATAGAAGCCTAGGATGGCGGTTGAAACATAAGCTGGTTCGATAAAAATGAAGCCAACTCCACCCTAGTTGCTTAGAGTACAGCACTCAAAACGGGATCACACTAACCAAGCGTGAAACCACACAAAACTTGACAGACAAACGTGATCCTACATAAGATAAGGAAGAGTTTGTGTGATCACATCCTATCCTCTCTCCTGCGTGGGGCACAAGTTATGATCTCATCAACCCTGAGAATCATCTCAGCCGCCTCGGTGGCGGAGAGAAGGATGGCTTGCTTCACCTTGAAGGCCTCCGATATGCCTCGCTTTTGCATGTCTCCAACCTGCAGATCATAATGTTAAGTTTCAAACCCAGTCTAAGGTTCAAAAGAAACTAAGAACTTCTGATTATTCGTCAACTTACGCTGCCTGTGATGACATCGATTCCAGCAGTGCAATTCTCCTTGTGGTGCTCAGCTCGGAGCTGAGAGATCAGCTCAGCACTGTCCAGACCAGCATTATCAGCTATGATTGTTGGGATGGCTTGCAGGGCACGTGAAAAGGCATCGATAGCATGAGATTTCTTCCCAGGGGTCTTCCTTGCGAGATCATCCACAGCTTTGGCCATCACCATCTCCGGCCAACCACCCCCAAATAAGACACGGGTGTCATTTACTGTCTGGGAAAGCACACATAAGGCATCGTGCAAGGACCTCTCAGCCTCGTCAAGCACATGCTCACTGTAGAAAACAAAAACACATAAATATAGTACGTATAAAAACATATGAAAATTACAAAATTATGCTACACAAGGATGCGTGTGAACAAAAAAGGCATACCTTGCTCCTCTTAAAACAATGGTGCAAGCCTGGCCCATCGCGACACCAGAGAAGTGAATAAGTTTGTCCTCCCCAATCATAATCTCTTCAATGACATTGCAATGCCCAAGCTTAACAGACTCTGGGTTGTCAAAAGTTGATGCAATGTCACCACCGGTGACAAGAGCTAGCCGTTCAATGCCCTCAAAGTCAGCATGCTCAATTGCAAGTATGCCAGCATCAGCAAAAAGTTCTTCAGGGAAGTTATAGATCAACTGCCTATTGACAAAGCAGTTAATTCCATGACCAATGATTTTCTGAACTTTCTCTCTCATTTTCTGCTTTTCGGCAGCTTCAATTTCTGCGACCTTAGCCATCGAATCCACTCGGACACGTGCCCCATATATCTTTACTTTGTCTGTGTCCATAGCTGTGTTTGCAACTAAAATTTTGGCATTCTCAATTCTCTTTGGTTGTCCAAGACCAATTTTCTTGTCAAGAATGAAACTGCAAAACAGAAACCAAAACGTTAAACGGACAGCAGAATCAGAATCATGGTTGTCAGTTGGGTATAGTGTTTCCTAGTACACTCCGTATTTGCTCAGTGTTAATTGGCAAACTACTTGGCACAAACTATCACACTAATGACTGATTAGAAACTAATCTATTGAAGGACATCAAATGTTGAAATATTTCCGATAGTACAGCTTTTGGAAGAACATACCCTTCATCCAAAAAGGAGTCCTTGAGGGATCCTCCAGGTATCTTCAGAATTTGAATCGCTTCCAAGTTTGTGCTACCCTGCACAGTGGTGCATATCAATCATTAGAAAAGCATCATGTGACAACACAAACATCATCAGACAGCATCCCAGATATAGTAGTTGCAATAACAAGATATTTCAACACCAACTTCCACTCAACCCTGTGAATACCTTAAGTCTTAGGACAGCATCAACAGCAAGTTCAGCAAAGTACTCCTTGTCCTGAGAGAGGATTTTTGAACTAAGTGTAGTCATGGCAATGTTCATGAGATCTGATCTAAACTTATCTGCAGATCCAAAGGAAGCTTATCCAGTCAGATCAACATGTTCAGGTGAGCATATTCTTTAGACAAGAAATAATGCATATGGAGTTCGTTGAACTTATACAGCGGACTGAAAACTATCCTCAGAGCTCAGCCAAGAAAATTAGGTTTGAATGATGCCAGACCCTGTGTGCTAGTACTCCAGGAAGGTTTGTGAAACTTGAGTGGAATGTATCTCCACATCAGAATAAGGATTAATTCAAATTGAAAGAACCAGTTCAATCTTATTTTAATTTTGAGGATTTAAGAGTATCTAGATGATGGAAAGATAGTCTTCCAACTCTTAACACATTGAAAAAGTTCAAAACAAGTTAAATAACCATATGTGAGAAACATAGTTACCTATATTTTCTTTGTTGTCCATGGTCCTCTCCAGCAAAGCGTTTCTAGCACACTCAACAGCCATTCTGTAACCTATAGTTTCACAAAGAAATGGAGCATTGGAGATGTTAGTGTACTCATGAATTCACATAATGGTTTTTCTTGTTGGTGCAGTGAAAAATCTGAATTCAGCCTATGCATATGAACAAACTGCATTCAACCAACTATTTAAGAATGCTAACTTCCAATTTTCAAACCAACCAAGCAATCTTCCATCTGTTGTATTGTCCTTGCGAAAATCTCAACGCACTTCTATTGTCAATTGTAATATAGATTTATAGTAGTACATGAACTAGTGCGTGTTGAGAATTTTACCCTCAACAAACCAATTTACACATATTGAAGAGGTGACTAATTAATTGAGTTAACCTAGTTTGATATGTTAGGAATACCATATTATACAAATCATGCAAAATATGGTGAGCCTGGAAAGCATATTAAACCAACGATGAGAATTACCTGCAATTATAGTCATTGGATGAATTTTCATGTTAACTAACTTTTCAGCCTCCCTCAAAAGTTCTCCAGCCAAAACAACCACAGAGGTTGTCCCGTCACCAACTTCATCATCTTGAACTTTTGAGATGTCTAACAATGCGTTAAGGACTTAACTTCCTTGATACATCATACATATCAAATACTCAAATGAGGTAGCATGAGAAACTATAAGTACGCATGTTGCTGTATAAAGGAAACTTGCCCCTTTGCCACTTCATCTATGACTTGCTATTGTGTTAGTATGAAAAATCATCAAGCAACAGATTCAAATGAAAGGATACCAACAAGGACCTTTGCAGCAGGGTTGTCTATATGAAGGGACTTCAAAATTGTAGCCCCATCATTTGTAACAGTAACACTCCTCCCTCTGCCTGTTGATTGCAAGATCTTGTCCTGAACATAAATATTGCCACATGTAAAAATTTACTACACTGGAATCATGTACTTCAAGCACTAGCAGTCTAGCACTAAGGAGCATACCATTCCTTTAGGTCCCAATGTAGTCTTGACCAAATCTGCAATAGCCATAGCACCAATGAAGGCTGCCTGCCAATTTAAAGACACCAGGTTGTTGTGTAAAATTGCAGGATCTATACAACTAACTAAGAAAAACCAATTAAAAAGGTCAAATCGATAAGAAAGGGTTTTCACACCATCCTGGCACGTTCGCCCTTCTCCTCAACAGCATCATCCTTCAGCACCCTCTCCATTTACCTAAAGACAGAAAAAACTCAAGATTGTGACACTCTGAGGTACTGAAACATACAAAGCACGCAGAAACAATAGAAGTAAATGCAGATTGGATATCACACTGATGAGGTGGTTTCC